TTTACGGCTGTTTGTGCTCCGTACTCTCATGATAATACGGTCCGTATTACTGCGCCAGATATTACGGCAAACTTTCGGCCGTAAAGTAGTCGTAAAGTAACCGTCAACGACTGTATACGGACCGTACTGTTCGACCTGGGTAACTAATCAATTTATGTAAACGCACCGCAATGATTAAAAAATGAACAAAAGAGAAAAATTCAATGTGTAAACAGAAATTGTGAACACAAAAGAAGAGGAAGCTCAAATATACCTAACAAAAACAAAAGTGATTATTATCGGCAATCGCTAGTAGAATGAGAATTCACCTAGATTGCAATTAAATTTTCCGTAAATGATAAAATTCACACAATGGAATTGAAGATTACTGTATTAATTGGAATTAGTAAAAGACAAAGTATTTTTTACAAATAGCAATTCAAGTAGAACACTCGAGCAAATACAATCGTTTTCATAAAATCGAGAATAGTACCGAGTTGTAGGTACAGCAGAATCGATGCAAGATGACGCATATTTTTCATTGAGAAATGTTCTTATTGAAAAAATAATAAAAAGCAAGGAGCATCTGTCGCGTTGTAAAATCAGTTTTTATCATATAAATTTTAATATTAAAAATCGGGTATTTCTATGTACTTTACTGTATTGAATATTCATCGCTAGATTAATTCAGCTACAATCCAATGGAAAATTTTGTTACTTATGTATGATAAACACTCGAATTTCGATTTCGAGAACTAAAGAAGTAACACTTCAACTGAAGTTCGATATATAAAATAGAATAGCATAGATTAGAGTTTCAAATTATTTAATACTAAATATTTATTTTAATAGAACTAGAAATGTTTTACTAGTTATAAATTTGGCAAACTTTGAGGTGTGAAATAAATATTTATCTTTCAAGTATGAAGCTTAACTACGGCTGATCATAATAGTATTATTAATTGAATGAAACCTTTAAATATGAAATAGTCAATTTTTACTTTCTCTCTCCGCTTCTATGCGATAAAATCTTGTTCGTTGTTTTCTTCTCAATAGATTTACTCTCGTTTAACGACTATGTTTATTTGTCTTCATCCTTTTTTTCTGTATGTTATTTTAGAATGAAATTGTATGTTTGTGTTTGTCTTTGCAACTAGTCAATATTGTGAAGTAGAAAATTTTTTTTCTATAACTTCTCTTTCTTTTTTTTTTAAATAAAAGGAAAATAGAAGACAAGAATCAAAATTTCTGCTCGTTAGATGTGTCCACCGAGGAGCAAAAGAAAGAAAAAACAAATCACATGTGGTTTTTAACATTTTTGTACATAAATAAGAGAAATCATTTGACATGACTACAAAAGCAGGCACGTCACAGTTACTTAATGATAAAGACCATGGTAAAATATCAACATGTCAAGTTATCGATGATATGGCAGGATCGACTTTGGTAAATATGCCAGCCGGTATGAAAGATGGACATCCTAATTCATTAGTTTCATTTCCACAAGATGCTGCTCAACGTATGCGAAATCCGAAAGAAGATTTTCTAAAATTTTCAACATCATTACTTAAAAATAAAGGCCTACTTGTGCCAACACGTTTAGCACTTAGACGACAACGAGCATCACTTAAACCATCGACAATGAACTACGAACCTATTCGTTCTGATACACTTCAAATGGAGTTAGGCAATCCAGAAGAATCAATATTACACAGTGATCGAGTTGATGTCGAACATAATCCCATTGTGTCGCATACTTTGCATTTATCAAGAGAAAAATTTCGCATGCAATCATCATCAAATCAAAGCAGTCCACTACGAGGCGATACTCCACATACTGTACCAACTGACATTGGATTGTTGTATCGGTAAGTGACAAAATACATATTCTATAGATATACACGTATGATGTTAGTTTTATCGACTGTTTTTGTCTCGTGAGAAGAACTTTAAACTTTCAATAGAATATAATTTTTTTTCAAATTTTTTCTTACTGAAATAAAAATAGCAAGCCTTTAATAAATTTAGAGAAAAACCATTATTTTCGCATCCAGTAACTGGTAATTTTATTGTACAATACGCGGAAGAACAAGGAGGTCCATCGCCTTGTTCATATGTCTTACCACGTAAATCATGTCGAGAAAAAAATGCACCTGCATATTCATTTGGAGCAAAATGTTTAGTCGAAAAGAGTAAATATCTACGTATTCTGTTAGACAAAAAAACTCGAACAATTTGTCTTCTCTTCGAATAGAAGGTGGTTCACGTACTGCTTGGGAAAAACAATGGTTTGCACATTCAGATCCATATACAACAAAAGTTGATTTTAATCGTGAAACAGCTTGGCCAACACCATTTCATTATCCTGCAAAACCAACCTTAGGTAGTCAAGTAACAAAAGTTAGTTTTCCGTCATGGTCTATTGCTAAACGTATTGCAATAAATCCAACAATAATGCCAGAAAATAATCCTGGCCCTGATACATATGATACAATATCAGCTTTTCGAAAATTAAAAGCAAAAAATACACATATTAAATTGACATCACGTCCAGAAGATATTCAAGGATCGAATTCAGCAACTAAAGGTAATATTTGTTTTTTGTTTTGCATTCAGAATGCAGATTTTTTAATTATTTTGATATGAAATAGGTAAAACTCCTGGGCCAGGTGCACATGATCAAAAACATTTTCTATCAAATAAATATTCAGCTCCGAAACATTCATTTGGTAGACGTATGCCAACATCACTTGCCCAAGATCCTTATGTAAATACACTACCTACGATTGAAACTTGACTCTCATTTACTTATTCTAGTTATAACTGTCGAAATACATTTTTTTTATATTAAAAAATAAACTATTCCGCTTTGGCTTTTTTTTGCTCGTTCGTTTTTTAGATAAAATTCGCCGAATACTATAGATGTATACGTATGCATATGTTACTAGGAACAACTTGAAAAAATGAAAATGCTATGCCCGATAGTGGTCATAGATAAAATAGTTGAGGCTTTGGTAGCAGCTGGCAAAAACAATATTTCAGAAAAGATTTTTGCATAATCAATAGTTTGTATTGTATTTGAGATAATCAATATACGACACAATTATGTCAAACAAAAAAGGAGCAGAACATTAAAGAACAAAAAATCGAAGATTATCTATACATTATATACATTGATGTGAGACAAAAATTCACTTTACAATTCTCAATAGTTAGCGATTAAAATTGAAAACATTCAAGATGAAGATTTTGTATCAAACATCCTTTCTTCTGGTATTAGTTCGCCAACGATGTATTTTTCTAATATTGTCCATGCATCTAAACTATGCGGTTTGTCAGAAAATGCCATGGTAGCATCAGTACCAGCATATTCTAACATTATATCGGAACCGCCTGGATGCTAAAAACAAGAAAATTTAAAATTTCACTATGAAAATAAGTCAATCGAAACATACTTCTCGCATAAATTCTGTTAAATCATAGACAACATCTTTGACTACCATCCAACAATCAGCTTCTGTACAATGGGCAGACACATCTTTTAATGTAAATTGTTTTCTTTTCGGCATTTGTACTACTTGTAAAGCAAACAATCGATTTTGCAAATTATTGAATGCATCTATAAAAGAAAACAAAACATATTCGTTGATAAAACATAGCTTTATAATACAAATAATAACTTACTAAGAAAATCCATCGTAAACAGAAAAAGATCTTTTTCAAGAGTATCTAGTTTTAACTTGTTTGCGCTTTTCTTTGATGTATGAAGTAGAATAGTTCGGCATCATGAGTATTTATAATATCATCGCTAATGGAGACCAAATGGTATGACGAAATGGATAAAAAAAGCAGAGAAAAAAGGTGTGGCCCACCAATACTGACTTGATTGGTTGATTTATTCTCTTATTCTCTCTCTTTTGCTAGAGTATTTCATCAGAATATTTGAAAAATAATGGACTGAAGCCAAAAAGAAAAAATAGCAAGTGTAAAAAAAATGATTTAGTGTGGTGGTGATAATGTCGTTTTTTCGCCCTGTTAAAGACTGAATTTGAAAAGGGAACAGAATGCGTACTAAGCACATATAGGATATGATTGTATAACCATTGAAACATGTGGCAGCACTTAACATATTTTTCTTTTCTATTCATATGAGCCCATATTGTCACGATGCTTTGATCTTTGCATGTTATACAGTTTCATTATTTAGAATCATGACTGTTTAGAAAGCTAATTTCATCATGACGGTGCGCTTTTTTTCGATACTGAGTAACAAAAAAACAAGTCACGAGATCTTTTCTATTCGATGATTCAAAACAAATTATAATATGTTGGAAATTTCGAAGCCCAATTTAAGCGGAATAAAAATGATTAATTTCAATTGGAAAAATGTACTGAAAGTAACGTGATCATATGATCGATAGAAAAATTTTAAAAAGTATGACTCAATAATTATGCACCGATCGGATGTTCGATGTATTGCTGTATCATGTATTTGCAGTTGGATATGTTTCAAATCTACACTGTTATCTGTTATCAAGTTGATTAATTAAGATTCGATGAGACCGAACATGCGCACATGTACTAGCTTCCAATATCAAATTTTCGAACGTGGGTGGTCGTTTACACAAGACTTTTTGCATAGTCATTTTCTCAATAATAATAAATAAGAAAATACATAGCGTCCTTGTTGTTTCTACTTGATTTGTGTACCTGCCCGAGACCTTTGTGTTATTTGAACTAAAAATGCTGTTGTATTTTTTCGATAAACAAATGCTTTTATATTTATTCTTCTTGCAATATCTCGACAGAGTATTTCTTTTTTAAAAACAAAAAAAACGATGTCTTCAGTGTTTTTAGTGTAGTTAATAGTGAAAATATATGACATCAACAAAAACTCGAGTTAGAACTTCAAACTTTTGAGAACAGTTAGTATTAGTTTACTAATACAATCGTCCGACTACCACACAGGTGGTAAATCATTTTATTTTTATATTTCCTATCAATCGAAGTCTATCTATAAATAAACATCCCGTGTAAATTGTATATCACCCTAATTAAATTGACATTGTAAAAGTACAGACAAGTAGATAGATACGATAGTATGGCTGTCACACCATATTTTGGTATATCAAACCAAACACCACTATAATTCTATCGAACCCTCTATTTCTTCTCTTTTCTCATTCAAATACTCACATGAGCACTAACGCCCACACGATGCAAACCCCTTAGTTCTTTTTTTCTATCGTTTTGAAAACGTCAGATGACACACCCTATATGTACCCAATTCAAACGTGAAAATTTTCTCTAGTGCTGTTCTGCAACGCAATTCAAATTTGCTCTTCATTCTCATTTGTACTCAAAAATACTTATTATTCATTCAATCATAGTGACTTTTCACATGCTGTTATGCATTGAATAGTATTGCGTTGTACGTCATTGATTTCTACGTCTTTGGATATCGACGCCATCGTTGATTTTAAATAGAAATCAAAGAACAAAAAAAAGCTGTTTTGTTCGACGTAGAAAATACAACAGAGAAATAAAGACAATAAACAAAATAGTACGTCTAACGATGTTAAAATAAAAAAAATCTAGACGTCAAGTGCGACAAAGTAATAATAACAAGAGTAAAACAATCGGTGGTTATTTTTTGGTTTGCATGTCCATCAATGATCGAAATCAAGTTTGTCGAATATGATCGTTTTTTCTTTTCACATACACGAACAAAAATATCAGCAAAAAAAGGGAACAGAAGAATTAGAAAATCAACGTCTTGACGAACCCCAACCTGAAAGTAAACATAAATTTTAAACTATAATAAGTTCATGTGAATTATATACCAGAGTTTGAAGAATACATTTGAGATTGTTGTGAATTATTATATTGACTGAAATTTTGTCCATAATAATTATTATTATTGTTATTATTACTATTCCAGTCATTGCCTCCGTTCGTAGATCTATATTAGAAAAAAACCGACGGCAATGATTATGTTAATGAAGTCATAGAAAAATCAGTCTTACTGTGGATATGGATCTCGCATCGAATTAGATTGTAAACCATTGATATTATTATTATTATTATTATTCCATGGTTGAGAATTCGAATACTGTTGTGGAGGATAGTTTGGTTGTTGATACGAACCACCGTAGTTATTATTGCCACTTCTATCATTGCCTTCAATGAAGAAAAAGCAAAACGTTTAAATTATTTTTCTTAAATAAAATACAAACCCATATAATTGTTATTCGATGGTGGACCGTAGGAATTTTGTGGGTTCTAAATTAAAGTAAAACTTTACAAGTCAATTTAATGGTTTTTTTTTCGTTTTCAAACATACAGAATCGTATTGATTTTGATTACTCATATTATTATTCCCATGATATGGTGTATTATTTCGATCATTTGTTGATTCATCACGTCCCCAACCACATTTAGTTGTATAACCATGAATTTCAGAACCATGTATATGACATATGGCTTGACAAGCACTTTCTTTAGACGAGAATCTATTATTTAAAAAAATTATCATTTTCGATTCCACAGAGAAGATCGTTGCAGTAAATTTACCGAACAAAAGCATATCCTTTTTCTTTAAAGATACGTATTTCTTGTATGTGGCCGTACGACGTGAATATTGAACGAACTAAATCTTCATTAACATCACCACAATTGCCAAAGTAAACCGTCGAATTTGTTTCTCCTGTTCGATTCCATACTTCATTGTAATCAAGCTTAGGTGTGGCAGATTCGTGACCAGATTGGAAATTATTTGAATCTAAATAAAAAGTTTGTTAAAAATAAACATCCACACCCTACCAAATCGAACTCGAAATGCGATTTCTTTTTAGAAAATAAACAAATCTGAATATTTTTATTTACTAATTCTTTCTTTATACATACCACGATATCGTGTGTTACTAGCAGCTTCATTGGATGGCACTTTTCTGGTAGCCCAATTTGTACGTATCTTTCTTGTACCAAGCCATTGACCATTCATGCTGGCAATGGCTGTCTCAGCATCCTAAACATAGAAGAAGATTTTCGTTTTTTTTTCATTCTTCTTATCTTTATATTCTTACTTGTTGATTAACAAAAGCAATAAAACAATAACCTAATAAAAAAAAGTCGAAGATACAAATTAACGTTAGTCAAAATAAATACCTTTCGATTTTTGTGTGTCAGGAAATTTAGCAATTTTTATTTCTCTATATAAATAGAAAAAGACAATAGATAATAGTTTAATTTAGTTTCTTACGAAATTTCTCCAAATGGTGCAAAAGCTTCGTGTAAAGAATTCTGATCGATTTCAGGTGCTATATCACCGACAAATATGTGATGATGTTCTATAAAAAAAAAATGAAACATAATCGAATATAAACAATGTTTTGCATTTTCAATTATTTACTAGTTGTATCCACTTTTACACTGGTCGTTGCTGATGTTGTTGCCCAATTTACTTTGATTTCTTTGCCCATTACTAGACGTTTATTCATAGCAAGTAGTGCATGTGCTGCTGCTTGATGTTCAGCGAACTCAATAAAAGCATATGGATCACTGGTTGCCTGAGGAAAACAAAATAGATTGATGAATTATTTCATAGTAGAATACATACTTCATGAATGATTTTGCAACTTCGACAAGGTCCTATCTGTTTGAATAGGACCATCAAGAGTTCTTCGGATACCGATGGATCAAGATTACCAACATATCTGCAATACTCAATGAAAACTATGATTATTAAAAACAAATTCGAGGTCAAAAAAACTACTTACAATGTTCGTGCACTAGCACTGTCTTCAAATGAAGAATGCATATTTCACTAGTATTTTTCCTATGATAATCTATGTAAAAAAATGTATACGAATCAGTGGTAGAAACAGTACTATAGAAGGATTATCATTGCATTCAAATTCTTAAAAAATGATTCATTCGTCAGTGTATTTTGATGTTACTGTCACAGCCATACTACTATCAGCAGCACTCTCTACGAGTTTTTGACAATCATTGTTTCATATACATAATTGTAGTTTCATCTGCTCGTCTGAGAAAACATATCTAAATGATGGTAAAATCATTTTTAATATTCATAATAATAATATCACGATTAAATTGGCAAATAATATCTGCCTAAGATTTAGCAGATAGATGTCACTTACATGTTGTATCTTCATAAATCCAATATGACTAGTAGTCATATTTTGAACTTGATATTAGAAAAATCAAACAAATTAATATTGAAACTTCAAAAAAATTCAGTCAATTTGATGTATCGGGTGAAAAGTGTATTTATCGATTTGTTCAGAACTATTAAGTTCTAATATGTATTCCTGCATAAAAACCACGTTTAAGATTTGCGTGTGTTCTCACTGCTTATTATCCTATAAAAAAAAGTATTGAATGCGTATGATTACATGATATGGCGTTTTAGGTTAAAACCGGTAATATAAAAGAAGGCTTTTTTTAGTAATGTTTTTCTCTGTAGTTTACATTTTTCGTACGATAAGACATGTCAAGAGGAAAAATAGTGCAAATTAGACTTTTCATAGTTATGATTGAGTATGATAAGTGTGTCTTTTGATTCTCCATATTAAATAGGCTGAATCCATATGAGTTTCTAAAGTGAGATTAATGAAGAAATTTTAATCTCGCTGCTTCCGATAGCTGTAAAAAGTGCTTTTCAAATGTTTTCCTTCTCTCATTACCTTCGAAGTTCTATAAAAATAGAAAATAATGTTCTTGATCAAATATGTTTCCATCTACTTTAACAGCTAATACTCATTCTTAAGAATTCTCTAAATATGTTGCTCTTGTGCTGACTAATATTTTCTATATAATATACCTTTCGAAAAGACGAGTTGATCTCTCGTTTGAGATTTTTCTTTTAAGAGAAAAAAATTTAACATGGCACATCTTCGTCGTCAAGGCCTCCAACTGAATAGATCCGAGTCTGCATCTACTAGTTATACATACTACAATCAAAAATTTGATGATATTACTGATCTATTTTTATTTGCATGTTCACATGGTGATTATGTACTCGCATATGATCTTTTACAAGGAGGTGATGTTAAAGCAGATGTATCAGATAAAATGGGCACAAGTGCACTGCACTTAGCCATTGAAAATGAACATTTTGAAGTTGTCAAAGTTTTATTGCACACAATACCTTATGAACAATTTCGTGATGCACTTCTTTTGGCTATTTATTTGGGTCATACGAATATAATTGATTTTATATTAAATCATCAAACATATCGAACATTTTGTGGCGCATTTCTTGATCCAACCGATCCACAAGCTTATGATGATTCACAATTTAGTTCTGACATAAGTATGTTTGTTTTCTTTCTCAATTATTATCATTTAAGAGGGATGATCTTTCTATAAAGTTTACTGAGATATTAAACAGTAAGTTGTTTTCTTAGCTCCAATTATTCTTGCTGCTCAATATAATCGTTTACCCACTGTTCACTATTTATTAACCCACGGCGAACGTATAAAAAAACCTCATTTAAGTATGTGCTCCTGTGATGAATGTATTGAAAGTGCAGCATCGGATTCATTTCGTCAAGCACAAGTTCGTCTATCTGCATATAAAGGTCTTTCGTCTGAAGTTTATATTGCATTAGCATATCGAGATCCAATTTTACAAGCATTTGAATTAAGTCATGAATTACGAACATCGGCAAAAACTGAATATTATTTTGGCGAAGAATATAAAAAATTAGCTAATCAATTATCAGTATTTGTTGCTCGATTACTTGATAATGTACGCGGACATGAAGAACTTGAAATTGTTTTAAATAAAACTGGCTTGCCACATGAAGAAAAATATGAAACATTAGCTCGATTCGGTCTAGCTGTACAATATAGAGAAAAACCGTTTGTATCGCATTCAAATTGTCAGCAAAAATTAAACGCGATATGGTATGAAAATATATCATTTCTCACAAATGTTGATGCTTTCAAACGAGCGATGTTCTATGTTGGCTATATTATTTGTTTTCCATTCATAGCATTAACGCATTACATATTGCCTAAATCAAAAATAGGTTCATTGGTATGTAGAATTGATAGTTTCTTTATTGAAAGTATACGACTGAAAATTACTACAAAAAAAAACTAGATTACATAGCAACAGAAAGAAATAATTAAAAATTCCTCGGAGAAAGGGTGTTAGAAATCTATTTAACATGGTCACAATATCACATCCGTTTTTTTTTCTTTTATTTAAGTGCCAACAACCAAATCTTAAATTCAAAGCTTACATTGCATCATATTTTATTTTTATTGCATTAATTATAGCATCGAGTAATTTCTCGATTATCGATCTGACAACAACAAAATTTCTATCGGATTATAATCCAACTATTTATAAAAACTATATTCAATTAATTTTTAAAAATAATGACGTAAAAAACGATCTAATTAATTATATTAATACTACAAATGACACAGTCGTCAATTGTGACATTAGCCTTCGTTTTATAGAACCAAATGTATTTCAAATAGCTATGTTCATATGGATTATTGGTTTTGCATGGAATGAATTTAATCAAATAGCTAGTTTAGGTATTGATGTCTATTTGAAAGTACCTAGTAAGTGAAATCAAATTGTTATATGGAGATGAAAAAAAAAACTTCTTCTTGTTTTTTTTTTGTTTCAGGTAATTATGTTGATTGTTCAATGAATATTCTTTATCTATTCTATTTTCTTTTTCTTTTCTCATCGATGGTCTATACTCGTTTAGCAATGAATGAATTTCAGTCGTCAACCTATTGGATTAATATTGCTCGATATAAAAAGATGTCCGATATTGAAAAACAATATTATATTTCTAAAACTCTCCATTTACTCTATTGGATTAATGCCGATCGATTCTATTGGAAAAATGGAGACTTACAAAATTTAGCTGAAGGCTTTTTCGCTATGGGCAATGTTGTTAGTGTTTGTCGAATTTGTTTTCTATTGCCAATCAGTGCATTTGTTGGACCATTACAAGTAATGATAGAATTTAAACTTTTCTCAAATCTTTGAAAGATGCCAAGAGTTTGAATTTATCACAAAAAAAATAAAATCACCCGTTCATTTTTATATCTGCTTACCTATGATTATCACAGAAAATATGAAATATATCAAAAGATTATCTATTTATTTTTGTTTAGGTAATGCTTGATCGTATGATGGTTGATATTTCAAAATGGATTAGTATTATTCTGATCTTTTTCATAGCATTTTCTTGTTCGTTATTTTTTATATTCTCGTTCTATGCTATTGTTTTGCAACAAAGAGCTTTCATTGATGCATCAAATACGAACAGCTCACCGACAATAATATCTGTAATAGATGGAAACATAACAATACCAGATAATGCTAAATGTTCAGATTATTTCTATGAACTTTTGAACCAAACGATTCAATTACCAAACAATACTGGCGACAATAGTAATAGTAATAATGGTACCACAGGTGCAACCGATATTTGTGAACAATCGTCTGACTATAATATACTTAAAAAAATCGGATCTTATCCAGCTATTTACTATTTTGGAGAATCATTTCCAAGAACACTATTAACAACATTTTTTACATTATTCATGAATGTTGGAAAGAGTGGGTTACCAGTATGTATGAACAGTTAATAGTCGAACTAAAATTTTCAGATCATCCTGTAATAGGATCGTGGATATGAACTTGTCACACTTTCATGTTTTAAACCTGATCTAAATAGTTATTTATCTGGTTTTGATAGTATCATGTCGAATCTTGGTTTTATTCTCTATAGTCTTTTTATATTTATATGTTTTACTGTTCTCATCAATACATTAATTGCCATGCTCGAACAAACAATCGAAGATATTGATGATCGAGCTGATATCGAATGGAAATTTGCACGTTCAAAACTTTACATGAAATATATACAAGACGGTAAATATAGATTTACATTGAACAAAACGAGTTATTATTCTTCAGTCGTTTACAGGAGTCTACTATTGTCTTCGAATAGGACTATAACAATTTTTATAGAATTTCTGTGTTAAGAATTCATTTATTTCATATTTGCAACTCGAATCAAGATAAATTTTAGCGAATAAAAAATCGTTGTAAAATTGAAAGAAATGAATGAGTAAAGATTTTTTTCTAGAGAATTCAACATTGGTCAGTAGTTCACTGCAAAACCATGACAATTCTCTCAATTGATATGTTTTCCTTTGATTTATATTTTTAAATATAGTTCGTTAATTAGCTCCTTCCTAGCTCGTCGACTTATAATTCTTGAATAAAAAGTTCTACCTATATAATGTTCAATTGTAGATTTTGTTTGTTTTATCGTTGTACTTTTAGATAAATTTTTACCTGTGCCATTCAATATTTGTCCATCACCAACATCAATTATTAATCTTATGAAGCGCATAAAACAAATGATTTCTACGAGACGTATCACAAAGAATAATAATGTTATAAAAATTCCTACTCAAAACAGATTAGAAAATTTACTCTATTTTAATATCGAGGGACATCCTAGTAGCAATGATAAAATGAATACTGAGAGTGAATTGGACGATTTTAAAAATGAAAAGATTTTTAAACGGAAAAATAGTGATACTGCAAATGATAGTTTAACATATAAAATAGTTATTGAACGTATTGTTAAACGATTTTTACTGTACTATAGAAATAGTCGTATTGATCTCGACGAAGGGCAAGATGCTTTACAATTAAAAGAAATGAAACATGACGTAACATCATTTTCTTTTGAATTATTTCATGAAATTGAAGGATTAGATGAATTACAAGATACAATTGAAAATTCAATGAATAAACTCAATAACAATTTTAAAAATACATTCAATTTGGAACAAATTAAACTTCATTTAAGTAATAAAAAAGAATAATCATACAAGATCTTAGTGTTTCTTTCGAACTTTTATGTAGTGAAAACATGATTTTTGTTGTATTGCTTTTCATTCTTGAAATATACACAATACATTTTATCTAATGAAATTATTGAATAAAAAACAACCAAGTCGTTTTTCTAGATTTTTATTACCACGATAAGTAACACAAATAGAAATAATCATGCAATCGCTCGCATAGCTATTGGATGTATAGATTAAAATTCGAAGGATACGACACTGCATTAGGTATCTAGCTCAAAAATTATTTTGTCTATTAACTAAGTAATTCATTGATTAAGTTTTCCTCCGACTTTTCCCCATACTCTAGAGCACCTACTGAAATACGACTTCCACAATAGCACATATGTAAGATTTACTAATTCGAACGGGAAGTGGGAAAGAACATTTAGATGATTTTGATAATTATATGACATAAGAAAGTCGTCTCATTCTATTATCTAAATCTTAAAAAAAAACTTTTTATAAACTAAAAAGAAAAATAGAATCTACAGAGGTTTACTTGACAGTTCTACAATTATTATCAGACTAAATGTGAAATATTATGAGATAGTCGATCAAATATTTTGCTTCTCACGGAAATCATCATGAACGATCTTGCTTGCTCAATTGATGAATCTCTAAATACGAACAGTTTCGGCTTTATCTTTATTTGCTATTCGCTCAGATTTACGCAGTTTTATTTAAGAAAAAAATATGAATCAAATTGACATTCGCTCATGAAAAATAACTGACAATACAATCGATTTTTATCGTTGATATGATTGAATGAACAAAACGAAACATGCACATGAGCCTTTTGAGTTCGTCTTCATCTATTAACTATACGATTCAGTCTGCTTCTTTTTAATAAAGTCATGTGTTTTTTAATTTCTTGAAACCATTGCTACTTTAGATATGTTTATCTCTTTATAATAGTTTTTATAGAGTTAGAAGCTTGAAATAAATAAACAATAAAAGTGAATCGATATTTTAAAATTAGAACAAATCGTATTTGTTCTTCTTTCTATGTTTATTATATGTATCTACGATTTTTAAATCTATTTCAAGTTAATTTCTAAGCTAATTTTCTTTGTTTTCTGTTGTTTTTGACAACATTTTCATCAGGAAAGACGTTTTGTGTAGCAGTGGTGGTAGCGGCAGTAGCAACACCTGACTGTTTGCCACTAAGTAACGATGCATGACCACTTTTGTTGCGTCCCCAATTGATAATTAAGGTTTCGCGAATACAAAACAACATAATAGCGATTTGTGCAATTGAGAAGAAACACCAAATTGAAGCTTGTTCCATTAAATTTGGTGTTATAAGACCAGCCAAATAGGGTCCAAAAGCAAACAAAAATATTCCTTGAATTATCATGCCTTTCTTTTCATATAATGCAAAGAATGGAGCAAACATTAAAAATGAATGAATTGCTGCGCCCGGAATAACATAGGTTGGATCAGCCATTGGTACTGACCAAGCAAGATGATAGTTTCCTACAGAAAACTAAATATAATACTTTCATCGACAAAAATAAAAGATCATTTCATACCACGATATGTGCATAATTTTGAACCACGTAACCATTCTGTTGATGGTCCATTCATTGTTTGTGGCCATTGATAAGCCAACAGAAATCGACCAAATAACATGAAACCACCTGCAAATGTATCGAATTCAATTTAAGAAAAAACAAGTTAGAAACCTCTTTAGATTTTACCTATTAAACATAGACGTTTAATGACCAAATAGCGATCAATATATTTTTGATTTTTGGTCAATGATGCATTGATAACATGACAAAAATAAGGTTGTAAACATATATGTAAAAATCCGGCAATAGTTAAAACTTGGTTGATAATTGTATCGCATATGGGTGAGTCAAGATTGGGTGCAATAAATAAATACTGAATTGATTGTAATAATTCCATTGTGAAAAAGAAGAAAACTCCGCTTGCTAATTGAGTATTTGAAGTTTTTGTCCATATCCACCAAGATGAAAAAAGACCAATAGCTGCAAATGCCGCTGACATTTCCATAGAAAAACACATCGTTGTTTTTTTGTTCGATTTTCACTAAACAAAGCTGTGCGCTCAGTACTTATATATGATGTGTTTATTATCGTACTAAGTTAATCAAATTTAGTTTTGACGGTGGTCCGATTATTTCAAAGAATGCAACAGAAAGATGGATGTTTTTTTTTGTTTTTCTTCTTTGAGAAGGGTACGATTGTATCGACCAATGAAAAACTTCCTTTGAGGACAATGCGAAAAGAAAAATCAAACAAAACCTTTTCTCGTTTACTGTTTAGTTACAACGTTTTTTAACAAACAAACGGTTACGAACGAACGCTCGATGTGTTTATATTTTTTCAAAAATCAGAGTCATGACATAACGTTAGATGGCGTTTTTGTTGAATCGTTTCCAGAGAGGCTCTTTCCACATGGTACCGTATGTCATAAGCTGTTCGTGTGAAAACTAGAATAGCATAGTATGCTTGCACAAGCATTAAAACAATTCAAGCCTTCAATTGCTCGAGGATATTGGAAAGAAAATTTTAGATGCAAACGCATGGTTGATTGTTTCAGTCAAGAGTTTATTTTACTTTTATGAAACAAGTCATAAAAACTGAAGGAAGTTTGAACAACGTTGTCTTGGCGAATATAAAATGTTTTTTTTAGGCTTTACACTGATTCTATTTTGTTATCAAAAGTTCATGATAACTAAAGATTGTTATCAATTCTTGTCTTGTACTTTAAAAACACGATGAGGACAATGATGATGGTGTTTTTTGTCTTGACTTCGGAAAGAACTCGTTTTTTGTAGCAAATATTTATTTAAAAAAAAGTGGGTCAAACTATAATATTTGAGTCAGTAGCATATATTCCTTCAGATGTTATTTTTATCTTTTTCTATTTCATTCTAGTATTTTCTGAAGCTTTATTATCATTGCCTTCAAAATCACCTTCAATGTCTTATTCTGATGCAGTTTAAATTTTAATAACTTTCAAATATTTATTTTTTTTACTTAAGTTTGTACCGCACAGTCACTTTTTTTCTGCTTATGGGACTTGAACGTATAAGTCAAATGCTAGCCATCTCGCGAGTGATGTGGGCAAAAAAGGAAATATATTCAGGATGAGTGTCGACCCACTCACTCGCATCTACATGCACTATAACTGATGAGATCTTTGAGAGAAGTGAAAACATGCCCATCGTCACAATAGACACTCGATCTTCATTTCATGATTGAATCATTTTTTTTCGTTTGTATATTGACCTGTGCCGAGTCTTTGCGCTTTCCGATGTCAAAAAACAATGAATGGCAATATTTGAAGCAATGGCTTATTGAGAACTACTTAATAAAGGAAAGAAAATGCTACATTTAATGTGTATGTATATTATATATTGTCTCTTAATAAGGTGAAAAGTTGTTTGTCTTGAATTAACAATCGATACCACAGATGCAGCCGGCAGCAGCTTTTCCTGCTGAGCCATCACCATTTTGAACAATATTCCAATGCGTATTTCGAATACAACTGTGGCCATATTGTTTCATCAATTCTTATACACTTCCCATAGGAGAGACAAAAAGAACTTGTTGCCGAATTTTAACATCAGTAACGTCATAGGAAACTTCAGCCAGTTTGTTATATTCAACACGATCTTGATATTGTAAAAGCAAACCAAGATCATTTTCCAAACCATATTTACTCAGCTCGAGTTTATATTCATCGCGAAATTCGATTAAATTTGCTCGATCACACAATTGTGCCAAACGTTCAACGATCTTTGTGTTGTTTCCATCGAAGAATTGAATTGGAAAGTAGGCATTTGCTGTTTTATCACAAGCCCACATGTATGGTACTGCAGTTTCCATCGATGACGACGTTGAAGCTTTGGCGTGAAATGCAAATGGATGACCATCACTAGAATAATGGCTCACCACCTGTTGAACATCAGTACCAATCGATTTGAGAGCGGTCTCAACATATTCTCCGTCGTTCAGTTGAAAATGATTGTGTACGAGCAAACACCTAATAGGTCACGCATTCCATATTTAATAAATACATGCGCCAAATTATCGATGGCACTTTCAATTCGTTTGGCTTGCTCACCTTCACCATTGCATTCAATGATTCGATTCAAAAGACCCAATTGGTTGAAATGTGTAGTAGAATACGCTTCAAATAAGCCCGTATCGAGCATTGTTTGTGTTGCAACCAGGGTTGCCAGATCGAAAATTCAAAAATCGAAAAGTGGTTTTTTAATGCTAAAATAGCTTATTTGTTTTTGCCTTGATAACACAATATCATTGATTCTGTTTCTGTTCATTTTCTCAATAATCTTAGAATCAATTTGATATAAAAATATAATCAAAACTTTTGATTCAAAAGTATAAAGTTATACATACACATAAATTTTACAAAATTTGTATAAAAACACGCTAAAATTTATTAAACGTCACAATGTTTTTTCGCTCATATTTTTCATTAGCTCGAATGTTCTTCAATATATCACGCTGAGTTAAAAGATATTTATACAAATACTCGCTAGGAGAATTAAAATTCATTCTGATTTTCAATTCTGCAGCAGCTAATTCAATATTCATTCCATTACGATAATCAAACCATAAATGTCTCATTATGAATAAATATTCTTTCGACAAAAGGGTTTGCTCGTGGAATTGAAAAAATCTAACAAATGAGTTTTTTCATATTTTATGTTGAATTCGGACAATTATTTAGTAAGACAGACCAGAATTGATCTGTTCGTATACGATTAAATTATCTTGGAGCGCTCAAAAAACTTAAATTTAAAAAAATTTAAAAAACCCAAAGAAAATCAGGAAATCGGAAAGCTATCGGAAAATCTTGACACCCTGGACGAGAGTAGAGTCCTTTTATCACGCGATCTTTTTCATCGGAAACGGCCTTAACCGACGTCGTTAACGTTCCGAGGAAAAACGGTCCGTAATCCGAGCTGTCGGAAAATGGTGGTCGTTTTCATCGTTTAGGGCATTAATTACGCTGTTTCTTGATTGTTTCAGGCGGGCTGAATGATGGACCTGGAAAGGCATGGCTTCAGATGCGACTATAGAAGGATCTCGCTGAATCACCGGTCTAGTAAAAAATTCAGCTTTCTCTAGTAGTTTCTGTGGGTTAGCAGGCCTTTTCCAATAGAGATGTGTAGAACCGTAAGTTTTATTTTTATGGACTTGTTCGTGAAACTTATTCGCAATTCAAGCGCTGATTCATACAGAATAAAATTCAGTTTCTGTGATGAAATTTTCCTATCAATATCTCAACGAACTTGAATGTACTATTTTACATAGGAATTAAACTCTACAGGCCATGATTCCTCGGTTAACCCTTTTATAGCCCTATAGTACTCAGTGTATACTACTTTAGTCATATTTTGATGATGAATATTTCTTGAAAGATGAAGCTTCACAAAATCGTAAATTCAGTCAAAACAATCAGATTAGGTATAGCCTTCGAATCTAAATGAACTGTCCAACTTGAATTTTTCATGAAATATATGAGCGAACTGCAAACCATGAAAATAGACGTTAAGAATTTCTGATAAATGAATTTTTCTACACCCTGGATGCTTGTATTAGATACCTAAACGTTTTCAACTCGTTATTGGTTACTACAGGAAACACATGAGTTATGTTCTAGCTTTACACGTAAAATAAGTAGCTGGGAAAAACCACAGTTCACTCACATTCACTGTTCGCATTCAAATCAGCTCGGCGATTAAAAAGAATAAAATTTTTAAATCGGCACTGTTTCCTCGAAAAACAAGGTGGCTTCAAAGGACATGCTTTACTGTGAACTTTTTCGAAGAGCACATCAGCAAAAATTCAAGTGAATAAGAAATTTTGACAGGTCGTCAAGGGTTGTACAAAGTGGGCGCTGTGTGCTCTTTTGTTTTTCATTTTATAATATTGAGGAATTTGTTTTTCCTTAAAATTCCTCCTTGCAAAATCATTTTTCTGAGTTTCAATTCACTAACCCGCTTAGAGACGTGTACTCGATATAGAACTATATACCAAACATATTGTAAACTCTTTTAAATCGACAGAAGATTTTCATCAACATTCGCCTGTATTAGTTCTATTGCGAATAGGGTATATATTTCGCACGTTCTCTATGACGGTATCATATTGCATCCTAATGAGTTGAAATGTATTGTAGATTTCTACAGGGCGTCCATTGTTTGTTCAAGAATCAATTAAATAGCATCTGTCGTAAGCACTCAATATATAAAAGTTTGTAGAACAAAATTGACTCATATTCGACAAACTAATAAATGCATACAGTGAGAGCAGAATGTAATCGCCGTTGAAGCGATGATATTTTCAGTATAAACCCTCAAGAAAATGTTTGTTTGTATCGGCTGATAGAAATTATTTTAGTGCACAATCCTTCATTTGTAATAAAATGTGATATAATAACCTTGGTCGAACGTTTTTTTGCAAGCACATGCAATTCTTGACTTTCTTGATCAAGAAAGTCAAGAACTATGGACACATCTTGAGGCAAGACATGAGGCCTTTCGGTGAGCTCAAGTTCTTAAACTTCTTGCTCATGCACTATGGACACCAGAGCTCCTCGTGGGACGGGATGGGACGAACAATTTTGGAAAATTTTAAGCAGACAAGAAAGAATTGAAGTCTCTTTCGATGTGATTCTATTATATGCTTACTATCTTTATCCATTAAAATTATATTTATTGACGTACGTGACCGCTTTCAAATTTTATTCTCATATTTTAAAACATTTTCGGTATATGTTGTTCAATTTACCAAAAATATTTAAAAAAAACGAATATAAGCTTTTAAAAGTCATCTAAGACAACGATCTTTAATTTTAATGGATTGAGATAGTATACATATCATAGAATCATATCGAAAGATATTTTGATTCTTTCTTGTCTGCTTAAAATTTTCCAAAAATATTCGTCCGATCCCATCTCACGCGAAGCTCTGGTGGACACATCTTGAGCTCAAGTTTTGGCAAGCGCATGAATAAAAAAACTTCGACTAGGGAATAAATACGTGAGATTTGAAAGAATTACAAGTTTTCTCTGAATATCGCTTCATGAAAGATTAATACAGGCTATCATCGCAGTATTGAGTATGATTAAGAAATTTTGTGTATTTATTAAGACAGAAAAATAGCACATTGATATATTCTTTTCAAAAAAATTTATACACATTTATTCAAATATAGCTTAAAGAAAATCACAATAAGTCGTATTATCTATAATGAATTATCATTGTAGAATTAGAGTTAATTTTGAACAAAATAAAAAACTATGCAACTATGTTATCATTTTTTGTTTGTCCACTTGATGAATTCAATTGCTGATTTCACGACAATCGAGCACCATTTGACGAAATTTATCAGCTGAATTAGCTCGTGTTGATGTATTGTCTCGAGTTTTAGTTGATATCGTAGCATTAGTCGGTGTTGTCGTTGTTAATGTTGGATATTTTTTCAATAAATCTTGTTGTTTAATTGAACCCAAACGAACTAATACAGGTGTATTGGATTTGGTAGTCGTTGCTGGTTTTGTGGAAACTTTTCGATCAATGGCTAAACCGGGTTTCGTTGTTGACGATGAATCTGCTGCAAAGGCACGTAAAGGCCCATGTGATGGATTAGGTTTTATTGGTGTTTCATCTAGTGACGATCGAGGACTTAGGACTGGACTATTCATAGAAGCTGTCGAAGAACGACGACTAGTATCATGTTTGGATGTTTTTCTATGACAATCAGTATTTAGATTCATGAAAACAAAAAGTAATTTTACTATTTACTTGTGCGACGAATTTGGTAGCTCTAATGGCTCTGGCGTATTTGTAGTGTGAAATATCTCTTTTTCCAGTCGATTACGTTCATCTCTGAGTTCTAAATTGAATTAAATTAGGATTACTTCTAGCCGTTTGAAAATTAACTGATATTTTTTAATACGGAATGAACCTCAAATACGTTTTCATATGATTGTTGGGCTCACCAAGATCTAGTGATTTTGATGAAGTCCCGTCTCATTTTTCAGTTAAAGCTCTGTCAAAATATCTATTAACTTAATAAAAATTTGTATCTCTTTTCATTTCTAAACGATGTAATATCTCATTACACGAACAATCCTGGTCCAATTACGATAAAGCAACAGTTGTTCGATGATTAAGATTCATTTTTGCTTCAGAATGGAAACTGTACAAGTAAAATTAGATTCTTTCTTTATGATAGGCAATTGTTCTTTTATAATTAGCGTTTATCTATTTTCATTCGAATGTTTCTTATGTTGTTACCTCCGAGAGTTGGTTCTCGTAAGAGGCCTCTTGTTTTTGCACGATAATCGGCTTCTTCTTCTAGTTTTTGCTAAAGTAAAAACAAAGTAAAAATAATGCTATGCTAGTAAAAACAAGAAGTCTTACATGTACATAAGTAACATGATTTTCAAAGGTGTTAATATCATCAGTAATAGCTTGTCTTAAACGTTGTATTATATCATCGATGGTAAAATCTTGTAGCTTATTACGAACTGTATTAATATCAATATTTGATTGTGTCCGTGGTGATAGAGGATTTATGATTTTAGTTTCATCAATATTTGCAGCTGGTTCTGGAATAGTTAATATCGGTGTTTCTCGTCCATGACGATCACGAGCTGATACAGGTCGTTCACGAATACGGCGTTCATCATCTCCAGTACCTGCCACAAGTGCATAGTTAATAGCACTCCAATTGTGTCCATTTGATAGACGTCGACGAAGTATTTGATCATCTTTCGCACATTGTTCATGAATATGTTTAACGAAAAATTCGATTTCAGTAGTTAAACGCTTTCGTAGAACAGGTGGTTCAGCTAAACTCCGATGTGTTGGATCTGTACAATTGGCAACAGTTTCATTTCTAGATTTATAAGAATATTTTTCTTTTCATTAGGCAAAAGAAGAATTTTCTTACCGATAATCTCGCCAAATGTCAAGTAAATTATCAACTTCACTTTCAATTTCTTCACATTGTTCGATTAATGATTGGCCCAAATAAAATTTTACATAATCACGTTCAGCAGGATTTAAACTTGTTGACAGTTCTTTCCATGTTGATAATGGTTTATCATAAGGAATAAATTGAGAAGAACGATTTTTTGACGACGAATTCATACCATGAAATGTTAATCTAAAATTAAGTATAGAAATAATACTGTTAACAACTATCTTAAATTATTATTATTCGTAAAGATTTATTTTTCTAGATAACTAATATTTTTATTAGGTACTTCAAAATTTCAACAGTCGACATTCTGACTGTTTGAGTTACTTCACAACCCCTCTCTTCAACTGTTTCTTGCATCAGATGGAGATAGAGAGAGAGGTCGCTTTACACGTTGAAAGCATCGATTTACTTTTGTGTGAATAACTTGTATGTTTTTAAAGTAACTAAACTAGATTTAAGAGACCACAATACAATCATTTATTTGTACAACTTCACATATTGACTTTTTTTTGTTATTATTATTTAAAAAATTTTAAATTTTACATCACTAAATCGGCATAGTATTTTAATCAAACGAAATGTACAACAACAACAACAACAACGAAAACAAACTAAAGCGTCTACAGTAAAAGTTCTGATAAGCTCAATCTCTCTGAGTGGCCACTGATAAGAATGACTTTTGTATTTCTATGCGACATTTACCTACCTGAGTTCGATCTTTGAAAAAGAAAACGCTTTTAAGATTTCAAAGTTTTAGTATTCATTAAATAATTAGTCATATCTGCGTGTGATCCAATTAACATGGCATCAGCTTCTATGCACATTTTTTCTCGTGCTTTATTCATAATACCATTGCACATTTTTTTATGATAATAATGTCGTAAACCAGGTTCAACCGCTCGAAATACATAACAATCTGATGTGGGATCATTAAATCGGTGATATAAATTACCATCTTCTAAACCCCAATCACGATTATTTGTTTCCCATCCGCCAATTTTATCTAGATCTTCCTTGCGCACAGCAACATTACCAAAACCATAAATAGAGAATAGACCACTTCTTGAATTGATATCAATTGTTGGATTATGACGCGTAACGAACATGTTAGAAAAAAAAGAAAATATAATAGGAAAATACACTGTACAAGATGAAATTGACAATTGATGAATCATTAAACGGCGAGTACTATCCAATGCTTGCCCGGTAAATATAAGATCGACGTCTAAAAAAAACAATAATTGATTGTTTGTAAATAATTTCGAAGCTAATTGGCGGCCAAGTCCACGATTATATGAAGTTTTATTGTTATCAATAATTGATATACGAATAATCGATGGATATCGGACTGATAATTGATGAATAAACTCAATAGTTCGATTATTTGCTCGAGTATTTTGTGAAAAATAAAGTATGGTTAATGTAAAATGCTTATGTCTAGTTGAATCATTGATTACTTCGCTTTCAAAATTATTTGTAAATCTTAATAAAGCTTCATCTTTATTACTTGAAACAACAATAATATTTAATTGATTTAAATTTTCATTTAATTCTGTATCAAATTTTATTTCTCGATATTCAAAACGATTGTTCTTTGCAAATGTCTGATGAATATGAAATCGCTTTTGAGTAGTAGCAAGTCGATTTGAAGATTTCGAATCTAAATAAACATTCAATTGAACTTCAACTAAGATACCGATGCCATGCGTTGATGTTACATGATGATATCCGAATGTAAATTTGCCCTGAGTTAATATCCACTTCGATGAACTTCGATACGAACTCATTCTTGTCTTTTCAATATACGATCCAACAGTTTGTTCAATATAGAATCTCCATCTTGGATCAATCTTTCGACTGAGTACATGTTGTGAAAGATCAAATTCTAATTCAGACAAAAACGTTGCATCATTTTTCCTATATCTTAATGCGTTTAACGATGCATTAGTTTTCACGTATTTCTGTTCTTGTTTTGCTCGTAAATAGAAAGCATAGATTTGTCGAAATGTATATTGATCTTTAATTGGATGCATAATCAATGCTTGAGAAATAATCGATGACGTAAAATCATGACCAAATGAATATCGAGGACCATAATGATGATAGAATAACGAATTCGCATTGTAGGCTCTCGAACAACCAATATGAACATGTTTTAATATACAACGACCTAACTCAACGTCTTCATGTGGAGTAAGCGTTTCATTGTGAAAACAATGATCAAGCCAAGGACCAAGCTTTGCTAATGTACTTCTAGAGAGGATAACTCCACTGCCACCCATACAGAAATACTGAAAAAAAAATAATAAAACCGAATATAATAAATTTTATATTATTAATTAATATTTACTTTTCCCGATGGAAAATGAATTGGTACACCATTTCGTCTTCCAGACCCTCCTTGGCCTATATATAGGTTTTTTTTAGAATCAATTGATTTAAGCCATTTTCCCAGTTCTTCAATGTTAACATAAGCATTATCGTCTAAACGTAATAACCATGATGTCCTATGGCGATAAAATGCATAAATAAATTTCATTGCATAAAAACTTTTTTTTTGCGGTGGATAACTATTTTCCACGTTTTTCAATTTAACAATAAATAAGCAAGCTTTAATATTTTGATTTAATTTAAGAAATAGTTCTTCAATTGTCACTTTTGTAGTTGAAGATTTCTCTTCAATAAATACAATGATTTCAATTTCAATCGTTGCTCTTAATACCCACGTGTTGAACATCGAAGGTAAATATATTAATAAACGCTCATACGATGAAATAACGGCTATGGTTAAAAATATTTCTGAACTCTCGTTTTGGCATGTTCCATATGTTCGATATTGAAAATGCTCATAAAACGAATATTTTATTCGTGTGGTTATCATGGTTGATGATGTACAAGGAAATTTAACGTATGTTTTCCAATAAAAAATGCCAATGGTAAAACCAATCGTAGAGCCACATAAGAAATATAAACAAAAAATCAAGTTTCTATGTGCTATGCGAAACATTCATTTTTTTTCATCTAAAACTGTAGAGAAATATCATCGATTTTCATCTCATGCATTTTCTTTTACGTCTTTTTTGCCTCGAAAGCAGTTCATAAAATAGTGTCAAACAACAAATTAATTAGATTCTAAAAATTGAATACATCAATATAATTTTGAGTGCCATTTCATCATTTTCAAAACAACATAAGCGATGAAATGGCAACAAGAAAAAAAATTCTCGTCTCCCCTCACCATCGGTAAAAAATTGAAAGAGAAAACAAGGCTGATGATTGATTTCTTTGGTTGTGAAATTGACAAGACGAAAAAGAAGAATATTAATTTTAGAAAAAAGAAAAAGAAAAATATTAATTTTAGAAAAAATAAAAATAAAATAAATGTTATACTTCTTCGAAGTGAAAAGAAAATACTATTGGTCATTTCGTTTTCAACATGGCATATATATTGAATACTTCTGTACAAATTCTTTCGGTCAAAGAGCATTTTTCTCAAGGCTAACTATCACAAAGCTTAAGGCGATTAGAGTTGTTCTCTTTTTCAAACTTTTAAATTTATCTTCGAGTTGAATTTTGTTAGTATTGCTAAGATAAGTAAAAGAAAAACATTGTCAATGCTGCTTACCCATTTTCATTTTACAAGCATTTATTTGAGGAACCGTTTTTAGTTTTACATTCATATGGCTCTATATTTTATTTATTGAATAAAAGAAAAATGAAAAGAAAACACAAAAAAATAACATCAGCCAGTACTTCAAACTACACTCACACCACCATTAAATGCAACAAGAACCGATAAAATAACACAACCAACTACATTGAATTCAGCTTAAAAGTACTGTCTTTGCTTTTTTCTTCTTCTTTACTAATGAACATCACTATCATTCGATTTCATATCTGTATATGTACGATATAGTTGAAAATTAACCATACCACGCATACGTCTTGCATTATATTCAATGCCAGGTGCCCAAGCGCGACACGTAATACTTACAAGACGATACAATGGTAGTTTGTTAAATTGAACTAAGACAAACGGTTGAACATGATCTTTTGCATTACTAAAGTTTAACATTTAATATTTGTCATGAAGTTTTAATTTTTCTTCAAAAGAAAATTTTTACCGAAATGGAAAAAAATAATTTGGTATAACACCAAATTTAGATGAACCCACTGGATAATTCAATGAATAATAAGTCACATTTGTTAGTACGTCTTCATCTGCAGGATGCTATTTAATCAAGAATAAATTCATTTATTTCTTGTCTTTATCAGGAAGAGCAAACAGAAAGAAAACGGATCATGATATTTCTCTTAAGGCTATTAGAAATATTTTACTAGTCGTAGGAGAATGATTGCATAACTCAATAGGTAGGCACACTTACAAGATTCAAGTATCGCTTCTGTTTGAATATGTAATAGTGTTTGGCTTCCGATACTAGTGCGCATTTTAACGCACGATTCGATCCTTATGAATCTAGTTTTCTTGATTGACTAATTAATTATAGTACTAGATATATGTATATTTAAAAGCTAAACTTTGTGAACGCAAACCACAGCTTATAGATACGTATATATGTTCACGAATGATCGATCATTCTCTCGCTTTGATTTTTAAACAGTGCTTTGAATATTTGCATATATAATCTCAATATCAAAAGAAAAAATGTTTTCAAGCAAGATAAAAAATGGATGACTTAAAAAAAAGAATCGGTGGCATTTAAAGTATGAATTTGATATTGAATAAGAATAAAAGAAAATGCTCGATAAGTACAAATGTAGGTACACTTACGGTTCCTGCGCAAGTCACATACACGTCACAATTCGATGTACTTTTATCACTAAAAACTCCTCGGAGTTCTTGAATATGCAATGGTAAAACACCTTTTATAGGTTTCCACTCGTAAACCTAGATATAAAATCGTTCGATAGTTTCGTATTTAGTAACGGACACACGAATTCATTTTCATACTTTGTTAAGTTTAACAAGAATACATGGCTGTTCATACTTAAAGCCATACAGATTTTTATCTGAACACGGATGATTATCATTGTTAACAATATGATACCAATTAAACGAACAAGCTGCACCAGATTGTAGTTTAGATGCTGGTTTATCTACAGAACATTCTTCGGTTTTAGCATCTTGATTTTGTAGAAGAAAAACATTTCGAAACAATTCTAACGACGAAGCAATTTGTTGTTGTTGTGTTGAGTTATTTGTTATTCGTACAAGACTTTCAGAAGTCGACGGCTGTGGTCGAAAACCCATTCCAACTATTTAGAAATATATATAAATAAAGAAAATTCAATTATTGATAAAAACACAAACCAATAGCATTGGTACTTCGAACGGCCATTGTACTTTCGGTATTAAAATATCTTGGTTGAGTCCGATCCAGCCGAGAAGCAAAAATATAAGTTAAACCAACAAAAAAACACCCCAAAAAGCAAAAGAATATTGCATAAAAAATTGATAATTTAACTGCAATATAAATAAAAATATTATTATGGTTGTAGTAATTTACTTTTTATTTTGCATTTACTCCAATTAAGTGCATCCCGGTCAAGAATTGTTCTACGTCTTGAATCATAAACAAGGGTTCCAAAGGATAATCTTGCATTGACTCGTTTTTTCGTGTTTTCATCTAATAAATTCTTAACATCTGTTCCACTTTTTTGTACTTCTCTATTGTGATTTTCTGGTTCTATAGTAATATCATTTGGTTGTCTCTCTCTATTTGCCATTTTATCTAAAGTATTGCTCATGTTTACATTTTCCTGTCAGGTTAAAACAAAAGAAAGTCTTACGTTTTTATTTTTTTTTACATGAAAATAAAAACGCTAATGTGACTGCCCGTTGGATGAGTGAATATACGAATAAAAAGTAATGTCAGAACATATGAAAATGCTTTCAAGCGTAACCATCGAATGTACGCCTTTTCCTCGCACCAACAGCAAAACGACAATCATGCTTTCATCGTTTTCTTCTTAGATATTAGAACAACGAAACATTTATTTATGTAAAAACATGCAAATATGAACAAGACAAGACAAGACAAGACAAGACAGAATAGCACTCTGCTGTTGAAAAAACAATAATAGAAATAAAATAAATTTGTAATAAAAGATATTTTTTCAAAAAAAGTGACATAGACGAATTAATGTTCAAATGGTTCTTATTCTGAAATTATTATGCTTTAGGAGCATTTTTGTTTGATCGTAAGATATCAAATGTGGCAACTCCACGACGTGTTGTACCTTCAGATAATTGTACGATATTCGGTGCCCAAGCGCGACATATTACATTTACTTTTATTTCTAATGGTAATGACGTAAATTGTACTAATACGAATGGATCAACTTGCTCTCTTGAATTTCTGAAAGATTAATTATATATACAGAATAGAAAAAAAAATTCTGAAATTTTTACGTATAGGGATAGAAATAATATGGTATACCACCATAACCCGAAATACCAAGTGGATGCAAAATAGAATAATATGTTAGATTACCAATTACTAGTCTATCACTTGCAGTTGTACCATTACAAGTTATGTAAATATTTTGTTCTTGCTGATCAATAGGCAATATCGTTTGGCCTGTGGCATTGGCAATTTGATCGATGATATTACCTGCAGCTGGTAGCCAATTATAAATCTTCAAAGAAATAAAAATTAATGTTTCTTAGTCATATTTTCAATCATATTTGATAGATGATTGAATTCAAAAATTGTTTTTACTCGATTTAATTTAAGTAATACACATGGTTTACCACTACTCCATCCATACATATTTGTAGTCGAACAAGGATGTGCTATAGAAGGAAAATAGACGATCATTTGAAGGAGACAAATCGAAATAGATATATTCAATACATTCACTTGTGACAATATCTGTCCAAGAAAACACACACGAACGATCTCCTTGAAGACTGGAGGCTGGATTAGATGGACTACATTCGTCCAAATATGTTGAATCGTATTGTGTCAAAAATTCTATATAAAATCAATAGGAAAAACATAATGACACAATGGATACTTTTATAACTATGATTACGAATTTTATAATTTGTTAAAGAGGAGATTGTTTGAAGTTGAGATGCTGTATCATTATAAACAGTAAGTGATGTGTCGTCTATAGTAGGCATCGGACGATAACCCATTCCTAAAAGTTAACACATAGGTCATTGTTTTCATTTGTAATTATAACTAACCAGGATAAATCTTTCCACCGTCGCTCATTTTACTCTGAAGATTAGTATATGTTGGTGTTTGACGTACTACAATAGCACCGAATACAGCCATTATACCGCAATAGTATAGACCCGAACAAATGTAGAAAATGAAATAATATAAAGAGATTTTAATCCAGGAGTTGCTTGTGTTTCCACATATTGTTTGTTGTTCTTTATTAAAAAGAAAAATTCCAGATGATTTTAATAAATTGACTGAACGTGTTTTGATGCGATACATAAGGGGCATTTTAACTTCGGCATCGCCATCTCTGCCATTTGATTGTTCTATTATTTCAGTTGATGTCATTACTATGAATTCGACGTATTAAGCAAAAACTGCGTATTCAGTTATTTGTTGTTTACGCGTTTGACTGCGACCAAAAAATAAACGAATCGTTGAGTTTGATAGTTGCATGACTGGAAACAGAATTAATAATGTCATAGGCAACCAACCATGACTGACAATCAACGTTACAGTTATGGTTAGTGTGTTAAAATACCAAATATCGCCATTTTTTAACTGACTTTTGAAAAACACTGCTCGATTCAGTTTTGTTTACAAATTTGAAATCTGTTCAATTGATTCTTTACTTATGATATGTAACAGTTCATATGGAACAAAACAGGATTTATTGCACTCTAAAAAATCAAGACGTATATAGTGTACATGCAAGACGTTTCGTGCGCTAAAACAAGACGCTTCGTCTTCTTTCTTATTGGTTCATATCTAACTCGATAAGACGCTTCACGCGAAGCGTGACCGATTTTAGACACTCGAGTCGAGCGTCTTAATCGATCCTGATTGTAGTATTTAAACTAATGTTTTTAAGCGTCTTACAGTAGTCTTTTTTAGACGCTTCTATCAATCTATGGTTCACCAATTCAAGAATTCAGATTTTTATATGAACCTTAGATATTAGAATAAATATTATCAATAAAATAATTTTTTTACACTCTACTTGAGTTAAAATTATATTTGAAAACTAGAGAAATTATTATAAAATTTTTTATATATATTTTTTGATGTTTAATGAAATTTCTCGAAGGTGATATTCTTGTGGAATAATATATTATCTTCGAAAAAATTTTATTTGAGTAAGTCTCAGTTTTGAGGAATTTCATTAAACATCAAAAACTATATATAAAAAATTTTATAATAATTTCTCTAGTTTTTAAATATCATTTTAACTCAAGTAGAGTATAAAAAAATTATTTCATCGAGAATATTCATTCTAATATCTAATGTTCATATAAAAACATGAATTCTTGAATTAGTGAACCATAGATTGATAGAATCGTCGGGGAAAACTCATGCAACACTTAAGTCTAAAACGAAAAAAAAAGTCTGAAGTATTTTTTTAAATATACAATATTAAAATATAGCTGTAATCAGCTATTTTTGATAATTTTTCTATCATCTAGAAAACAAATAAAAAACTTGAAAATATATTAGAAATAAATAAAAAAGAAATTTTGGTAAAATGGTTCGCATATTTTTAAAGCCCCTTCACTTCAGATATCGAATCAAGAGATACGGATCTCTTCAAAACCACGAATATCCTCAATTCGAGTTAAAATGTGAAGTAGTTCACGGCAGAAAAGCCATCGGAAAAACTAGTTCGGGAAAGAGTCAAATCCTAAATATTTACAAGAAATCGAATAAGACTCTTTGTTTCACATCCGAAAGTAAATTCTCATAGCTACGAAAGAAAGTAAAAAAACTGATCTATTGGGGGATTCATTTTCGTCACCATTATCAATTACTTGACACTCATCTACAATAAAGGAATCATAATAATATGTGAAATAGGCGAAAAGTCTTTATTTTGTTAAAATCCAAAATAAATCTTTAAAATAATTACATAATGAATTATCGAGTAAAAAAATTATGCTTTGAAAATCTATGGATGTGATTTTCATTTCTATCTTGAAATGATAATTTTATTGATATTTGTAATCAACAAGAATTTTGAATGTCAACATATATGTACTACATTCAAAGCTATTATCGTCTATAGCTGAATTTAGTTTTGTTTAGTAAATCAAAAACTCACAAAAAAACTTAAGAAATTGAATAATTTCGTCTATGAGCGACATCATTCGAGAATATATCGTTATACGAATGGAGCGAACGATTATCCTTCTACAAAAAAAAATTATCAATCCTCTCTATCATGAACTTAATCAGTAATTTCCCATAAAAGATCCCACTCACTCATTAATTAATTACACCAATTCGATGAGTTCCTATGTAAAATATATTTTCAGTAATAATTTTTCAGATTAGGATTTTTTTAGCAAAATCAGATGATGAATTCATCAATTATGGAGAATGATATTGATGATGATGGTGATGATGACAGCGATCTTAATAACAATGAATTTAAACGTATTTTATTTCCTATTCTATCAACAAATATATCACCACTTCGACCATCAGTAACTAGTTCGTCCTATTGTGATACCAATTCATATGAAGGTTTATTTATGGAAAGTTGTGCAAAACTTCACGAACAGATAGCACATTATTGTTGGCCATTCTGTCCAATTTATTTACTACATATAAATACATATTGTCACATTGATTATTTTGCTATACCAGCTGAAATAGCTCTTGTCGAAACAACATTTTGGCCTCAACTATATGGAAATAAGATCAATGTAGAATCTATGAATATATCGAAAAAAGTCAATGAACATTATGAACGTCATTCTAATCTATGCAAACGTCTTTGTTCAATTACTGATGATTTTCATGATTTTGTCCATCCAGGTGATCAATTGCCCACTGGCTATCAAGCAGATATTCTCGAGCATTCAAGACGAACTCATGGTTTGAAGATTTTTGATACTATTTTTAGTTTGAGAGTTTTCGAGCGACGATTTTCATTGATATAGAAAAAAGAGAGAGAGAGAGTTAAATACTAATTATTTTCCTGGTTATATTTCTTATTCATTTCTTTAAGGATTACCATGTACACCATATGAAAAAATTGGTACACAAGATTATAATCAATTATTAGATGATTTAAATGAAATGCTCAGTTCATTATGTGATTCTCGTCAGAAAACTAATCATGGAACTATGCCAATGTTTTGCACAATAGAATCATTCTGGTCAACAAAAGCTGCACTTGATTGGATCTACGATCAACCATCAACACGAGATCGTCTCGATGATTATACATTGTATCCAATCGAAGCATTGATTGCTGTTATTTATAGAAATTTCTATAGTCGAGTTCAATTTAAATGTGAACTTGGCGTATTGATGGGGTGAATATTTAAAATTATTGAAATAATAGTAATAATGTTTTTATTCTCCCTTCTTTTCTTTTTCGTTAGCAAAACTCCTCAACAACCCGTACTTCATTCTCGTGCATGCGATTATCATGCTATACTAGAAAATAAATATTGTGCTATGGCTCATGTAAGTTTATTGATTGATGAAATATTATTATCTTATTGATTTTATTATGAAAATAAAAAGGTTCGTGATCTAGCAGAATATTATACTTCATTAATGGCTTATTTATACTATACATATTGTGATCATAATTCGACAACATTGTTACCTTATGTAAAAGTAACATATCAAGGAAATTTGTCACTTCAACAAGAAGCTTATCGGTCTGGTAAAAAAGAACGATTTAAAAAAGTAATAAATGGTAATTATTCATCATACGATGATACTTCATTATCGTCAAGTATCAGCTCGAATGACAAAGCATTTGAAAATAATAAAAATCCTATTCAAATGAAAAAATATGAAAATCATCGAAATCATTCAATGAGTATGTAATATGTGATTGTTTTTTGTTTTCTTAAATTAATTCTTCAGTTTAACATCTATGATAGGAAAAGAATCTAATTCAAATTTGAATCCATTAGCTGTACCGTTTGAGATACAGATTCAACAACAAGAACGTATTCAACATTCTAAAGACAATAATAAGCCACCAGCTCAGCTGGTATTATTTGAGCCACGTAATACACCAAGTCCTGTACCTTCATGTCAAACAATGTATCAACGTATGCATCATCGACCACGTGAAAATTGGGATTAATATAAACCACCGAAATATAATTGATATTATGTTTGTTTTTGTTTGATTGTTTGTTTGTTTATGTAAGAGAAATTATTTGTGAGCATATTTTTCTGTTTGAAAATAACGAAACAAGAATAAAATGTTTCGAGATAAATAGTTAAATTTTAGTTTTTAATTATAATTTAAAAGGGATTCGTTTTTGGTAAAATTTATTTTATGTTTACATAAGAGGCTTAGCAGAATTTTGTGAGATTGACTGCTACTTAAAAGTGGATTGCAATTATTTTCTGGAACGTATCACTCATTGACAGGTGTGTTCCGATGGGAATCGTATTTCTAAAGCTTATCCGACATCGATATTTTCTCGTGGCAACTAGTAAGCACTCATTTTGTTTTCACTCGAATGCCCTAGAGCTTTCGCTAATTGACTAATGTCTTATTGACGAAATGTGGAAATCCTGTACTAGAAATCTTCGAGTTACATGTACTTCATAATTGACCCGATCGATTCAACAAGATATCGGCTAATTAAAGAGTCGACACATTGTATAGAACATTTTTGTACTTATTACAAAAAAACAAAGAGAAAAATTGCCATAAAGTCATATCCAAAATGATAATAATTATGAAGTATTTCCCATAAAAAGATTAATACGAGTTGGATTTATGATAGAATAATGTAAAAAAAAACATAATAACTAAATTCCATTAAAATAATAAGTGCCTCGGTTTCATTTGTCAATGAATTTTAAGTATTTAATGAACAAGAATACTGTGTCGATCATAGACTACAAATGATAACTGAACTGACATTAATGATACATTAGCAAGTATAAATCACATTTTTTTATGAAAAATAAATTGAGTTTAGCAATTTCCTTTTTTTTTGTTTCAAGCGTCAACTATATTCATTTATGAACTTTTCTAATAGTTTTAAAACCAAGTTTCAAATGATTACCTATTGAAATTCATTGTTTGTTATTTTTAGTTTCTTAATATGATCATAATACAAGAAAAATATGAAAAGATTTTCGCTCCAAATGACATTTTGATGTTATATATAGTCGACACACAGTAAATATTGAACCTGCCAATTGTGTTCAACCACGATATGTCATTACATGAGCTTTTAATTCATTTATGTTACGCGTAGGAGTGTACGTGACTAGAAGATTATCTATTGTATAAAGAAAGTGTTCACCATTTTCTAGTTCTTATATAGATAATTGATGCTAAAGATCATTGAAGTAGACCAACTGATTGATTCGAGAAAGACTCCCTGCGGTTACAAGATCATTAATTCTAAGAATACAACAATTCTTAAGAAAAAGCGAAAGAAGAGAAAAAAAGGAAGAGAATAGTAGCTAAGTTATAAAAAAAGAAAAATTTCTCATATTCTCCCTTCATCTCTTTCCATATTCGGAAAAAGTCTCAAACAGGCACTTCACTTCTTATTCTCTCTCAATTATCTTTATAATAAATACTAGCTATAACAATAAATAATGTTTCATCGTCAGTCATTGTTATTGACAATTTTTTCAATTATTTTAATTCAAATTTCTTATATTTATTCAACTCCAGTTATTTCTGCAGCTGCTAGCCATATTATTGAGGAAAATGATGATGATTATCAACGTGCATACAATGGTTTTATCTATCATATAAAAAATATTGTCGATGAAAGAAATATCTATGAACAAATGATGTTACTTAATCAGTTACGTGAATATCTAAATCGTATGTGTATTACTGGATTTTTCGGAGCAATACATGCTGAAGCGTGCCAACGCGTAGTGGATGTTTTTCATCAAAATTATATTCATAGTCGTATAAATGACAATGAAATCACTGATACATCCAATGAAACACACGGTTTACAAAAGCGTTTCTTTTGTAATGGATTTATTGGTTGTAAAAACGCTCACGGCTGACTGTCAACGGATCGGAACGATAACAACAAGAGAAAGAAAGATAAACAGTATTTTTAACGCAAGAGAGTATGATTGTGGAGTTTTATTTTGAAACCACTCATAAAAATAAATAGAAATAAATCTTCATTTTGTTGTATTTTCTTATTCATTCAGTATTGATAAGAGTCTATTTCCTTCACGAATACCACTTTCGAGTGCACCATGAACAGTTGAATAGCCATTTTCATGAGTTGCTTCACCAGCAAATAGTATTCGTGGAATCTAAAGTAAATATTTCAATTGATCAATTTGTCAATTACAATCTTCAAAAGCTTTTTTTCTATTTTATCAGATTATCGATGAAATCTTGTTTTCTCAGAACTAATCCAATACACTAACATATAAATATGATTATCAAAATAAATGAAAGATTCTAGCATTGATTTTTTTCTCTGAAAATCAAAATCATACCCCATCCGGTTCGTAGGCAGTTCGCAATTGTTCTCCTGCTTTTGCGGATGATTTAATCGAATAATATGAGTAAGACCCACGAATAAATCTATTCTTATGCCATTCACTTCTAAATATAATTTTCGATAAACAACAATAAGAATCATATTATAATAACGATGTCTTTTCCTACTTAAGGACACGATTTAATTTATTCGATTTCGAAGATAAATTCAAATAGTGACACAAAACTTCATGACAAATTTGACCAATAATATTTTCGTTAATATCTTCTATTAATAGAGCAGCCGAACCACCAAACCAACAGATTAATATAGGAACATTAGTTGATCGTAATTCATCATATCGATGAACTGCTTCAATAATTGTACTAACGACTCGTTCATCAATATGCTCGATCTTGATTAATGTTTTCAATGAATCGGAAAATTCAATTGATTTTTGTTTTTGTCGATCCAATAACATAATTTTACCAACGCCATCTGGCCAAAAACGTTTCTCATAGATCAACACAGTCTAAAGTCAAAACGTCGATAGATTTTGTTTTTCTTATTTGATAAAGAATTCTTTTACTTTATTGATTGTATCAAAACCAAGTCGATTGATTGCATCTTGTTTCTGTTCAATGAGTTCGATTTCATCAGCAAATATTGAAGAAAAATTTTCTTTTAAATAACCTAATGAACTTGTCCATACGATATGATCACATAAAATTGTACTTATTTCTTGTTCATGTTCAGATTTGATATTGTGATTTCGAGTCTCGACTTGCAATTGATGTGTATCGTTAAGATATTTTACACGAACTACTTCAGAATTTAAACGAATTCGATTATCATCTGGTATAAACGATTTCAAATAGGAAATAAATGGACGGTAGCCACCATTTTTCAATTCATATTCCATTAATCCTTCGAGATATTCATATGAACCATATTCTAAGTAGAAACATTTAATATATACATCCGTAACTAAAAGTAAATAATTCAACTTCTACCTGCTAAACTTAATGTGGCTAATGATGAACAGCCATTTTCAACTAATTCAGCTTTATCAAAATAATCAATAAATTCATCAAGTAAATGTTCACAAGAAGGCAATGCCGATAAAAAAAGTGGTTTAAAATTTTCAATTAAATAATCATAAAATGAATTATCTGTTGGTATTGTTACATCACCAAATTTCGATTGAGCTTCTTTAGCGAATTCTTCCCACACAGTTTGAACTGTGTCCACTATTTCTGGATTAAGCCTAGTTCGATCCGATCTTATAGCAATTGTTTCTATAGGTAAATAAAAAAAAATATCCATCATTTATCCCAATACACATACCTTCGTTATTTACGCTTGAAAGAGCCATAATACAATCTAATTGTTTACAAATTTCATAAACACGATTATTTGTTTTGCCATGAATAAATTGAGCTCCCTAGTAATAATAATATTAATATGATTAAAGAAAGCTCATTATTCCCTGTTTACCAAATCAACAACGGCATCAGGAGCTGATTGAATAGCATAGAAATAATTAGATAAAAATAAAGTTTATTTTAATGAAAACAAAACACAACCTGCATCAACAGTACGAATACGTCCACCTATATAATCTTGTGCTTCAATAAGTAAATAGTTAACATCGGGACTCAGAGTTTTAGCAGCAGCAAGACCTGCTGCACCACCACCAACAATGACTACTTTGACAGACTCCATGTTGTATACGTTTATGCTTACTCTTCTTTCTTTTCTTTTACACTTTCTTCAATGTATCTATAAAGGTAGTCAGGCCTTGTTTTTATGGCTATCAATACACCACAATAGATATGCGTTTTCTTTTATACGCTATTCTTACGAAATGTTTTCTCGTACGCATGTTGATAGTCGGGGATAGAGTGTAATTTCTTAAAGTGACACTGAAATTTTGTTAATTCTATTGATTCATCGAAGATGTTCATAGTACAAGTTCAAAATATCGATGTTCACTATAGTGGAATAACTTTTAAAAACAATAGAACCATCTTGCGGCTATTTTAAGTTAATAAAATTATTTCGGTAAATAATTATCAGCATTATAGAAATATTTTCATTTAAATGACTTTTATGCTTATTGGTTTCTATCGTACAAGGTATATAAAAAAAAACTTAGGTTTTTATTTAAAGCCCGAACGCACCGATAAATATTGTTCTTATATCTTCGTGGACGAGAAGGCGGTTCTTTTCTTGATCAACCCACTCTTCGATACTCTCATTCTTATAGATGCCTTAAGATAAACATTATCTATTGAATATCATAAATTTTTAATATTCTCATAAAAAGAAATCTTTTTTTCTGCGTTGATTCCGGTTGATTTTTGCCTTCAGACTAAAATTTTTCTCGTCCATGTTAGACAAAAATAATTGTGATTGATCCATTGAAAATGTTTTTGTTTCCAATTTGTTGAATTAGATTTCGCCAACGTTCATAGTTGTATCTCAATCCTTCTGGGAAATCCAATTGAAGCAGATAACCAATACGACAATTTTCTCACGCTGCTTTTAAATATTGAATATTAGATTTCAAAATTAATCCTAATTCATTGCCCAACGAATTAAACTTTATTGATTCTAGAATAAAATAACCATCTGCTTGAAACTTTAATCATAAGTATTATTTTTTTTTATCTCTATTTTAAATCGAAAATATCTCCTTTTTACTTCAGAACAAAAAATGAAAAACTTCATTTTCGATCGAAGTCATCTAAGTGATTTGATTAGTATATTTCTTTTTCTATCGACGAAGTTAGTATTCATTTATAGACTTCGAGATATATATTTCCATAAGCCCAATTTTAAATTATATCACAATGTTATTGAATAAAAAAAAACAAATAGAATAAAATTGTCCTAAGCAGTAGATGCTAAGCCTTTATCAAGTATATTAAGAATAATGACATAAATAGGAGCGAATTCTTTTTGTTGTCGATTACGAACTGTTTGAACATACGTTTCTAATGTTCCCCTAAAACGAAAATGTTTTTTACAAAGAAATTTTCAAAATAAAAGCCAAAGGAATTTACTTGATCATTGCTAATCGATCACTCATATTGGGATGTTCATCAAGCCATTGAATATATCGATTAATGGACCAATTCATTGCCTTAAAAATAAATGAGAAGTTTACTGGCCGTAACATAAGTCATTCTATTATAATTACTTGATGTGGTGAACGCATTTCAATAGGTGCTCTTGAAAATAAATGATGAAGAACAATGTCATAGGGAACAACATCGCCAATGACGGAATTATTTTGAAATTCTTCTGTAGTTAAAATTAACAATGATCGAAATGCTTTTAGAATTTTATAATGTTTCCCTAAATCTGTTAGACGACGACAGAATGGTGATAGGGCAAATTCGATTTGCGCAAAATCAACAACTAAACGTAATATTCCGCCTTCACCCAATGGTCGAACCAAACTAATATGTTCCATAAACAATTCAATGGCTCGGCATGCAATCGGCGCAAGACTAATAAAAAAATTTGTATATATATATAAAACTGAATTATTGATTAAATATAATTAACTTACTTTTCATACATAAAATCTTTACATTGAAATTCAGTGAAATAATCTTTTTGAATGCGGATTATAAATTCTTGTAATTCTTTCATATATAATGAACTTTGAGAGTCCGATTGAGTTCCAGTTGGTCTAACAAAGGTAAACAAAGGTTAGGAACTTTCTGATTTATAAATCAATTGATTTACTGTGAAAAATCTTCAGTATGCATCGTTGCAAGTATAGCCTCGATACAATCAGCGACAGAATTAAGGAATGGATGAATTGCTGTATTCATTAAAGAATGAACACACTAGAAAATTAGAAGAAAAATATGAATTTCAATTCTATGGTTAGTTTTCTCGTACTTGTAAAGCATCAGCGATACGTGTTGTTGCAGTTAAAGGAAGATTTTGTTGTTCAGCAAGCATCTATAAAATAAAACAGCAACATATGGAAAAATTTATTTTTCGTTTTTGTGAAGAGATTTTCAAACCTTATTTATCATCGAACAGAAATTATAAAGAATATTAATTGCTGATATATTACGTAATTGCGCTGCTGTCGGAGCTGATACAACTTGACTTCCTTCGCTGTCCGTACAAATCTATGTTAGAAAACAAGAAATAGGCACATTATTGTTGAATATTAATGTCATACCGATTGTTCACATCTATGAAGAATATTCACACATATACATATGTTAGTAGAAGTATTTAATCAAACTTACTTCGCTGCAAATAATTGAATTGCTTTGCCTATATTACGTGCCACTTTATTTACTAATGCTTCGCTAACAATTGATACTGTTAATTCACTAAAAAAAACAGAAATCATAGAAAATATTCGTATTAATGAAGAAGGTCCTATTAATTGTAGAACTGAGAAATTAATGATATTCTTTAAAAAAAAACATTGGTTTTGTACAATAGTATCACTTACACTGATCAGGAAAGATTTTCGGCAGTTCAAGCGCTTTTTTTCTTGGTATTATAACTGTTCGGGCAGCCATAAAAATGAGGGAAGAAAATCTATTTTGAATTCTGTTTTGTAGCCATTTCTTATTGAGTTTTATGCACTTTACCGCTGCTTAGACTTAGGACTATGAAGTTGTAAATGAAATTTTTGTGCCTAGTTAGATGTTAGAGTTGTTGAAAGTATCTTCGAATTTGGACTACTTAGGAGGATTGCCGATGTTACATGCTACAACCTCTAAGCATTAGATTTCGATTACAAATGTACTCTGAACGATATATTGTCATTTTAAATTTGAAGTCTACAGCGCATAGATACGGATTTCTTCTTACTTGACAATAAGTTTAACAAAACTTTCTAATTCTTGCTGTGTTGGCAATAATTTTGTTGTACTACTGCTACTAAACACAAGATTAATTGGATCCGATAAGCGTGATGATAGTATCGATAAATAAGATTTTTCGAATATCTCAAAACATTCATTTAATTGTAAATTTGCTCTAATAAACAAAAGAAAAACCAATTTCTATAAATCAAAAGAAAAACGAAAACAAACTTTTGTTTTTCTTGAGATTGTTCTGAATCAAGTGGGTCCTTATCTATAAGATCCATTTCAATCTCACTGAAACCTGGTTGCAATTGATTTAAACGAGCAATTAAATCATTTTGTAGTCTTAATAATCTCGGATATTCGCCTTCCAATGCTTGTCGAAGATGATATGAATCTTAAAAAGCAAGTATTCACAATAAAAATGCTCTTCTTCTGTCTATATTAAGTTTTCTCGTTCGGTACCTGACATGGATATTTTCATTTGTTTTCTCAATGATTTCATAGCACCTACCCAAAATTGCCCAACGAGATCACTTGAATGGCCTTGCTAAAAACGAGAATAACAAAGAATTGCCTAGATGTCTTTCTGTGTAATTAAACTAGTTTATTTTACTTTAGTCAATTCGTCAATAAAAGTTGTATGTGTAATTGGATCTTTCTTCTTAGCTAGAACTCTTGAAAGATTGTACAATTGTGCGATAGTAACATAAAGTAACTCAAGTATTTTATCAATATTTGTCCATAGTAATGCACGAAATTGTGATGTATTTCCAATATTTGGCATTGTTGTTCGACCTGGATTCGATGCTAAATAAATATTTCATTGATATGCATTTTGTTTTCGGAATTTTCATTATATACATACGATCTTTACTCCGTGATAATTGTTTTAAATCAAGATATTCAGAAATTTGTGCTTGAAAATTTTGTAATTGCCGTTGCTCAATCGATTGAATACGATCGTGAAGTGTACCCAAATTAAAAAACACTTGTAATGCTGTACCGATTTGTGCCGGATTCTATAATGTAATCGTAGGATATTTGTTGAACAACTAAAACAGTATTATCGAACAAACCAAATGATTTAGACCATTTTCTAGAACATCTTGTGCTTGCGTTTGAATATCATGACGAGCTTTAAACACAAATTGAAGATCTTTTTCCACGATATCAATACCCGTAAAATCAGTGTCAACAGTAAAATGATCTTTTAAAGAAAAAGAAAACAGAAGTTTTGATTTTGAAATATTTAATTACCTAGTTCACTCAAGCATTGCGAAGCTTTGACTAGTTCAATTTGCTGTTGACCTGCATTTGACGGTGACATAAATGTTTGTAATTTTTTTGTTTGCTGTAGTACTCCTTTGATGCGTCGAAGAAGATCACATGTATTCTATAAACATGAGCGATATTGATGGAATTCAAAAGGCTAATTTTACTGTACCTGAAGGCGAGTTAATTGATATTTTCGAACTAATATTTTATTATATGGTTCAGTCACTTTTGTAGATATTCTAATTAAATAGAACAAAATATTTGGAATTCTTCTCTTCAAAACCAACTGTCTAGTCAATGGTCTATGTAGTTCTACTTCCAATATATTTCCTAGTAACATTTTGATTGATCACCTACGAGAAAGAAAGTTGTCTGAAAGAGTTCAACACTGATCGTTTCTAGTCTCTGGATATGCTGTGTGAAAAATTAATTTTAAAGTGCTCAATATCCTAAATGGAAATCAGTATTGGCCATATTTCGTGAGACTTCTCCTTCCATAGGAAATGAAAAAAAGTGAATATGTTCAGATTTTCTCTGCATTCTAAGATATACTAATGTTTTTGAAAACAAAAACAATATCGAACCTGTCAACAGTTGATTTCAATGATCCAATGCGCGACTGCATATTTTCTAAAACATCTTCAATTGTGCCGATGGATGATGCTTGTCGAAATAGAACTGGTGCATTTGATGATACCTTAAATAATTATTTCAGACATAGGAAATCAAAAGCATCTAATTTTGTTTTGAAATAACTCGTTTACTTGCTGTTTTATTTCACCATCAAGCGTTCTTATAAGTTCATTTAAATGTTGTAAATAATCCGCAACAAGTTTAGTTTGTAGAATATTAGCTGAAAATGATTTTATATCAAAATCATCGTCAATAAAATCGTTGAATGATTCTAAATTTAAAAAAATTTCGCATTTCAACATAAATTTTATTCATATGGCATCCTCTTCTTGTATATGTACCATCATTCAAAATTGTGCATTCCATCTACAAAATAGTATAGATAATATCTTTCGAGTTTTTGTTTAGTTATCAAAAAGGGAACAAAAATGGTCTATGTAGCAGAATTCCATCGCTGCTAAGATTTTTTTTCGAATGTATTTTATTTATCTACTTTTTTTTCCTTTTCCGTTTTTAAACGTACAACAACAAACGAAAGAAAACAAGCAAGAGAAAAATATGACAAATGAGACGAAGTAGTTATAATAAAGGTAAACCAACAAATACATGTGCTCAATACGAAAAAAAACAAGCACGTGTTTTTTCTTTCTTTTGAGGAGCAAGATAAAAAAAAAGAACGAATGGGCAAGCGTGATGTCTGTTCTAATTGCAATTCTTCATTGAATAAATCCGAAATAAAAAAATAACAACTATTGAGTCAACGCAGCTAGATTGTTGCCTGTCGATGATGAAATATCAGCAGATGAAGGATTTGTTGATGGATCATCGTGTCTATGCGTTTCATCGTCATGTTCATCGTTTATGAAAGGCTAAAATAGAAAATTGAACTTAGTTAAGATTTATTTTTCAACGACAAAAAACGAAGAAGGCAGATCGAACGTAATTGTAGCTAGCAACGAAAATATTCGTTTTATCAACACACATATAGCATGTGTCAAGAACATGGATATGTTAAATTTGTCTTATAAGTGCACAATATTTTCAAATTGTGTGCATAAAATTGAAAAAGATTATTATCAGTTATTCATTATAGATGGCATTGATCTATCTAGTGCTTTAAAATGTTAGAATTTGCTTATTTTACTAGTTTCTTTTTTAATAGTCTATATCGCATTAGTGTATTATAATGACATATAGAATTAGCATACGATGGTGCCATTATGTGTGGATACTAATCGAAGTCATTCAAACAAATTAGATCAATATCAGTTAAATTTATACTTGTTTCTAAGACTTCTTAGCTGTTGGACATATGTCAGCGAGAAATTCTCATCTTTCATATTCTGCAATTTCGGGGGTATGCGATATAATATACGTAGATATCAAGTTTTTTGTTGTTGTTGTTGTTGTTATCTATACTACATAAGTAAATATCGACTGTGCAAAATTTATTCTGAGTTATTGCGAACGTGAAAATGATTTTTTTAACATGAAGTTCTCAAATGATTCCAAACGATAAAAAAATCAACGTGAGATTTGTCTAGGAAAGCAATTAATCCAAAATTTGTTAATAGATTTTGATATCAAACAGCAAGAATTATACGAAACAAACACTTCGAAATAATAGAATAGAGCGTAGTGGTTAAAAGGCGATCAAAGGAAAGCTAACTCACGAAATAAATGTTTGAAAAACTAAAAGAATCGAAAAATACTCATTGTTTAAATTGCGTATTGAAGAAACGAAATCAAGTTGAATCTTAATTTTATGTTAAATAAAGTCAATTTCAAGAAAAATAGATGAACATGTTTGAAAAAGAAACGAACAAAAAAAAAAGAAAAACGTATAGAAAAACACAAAAAAAAACAGACGATTTCTTGTGTAAAATATATAGATAAGTTGTTTATTTTTTGAGTATATAGAGCAGTGACGAGATTCTACGAATAAAAGTACCGCATAGATGTTGTTGTATTTCACTGAAAGATTGTCTATTTTTATTTACATAACCTATGTTACTATTTTTTTTATTTCGCTTGAAATCTATTAAAGTTTAGTTTCATTTACCCCATTGCTTGATGTTTCAGTTTGATGTGTTCCTTTTATCAGCGAATCAAAAATACGTTCGAATACTGATCGTCTAAAATCAGAAGAAAGAAAAAACAATAATAATCCTGATCATCATATATAGTAACTGCCAGGTACAATGTAGCCCCCCCCCCAAAAAAAAGAAGAACTTTAAACTTTCTGAATCGTGAACGCTGATGGCAAGGATTTGATTCTTCTTCAGGTAGAGAAGAACTTCATTCGTTTTTCTCCTTCAGAAAAAAAATATCTCAACGAAAGATACAATGTTAGATGTCAAAAGGCCGCTGATTTGGTTTAGTAATTTTAATCATGTATTTTTTTAGATTTTACAATCATCGTCATGCATGCATCCCAACAAACTTACTAAATTATCCTACATGTGACATCACATAGAAACAAGAAGTTTCATTTGTTAGGAAGAAAAAGAATTTCTAATATTGGAAAATCAGTGTCTGTAACGTAAGTCTATCAGTCTAGGGTTGTTGCTACACGGTAAGCATTCATTTCAGCTATATTTGTCTGCAAAAGTATTAAAGTCTACACAATTTATTTAAAATTTGCTAGCGGCAGTTCTTGTTTCAATAAAGAATTCATCTTAATCTTACTTTGAAACAAAACCTCCACCAATGGGTAATGCTTCACGAATAGATGATTGTTCATTAAGAGATGTAACAACTTGTTGCCATATTGTATTCGCATCTAAACTTGTTCTATTAGGATTCAGATTAAAAATTTCTAGAAAGCAAAAAAAAAGAAAATTAGAATCGAATCTTTCGGCGTAAGATATTTATACCAATTGTCTTTTTTTTAATTTCAGTATTTAATGTTTCATCTTTTTCTTTCCATTCTGGAGTTGGTACAGGTGCAGTTTTAAAAGCTATTATAATTAAACTCATATTGTCTTTGCTACCCTGAAAAAGAAAATTTCAATAGAGATATAATTTAAAAATCTGATATTTGCTTTCGAAACCTACTTTATACAAGCACATATCAAGTACTGAATTACAAATTTCATTAAGATCATCTGTAACATGCATACGACCAAGTATATATGCAGCTAGCTCTTCATTTGTCATAACATCCCATATGCCATCACAAGCCAATACAATAAAAGCAATCTGTTCCTCTTGCTTGTTAGAATCAATTGTTAAAGTACGTGAATGACATGTGACTTCTGGTTCTGGTGAAACAAGCTGTTGATCAGGACGACGATTTGAATTATTTTTATATTCAAAATCACCAAGTGCACGTGACACAGCCAATGAACCATTGACACGTTGAATCAAAACAGTACCGCCGGCATCTTGAATTCGTTGACGTTCAACTTGATCACCTAAGATAATAAAAGGATTCACTTTTTTTTTTTATTAATAAATCAAAATTTTCTACTTGGTTTATGATCTTTTGTAGCAAGAAGAACTCGACCTTCACTTGACACCAGTATAGCACGTGAATCACCAACGTTTAAAAAATAAACTCGTTCTGCATCAATTAAACAGGATATAGCTGTTGAACCACTTTTATCATCTATAAGTAAGCGATACTTTGTTGTATTTTTTTTTCTGCTTAAATTTCGGTAGTTTCATACCTTGATTGTTATTTCGATTTTCTTCTCTCCATTCATGATCAAATTTAAAATAAGCATCTTTAATAGCCGTTTCAAATTTCGAAAAGTCAAGTTGAGATGAGATTACTTTCGATGGAACTGTTTCATTGGCATTATCAGCTACTAATGCATTAAGCGATGATAGAATTTGCAAATGAAGTTTTTCAGCCGCTTTCACTGCTGTACGATATCCTGCATGGCCATCAAATACGCCAAAATACGACCAACGCGACCAACTATTATCATCTAATGTCAATATAGTGGCATGTGCATCTTCCATATCGACACTATATATATATTTTCATAAAAATAATTAAAACATAACGAAGATGCCTTTCTTTTTCTAGTTTACCGCCATCCTTGCATAGATCCAAGACCATAGCGAATGTCATCGTTTTTGCCTCGACTATTGTGTTTTTCAACTTTAGGTTTTTCCAAAAATTGGCCCATGGATCTAATTGAAAATGAATAGCTACAATTAATTTATAAAAAAAAATGACAACAAAAAGCTCAATTTATCACGAATAACATATAAATAAAAACATCAACAAACTTGGTACTATCAGCAATTGAAACATTTTCAAATGATAATGATTCATGGTAATAAAGCGATCTCTGAACCGCTGCTGAGACGAACTTAATAAAACGTTGTCGACAAGTTTTAAATACTTTTTTACTCATATATACAATATGTCATATGATTACGCTTTTTTCCTCCTTCCATCGTCAAATCACATATATTGACATATTTATTTTTGATTATTGTCTTTAGATATGATCGGCAGCACCTGATTCACCACACACTCGAGACTACTAACAAAGGCCAATTATAAAAAGCCACTTTGTTCGTAAAGACGATGGAGTAAAAGAAAAGCCTTCTTTAAGATAAGTCGAAATTATAATCGATCTTATACTGATGTATATTTTTATATACTCATCGGTTTCGAATTACCGGAAGAATAACAGTTGCGATATGTTGACAAATCAATACAAACACAAGTGAGCAGGTCTATTGTTTGTTAATGATCAAAATTACTTACTGATTTATTTATTATCACCAAAGGCACGCAGATTCACACTCTCACACACTCGTCTTAGTTTAATGCTAATGAATGAGTGATCTAGAAAAATTAAAATTAAAATTTTCTATTTTTTATTATTATTATAGATATTCTAAAAAATTCTTACGTGTAAGGAAAAATACCCTGAAGGATAATTAAAACCGAAGGAGCATAGTTTTAATTCTAAAACTAAAAATAAAATTGTGATTCATAAAATTTAGCATATTTTAGAAAGAAAATTGTTTTTCTGTTTCAACAAATTTTTAAATAATCAGAGCTTCAATAACTACTTTGGAGATTGTTGGTCTTTTCAAAGCATAGGTTTAAAGTGTAAATAGTAGAGTATAACTGGCTCAATATCGATTAAAATGGGTTGTTTATGTAGCTATTTAAAGTTTTCTACGATTTACTTTTGAAGTTACAAATCGTCATTTGTTGTATCGATTAAGCAATTTCTAAACATAGACGTTGTAGGGATTATTTCAGATCTTGTAGAAAATATCAAGGATGGAAGCTAATCTATGATAATCGTAATATCTTCTGTAATTGCTTTTTTCAGAGGGTCTACAAGCACTTAATCGAAAAAGAAACAAGACTAATCGTTCGTCGAAAAGCGTTTTCTAATCGAATCCTATTGAAATCATTCAAGCGAAGAAATGTTTCACAAACGAAAATGATTAATAATGATGATGATCGTAAAAGTTAAAAATATGATTTCTAATTTTTTTTTCTGTTGATTCGTTCATTATTTTTTATTTGCTTGTTGTCATCGCCATTGAAAATACATGTTTGTTCTCCGTGTCGTCACAGATGTGTTTTTATTGGATAAAAATTTGATCGTTTCTACTAGGCAGTAGATGGCATCTCGAATTAACAGGCAATTTTTTTTATCTGACGGTACAGCTACAATATCGAACTTTTATTGTTTTCGTATGATAACGTGAGAGTATCACAACAAGCCTACGTGATTAGTTGTCAAGATGAAGATATTTAACGAAGAATGAAGAAAAAGGACTAGACGATTGGTGGAGAATATAAATATTTTTCTTTGTATAGATTACTATAACGAATTTCGCTGCCTTAAACAAACTTTCGATAAATGTACCATTAAACTGGTGAGAATAAAGCGAAATTCAGCAGGTGATTGTTTTGTCAATTCTATTATATTATTTTTAGAAATTTATCGCTTCAAGGAGTATGTCTACTTTGAAAGTCGTTCTATTGACAGATTCTGATTCTCTTAATCAAAATATACCATTACCATATAAATATTACGGAAAAAAATTATGGGAAACAGTTCAAAATATTGTTACAGAGCTTAATTATCCTTGTGAAATAGTTGAATTAGATAAACTTGATTTTCAAGAACATGAATCTGTTAATAAATTTCTCAATGCTGATATTGTTATTATGGTTCGATAAAGTTTAATTTTGTCAACAAAAACAAATATATTGTTAAATAATCCATTTTCTAGGATGTTACGAATCAAGATCGTCGACCCACATTTATGTATCATAAGGCCAATCGTGAAAGTGTAGATTGCATGGATGATATTGTATTAATTCAGGCTAGTAATGTTGAAAATGACAATGCCATTCAAGATCTGAAAGTAAACATAAGTCTAATTGAGTTTTTTTTATTAAAAAAAAAACGAATGAAAATTATTTTTCAGACAACATGTAAAATAAAACAAATTATCGTTTATCGATATGATGAAGAAAAAAATGTTTTCTATGATCTAACAACGCAAACATCAAATACGTCAACATTACTTAAAACGAATTTAAAATGCTTCTTCATTGAAACGGCTAATAATTTACAGTAAGACTTTTCTGTTTTTATTAAAAATTAAAGTCCTATTAATTCAATGTCTATAGTCACGGTCTTGCTACTCGATATTTGAATCGTTTAGAAAAACGTAAAAATGAAGTTCATGACACAACTGCTGAACGTATTGTAAGTTTCATTGATCTCTGATTTTTCTTCAAAATGTAAAAAATTTGAATATTCGTTGTTTTTCTTCTGGAAGTATTTATGGAAAGAAATCTGTGATGAAATATTAACAGAAACAAATCAAAGATATGCTACGCCAAAGTTAATAACAAAATTGATGTATGCTTTTCGAGATATACAAGTAAAATTTAAAATTGTTCTATTGAGATTTCGTTTTTGATTTTGATTTTAATCTGACTTGAAGGATTATCAATCGATGATAGAATTAACTGAACGTTGCGAAAAATATGAAATAATTTCAAAGAAAATTAAAACTAATATGATGATCTCCTATTTAACAGCATTTGCTCGTAGTCGGTAAATAGATAATTTTCTTTCTTCAGAAACAAACAAATGATTGGTCTTATTATTTTTTTTTTCAGACGAAATCAAGATAATGATCGTGAGAAAGCACTGGAAATTCTTGAAAGATTATGCCAAACGAAAAAAACAGAAAGTGAATTATCAAATGACATCATTTGTTTATGTGGAAGAATTTATAAAGATAAATATACTGAATCAAATTGTCAAGATAAAGATTCATTAGAAAAAGCTATTGAATGGTATCGAAGAGGTTTTGCTGCTGATCCTAATATATAGTAAGATAATTAAAACAAAACAAAAAAGAAAGAACTTTATTTTTCATCATATATTCATTGTTATAGTGCTGGCATTAATCTACTATTTCTTTTGGCAATTACAACTGATGATCTATACAAGAATAATGAAGCATATAAAATTAGTAGGTTGACTGAATAACATTAGATAGTGTAGCTACTATAGTATCCATAGAATAACAGGAGCAGAGTTAAAGCAAACATTGAATGTGTCATTTTCTACGAGATTTTAGGAAGAAAAAAGATCGTAATCAAAATTGATGGGTAGAGTCAATGAATTGATTAGATATCAAATCATAATTAAATCATTTTAAGCGTTGCTATTGTCTACGAAAAAATAACTATCAAGCAGTTGTATGTACATATATTTATTGACAAAGAAATCTGATAAGCTGAGCAAACAAGTTCACTTCGATTAAGCATGAACGAGCTTACAAGTGTGCGACATCTCAATCAGATTGATACATCGGATATAACTATATAGAAATCTGTTATAGCTGGTTTACATTCAGTGTTTTTGCACTAGTTATCAAATTTTTTTTTCTTTTTATCTCGGACAGGATACTTGTGAAAAATTTGACCCTTGAACTTTCTCTCGTAGGAAGATTTCGTTAGTTTCAGAGTATCGGGCAAATGTCAAATCTACAGCGATTTATTCTTCTTGATTTATAGAATGTTGAAAGTAAAACGGTATTTTTCTACTTTTCATATGACATTTAATCGCTGTCAGATATTTGATCCCTAAAGAAAAATACATCCATTAAGCTTCAGAACATGGATAGGTCAACAACAATCACTTTTCGAGCTCAATTTTAACTCGGAATATTGAAATTTGAATTTATCATGCTAAAAATAGAAAACAAATAATGACTAAACTCTTAATGCCTGGACACGAAGAAAGAATGAATTAATCACAGACCTTCACCTTTAATGAGTCATATATTCAAATTTACACGATAGAGATGAGGCTTCCATGATATACACAAAAATAAAAAGAATACTTCTATTGAACCGATACTGAATGTATTGCTTTCAATGTATAAAATCGATCCTTTTTTTTCGCAGTTATTCAACTGAACGCATTACTTGGCAAGAAATGTCGTTCTTTAAAAGATTTAACTGATTATTGGGATGTAGCAACGTTTTTCGAACTACATGTTGTTCAACGTGATTGGCCAAAAGCCTGTCTAGCAGCATTACATATGTATAAGCTTAATCCTCCTATATGGTATTTAAAATCTACAATAAATAATTTGAAAATTCTTCATCAAGCAACGCGTCTACGTGCTCAACAAAGATTGCAACGTGAACAATCGCAAATAATATCTGCTGATGAAAATGTTTATAGTTTCTGGATAGACTTCTTTAGTGATGCTATTGATTCTAGTTATACATCACCTACAGAAAACGAATTACCTGCGCAAGTACCAGTAGGTTTTCTAAAACTAGCCAAAGAAATTTCTTCTATAAAATCAAGTTTCTTTCTTTTGTCGAATCTAGATTCTTGTTTGTGATAATTATGAAAAAACTGATGGAGCGACTATGAAGAATATTTATGTAGAAGCTTATTTACAATTAAATTTTCATACGGGTAGTGAACCTGAAACACTGGTTATACGTATACTTGAACAACAAAAGCAAACACGTGTAGGTGATCTTGTAAAAATAATTGAAATGGATTCGATTCGATCAATTATGTAAGATTTTATGCGTTGAAATAAAATTCATTTACTAATTTTTTGTTTGTTTTAAGAAATGTTAAGCGCGATAATCGGTCCATTTTTTTGTATTCATATGAAAATTCTGCCACATTCTCATCTGTTGAACTTCAAATTTATTTTGCCTCAGCTGAAAGACGCACAGCGTAGGTTTAACTATTGGAAAAATAGATAATCTCACATTTTTCGATGATTTTTTTTTCTTAAACTTAGGTTCAATGGGAAAATGTCGAAATATCGTGTGGAAACAAATATATCCGAGGCTAAAGAAGAATTGGGTGTAAGTGATAAATATATTTGCTGTAGAAATATTTCGCATTTAAAAGCGAAAAATCAACTTTCCTAGTATTTCTCAAAGAGATATTCACATTTTATAAAAATAATTATATTAAAAAAGTTCGATAGGCGTCTAACAATTAGATGAATGTCTGTGTTCTTTTGAGAATTACGAGTGAAATCATTTTATGAGTTAGGCGATTTTCGTTCGTTTTTTTTTAATACGATTTAGATCTTATTAGATTTTAATTCATTTAAAAAAATAGCAAACTTTTAATTCTTAGTGTTATTCGCTTACGTTTCTCAATTCTTTTTGAATAGGTCTACCTTCAGTAATAGTTTTTCTGAAGGCTACTCTGTGGTTTCATATCGCGATAGGATTTCAGGACAGATCATTAGAATAGTTCGCTTGAATGCTCAATTCTGATTTTGAAAAATCATTTCTCTTTTAAGAAACTATCGTATTCTTTCATCTATTGTACAGCGCATCGATGTATTCTTGAGCAGACGATACTCGCACTATCATCAATAAGGTTGATTTCAACTAATATAAAATTCTTAATTGATTCTAGCTTGAATTTGATCTCGATCAACGAGGCCAACGTATTGCTCTTGGTCAAGGTACTTATGGAAAAGTATATCTCGCACAAGATCATATAACATATAAAAAATTTGCTGTCAAAGAAATTCCAATGCGTAATCCATCTTTTACGGAAGTACTCGAAAATGAAATAAAAATATTATCAACACTCAATCATAAAAATAGTATGCGAATTATTTTCTAAATAGATAATTATTTATTCTTGTTCTACTACTAGTTGTGAGTTATTATGGTACGGCTATTGATTCGAAAAAGAAACCTCCAATATTTCAAGTCATAATGGAATATGTTGATGGGTGAGGAAAAATAATACCAATTATTTCTTCTATATGGAAATCCTTGTTAATTTTATTTTTCAATTCTAGCGGCAGTCTTTCAAAACATCTTGCAAAATTTGGTCAATTTCCTGAAGCATCTATTAGAAATTATACTCGACAACTTCTCGAAGGTTTACAATATCTACATGAAAATCATATTCTACATCGAGATATTAAATCAGCTAATATTTTAATTAATTCAAGAGGGTAATTAAAATAGGATCATTTAATAAATACCTGTCTATGTTTTGCAAAGAGAAATCAAAATTGCTGACTTTGGTACATCAAGACGTCTTGCTGGTCTTCATCGTTGTACCGAAGAGACTGTTGGTAAGATAATATATGCGTAAATAATACCAAATAAAAAGTTACTATTTCAGGAACTCTGGACTACATGTGTCCTGATGTTATTCTTGTACCTCCAATTGGTTATGGACCGGAAGTAAACAATTCACAATACCAATAATAATAATTCGATTTGCTTTGTTTTTTCTTTAAGGTTGATATTTGGAGTGTTGGATGCACAGTCATTGAAATGGCAACTGGTAAACGACCATTTCACAATATAGCAACTCATTATGCATTGTTGTTTAAACTTGGCAATGATAAACAACCACCTGACATCCCATCTGAATTATCTGACATAACTAAAGATTTTCTAGCCAAGTAATTTAGTTGACATGAATAACACATCTTCTATTTTTGCCTGTTTAGATGCTTCGAACCAACACAGAAACGCCCGTCAGCTAAAGATTTATTAAGTCATCCATTTTGCAAGTATGCTTTTTTCATTTTGGAATGTACCTCTTTACATACCAACAAAGATAAATGAAAATTAATTGACGCATATCATTAGGGTAGTTTTCATTAGTCAGCAGGATTAAATCAAACAGAAAAGAAACAGTGAGAATTTTTTGTACTTTGTCCTCTCAATAGATAAGTGACTCACAACATTTTGACTCATGTAAAAGATAAATTTAGTCCATTGATGATTATCTGATAAAAAAAATGAATGATAAGTATAATACGTAAGAATGAGTTCATGAACAAAAAATGGTTCGATTTGTTGCTAGTGTCTAGATTTACTGTAGTTAATATGGAATTTTGTAGTTCGTCATACTGTTGTGATTACCAATAAATATTTAGTTGATTTGTATCGATGGTATATCTGCATACTAGGGAACATTTAGAAAATTATGAGGTACGGTAAAACTTACTTGTTTCTTGAAACAGTATATTGAAAATATGAAACAAACGACAAAATCCTTACGATGAGTTAATAGTGAATTTATGAAACTTTTATTCGTTCAAACTTCAGTATTTTCGGTTAGGGTAAATTCAAACTAGAGAAAATTTGAATAGAATACTTGCTGTTTAGATTGATTTAGTCGATTCACACTAGTGCTTTTATATTTGATAGTCATGAATCGTCCAGCTACATTTCTTAATTTCAGTTTCAATTGTGGTCCAAAGTAAAAAGATCGGGAATAAAATGTCGACTTTTTTTATTTAGGGCCGGAATGGAGTTTATTCTTTTTCTGTTTCATTCTCTCTCTGTTTGGTGTCATAAAATTCTTGACATTGGACTGATATTATGTGTCATCAAGGTCTTATCATATCGATTTCTATTTCCAATAATTTGGCTGTTAGTCACAATGAAAACGTTTGCTCATAATCGATTATGAAATATGTTTTATTCTATTTTCTATACGTTAAATTAGGCGTCGGGTACATAGTTCACAGGTTGATGGTTAAAAAAATCAAATCAACTTGAATTTTCTTATCAAATATTTTACTTTATCGATCCGATTCATTTTCAACTTGTTTAAATTGTTTTTATAAATCATTATTTCTATGAAAGAATTGAATAGTCTATAATAATTTACTGATGAAGTTTTTAGACATCTACGCTGAACAATCGATATGATTGCATGATGTTTTATCTTGTAATTCGATATGAATTTTTTCGTTTAGATTAAAAACTGGATTAGCACGAGAAACCAGTACCAGTAAGTATTTGTTGTTTTTTCTGAAGATTTGCAAATAAATCGAGTAAATATTTTTCGTTTTTCTTATTAAGATCATAATGGTGACCGAATTGAAGGGTACGACTTTTTCCGATGATTTTGAGTCATGTCAATTTTTTAAATTTTATTTTATAGTGCAATACGTCTATCAGAATCTTCGCCTTGTCTACAACGAAGTACAAGCGACGAGCCTGGAATGCTTTTTGAGTAAGAATTAAAACTCTATTGTGTTCAGTCACTTTTGTATGCTGTTTTTTATTCTTAGACCAGCTCGTGATTTAACAGCTCAAGTATCAATTGATGATCGTCGTCGGTATGAATTAGCAAATATTTTACGTGACAATGACAACAAAGAAGCTGTAAGAATAAACGAACTACTCAATTGACTCGAATTGAAACTTTTTTATTTCTTAGCTTATTGGTCAATGGATGTCTTTAATAGAAGAAAAAAGTGAAACAGAACTTTTAAATATAGTAATTACATTTAGTTTATTCTAATAAAATATACATTGTTATGAATTATTTAGGACAAACTTTTAATTTTACTAACTGGTATTCTTGATTTCTTGGATCAAGGATGTGTAGAAGTATTAGAAAATGCGTTAGGTAACAGAAAAAACAACAATGTTCGGAAATATTTATTTATTTAAATCAATTATTTAGACAACATTTGTGATAGAACGAATATGGACAGCGATATTCGTATTGATTTGGAACGATCATTTTATCTCTTTATAAAAGCTGTATGATTGTCTGCTGAATTAAATGAAAAGCATATTTTTATTAAATTTCTTTAAGGCAAACAATGTTCTTTCATCAAGAAATATTCTACCTCCACATGTTTTATTTGCACTTGATAATATCATACGTCGTGTTGCTGAAAATCTTGTTGGTCTTATTCGATCAGGTTTATTTTCTCTACCAATATGAAATATTGATAAATATCTTTTCTTGTCTATGCATTCCAGATTTTATTCCTGCTGTAAATAATCTAGCACCATTAACATCAAGTACTGATTTATTAACTGACATCTCACGTTCACGTACACCATCAAGTAGCAGTTTTGATGGCTTGATAAATGATGAAACATCACGTTTACATCACCAATATAAAAAGCTTGCTGAGAAAAATCGCGAGTAACTATTATGAAATATTCAAAAAAACAGTATATCTTATAAACAATTTTTCTTCAAGGCAAATTCAACGATTGATTAAAATCGAATCGAATAATTCTATTGATTTAACTAACTTGATAAACAATCAACGAAATAGCACAACAAGGTAAGTTTTCAAAAAACAAAAAAACTGCGAGTTGTTGAGGAAAGAAATCTTATCCTGAGATTTTTAAATATATTCATATGTATTCAGTCGCCATTCAATCTTTCGACAAGCGTTTTATTTTATTGGAAGCACGATCAGGTCAGATAGTTTATCATGACTGTTACAATTTTGTCCTGTATTCAATGTTGATCTTTGCTTCCCTAGACTTCATTATCTATCTATTTTGATTGTTAACAGATACTATGTTTTTTACTTTTTATTTTTAGTAAAATAAAGGATTTTTTCTTACCTACAGAACTACCTGGAATCAGTGAAAATACGGTGAGTTTATTGTTTAATTATTTGTTATCTGAATTCATTTTTTTTTTAAATTAAGAGTTGTCCCAATTCACCGGCTTCAACTTCAGCTCAACGAACAAATGGAGTTCATAACCCATGGACTCCAAGAGGAATAAAGTAATTCTTATAAACATAGCTTCTGTTTCTTTTTGAAAATAATTATATTCTATATCGTTTTTCAGACGCTCACGTGCAATTCTCGAACTTGAACAAGAACACGAACGATTATTGAACGATATTACTGATAATCGTACTCGTATCAACGAACTACTTCATGGATAGAACAATATCATGACATTTCTATCGTTTTTTTTTGTGATAAATGCAAATTTCTATTCTGTACATGTGGTTTTCTATAACCTATCGAAAATATGTTTGATCAAATTTTCTTTGCTGTTCAAAAACAGTTCTTGTTTTACTTAAACTTTCTGTAACTAATCTTGATCGGTCTTTCAATTTTTCAATTCGAAAAGTTTCAACAATGAACTGTTTTAGTTCTCAATTGTATGTAGATAGTTTTTTTACTGCTTAGAAGCCAGCAAAAATTTCGGATTAATGTTCTTAGTCATTTTTCCCTTTTCAAATGTAGTTCTATATTTGTAAAGTCTAGTTTCCATCGATTTTGATAGAAATATATGCATGAATTTTCATCGTCCATAACGTTTTTCAAAAGACCACGATATACAGATTATAACTGCAATATTATCCATTAGGGATGTGGCTGAGTAAGGCTTCACAATTGAGCAGGTGCTTTTGTAACGAACTGAAAAAGTTTGAAATCGATTTCAAACGTTATGACAGAAGTTTCTATTCTGAACTTTTCAGATTATTTTTTCCGTTGAGTTTGCAAAGTATTCAGATTGTTCAATAAAATACCGTTACATACCATTTTTATTAGAGATGATGTTTTGTAAAGGTTAACATTTTTGAAAAGCGATCGATTTATATTATAGAACAACCAGACAAAAAGACGAAGGCTATGTTTGTTGCTTTTGCACATTAATTCCCAAAATAAATAGCAAAAAACATATTCTAAACCCACCACTGACGAGCTCTGTTTGGTTTTTATTCTTATATATCAATTTTATTTGCTTTAAAATAGTAGTTTTACACAAAACAAAAAGATAGGGATTTATAAAAAAAATGCTCGAATTTCAATTTGTTGACAATATCTGATCGATGGTATTTATTTAAATCAAAACATAGTTTTATTATTTTCATCGATAATAACTCGGCTTCAAAACATATCGTTATCATTCTAAATTGTTGCATTGACAAAATAACGAGGAAGTTAAAAAAATCAGATAAAATTCAATGAGTTTATTGTAGCACCTAAACTTGCGCCTAAATCTGTTGAAAACATATGGGTGGTGCCAACCGAACAATCTTCTTCTTATACAACTTCGATTTGGGTGCTGTTATAACTGAGTTTCATCACACTATGTTTCATTTTAGAACAGCTGGCAGCTCTCACAGGTTAATATTTATTTCGATGCTATGCTTCAATAATTTTACGCGCTTCTATTTTGTTTTTCAGTTGTATACATACAGTCAATCATAGCAATCATCAGTTTCAGATGCGCTAGTTGGTATTCTCATAGATTAACATCTACTGGGTACAAATAGAGGGCAGATGCATGCATCAACTTGTTTTCAAAAACTATGCTTTGACAAGGATAAAGATAATTTTGAAAAATCAATAATTGATTTAACTTGAATCTAAAATATTTGAGCGGTGGTTAGTCTCATGCGTGTCGTTGATTCTTATATTTTCTGAGAGTGAACTTCTTATTTAAATTTTGACTCGTACCATATACGATGTACAATCTTAGAGATACAACACCGAACTGCGCAGGATTGTCTCATATTTCGTTTTTATGAACCCTAATTGTAAATGCAATTTTGTTACTCAACTGTTTATTTACGATATCATAAACCGTGCTATAGTGTAGCTGATGGTCCCTACCAATTTATCAGATGTTATATGGATATGAACTACACAGCAAAAACTTTATTTGAAGATCTTAATTTATATATATATATAAAGTTGAAGAGATGACTCAACATATGCATAGAAAAAAATGATTTTTATTGTCGCTCAATGTGGAAACAACAATCGTACAGAGCTTGAAAAATTACGATAAATATATTGTTGATCTTTATTATTGCAATTAGAATTAAAAAAATAAATACATAGTACTGTTTTGTGTAATATTATCCGGCGCAGGGTTGGAAACATTGAATTTTATTTAAAATACAATAAAAAAATTTTAAAATAGAAGTTCATCTTAGTTCACCATCACATCTAATGAAATACTATTGTTTTAAAGTTGGCTTTTCTAAAAGAAAACAGAATTAATATAATGAAAATTCTTTGTTTTTATTTTAGTTATAAGATTAATTATTAAATAAATGTTAGAGTCAAAAACCAAAACGATAGTATATGAACAGCAACATTACTTTTATTATAATTCTGTATTTGCTAATAATAACTTAAATTTTTTTTCGCAAATGTGAAACTGAAAAAAATTCATTTTTATACGTACTTTATTATTATGATTTTCTCTAAGATCATCTTGAATATCATGAACAGCATCATGAATCGTAGCTGTAACAGTGACCGAACATTCTTCATCCATTTGAAGTTTTTGTAATACGTCATAGTTATAATCTGAATAACATGAAAAATGATTCAATTTGATTTATTTTTCGTCATTTACTTACATTTTAATTGACATAAATAAACTTTATACTGACGATCATTAAGTTCTTTGAGTGCCTGGAGAAAGATTTTCCCACCACTATAATCAATTTGATTAATTGATGAACAATCAATGATAATATGTGTTATACTGCGAAAGCTACGACACATATCATTGGCTTCTTGAGGATTATTTTTTCTTTGTTGACCCGTTTTTAAATCAATACCAATGGAATCCAAGAGACTTTCACGGAAAAAGTCTGCATTAAAATATATGATCGGAGATTCAAAACGAAAAATTTTGATGTGAGGAATTTCAAAAACCTTCAACGAAAAAAAAAGAAATGTTTTCAAGATTTAATCTTGAAAAATGCTTTACATTTGAGAAACGTCTCGCTTTTTTTTTTGCACTGCTACGATCATATTGACCGAGAATTGTTGTACGAGGTCTAAAATAAAAATTTTTATAATAGGAATGAAAATAAGACAAGAACAAACCGAAATTGTCGAAGAATAACAACAAAAAGTGATACGATAATACCAACAAATAGACCATAATCTACATCAAGTATAACCGTACTTAAAAATGTCATCAACCAAACAACCTACAAAAACATTTAATATAACTTAACAATATAGTAATCATTTTCTAATTATTTACTGCTTCAAGTTTTGTCACACGACCAATTGTATAAAAATCTTTCATCTGTAACAATAAGCCTTTTAGTGCAACAACGATAATTGATGCTAAACATGCCTAGAAGCATAAATAATAATCATATACTGCATAGTAAGTGTCAAATCAATTACTTTAGGTAATGATTCAAATAAGGATCCAATTCTTAGAATAATAATAAGTAAAAAGGAACAAGCGACTAGACTAGCCATCTATAATAAAAACAATCGATAAAATAAAAGAAGAAATAAAAAAGTTTAATACTTGTGTTCGACCACCAGCATTAACATAAACACTTGTACGAGATAAAGAAGCAGCACTGGCAAACGAAGCAAAAAACGAACCAATTATCTAAGATAAAAAAATGACTATCGAATCAACATTGCCAACCCTCTACTGACAACTTACATTGCATGCTCCATAAGCAGTTAATTCTTGATTGGAATTAACTGTATATTTAAACTTTTTTGCATATGTTTTTGCTAATGACATGCAAATAGCAAATGCAACAATAGCAATGATAACTGCATCTTTCATTAGCGTAGGCATAAGTGTTACCGACGGACCTTGTGGTTTACGAAACCTAATAAATAATAATAATAATAATAAAAGTTATGAATCAACAAAATTCTTTTGTTAAACTTACCCACGACCAATTGTATTCACAATTTTCACTTTATAATTACCATTTAAATCAAGTAAATAAGAAACAAGTGTACCGATAATAATCTAAGAAAATAATTTCAAAAAAAAATTTAAATAAATACTTCTCATTCTCTTGTTTACATACAATAATCAATTCCATCGGAATAGGTACTTGAACATTTTTAAAAAGTTTGAATTTTTTTATTTTTTTCTTATAAAATGGATCGAGATATTCTTTGACAAGAACAAGAGCTATTATTGAACATGCAGATACAAGTAATGTAACAAGATTGGTGTTTTTAAGATTACTAAATATTTCAATATATGTCTAAATCATTAAAAAATTAATTAATCGAAATTAATAAATAAACAAATAAATTCTTACATAAATAACATTGAATGGTCCAACATATCGTTTCAGCGATAAACCAAATATATCAGGTACCTGAGAAGTAAATACTAATATAGCAGTTCCACATGTATAACCACTAACGAATGTATCGGACAGAAATGAAGTAACAAATCCAAGATGAAAAATAGATAAAAGTAGCTAGAAATAGAGAGAATATTTCATATTGTTGATTAGTTTTTTATTTTCTAATTAAATTACTTGTACGATTCCAACCATAAATGCTAAGGTGGTTGCAATAGTTATCGCATATGATGGATCGATTGTAGCATCATTTGATGCACTTTCAATTGCACTCTTGTTTAATAAACTTGGAATCATAGTTGTAAATGTTTCTTTGACGGTTAAGCGATTCACAACATTGCCTGTCATTAAGCTAATGACTGCGATAGCACCTAAAATAAAATATCTCTTCTATTATTAGAACAAACATAAACAAAATAGTCTAACCCATTGATAAATGTCTTGATGTACCAAATAAAGCATAAATCAATGATGAAAAGAATGAAACATACAATCCTTGAGAAGACAACGGTCATTTTTTAAATCTAATTTTAGAAGAAAAAGTGACTACCTGTTATTGCCGGTAAACGAGCTAATAAAGCATAACCCATTCCTTGTGGAATTAGCATGATCGCAACCTTAGTAAAACAGATAGATAAATATTAATCAAGTGATCAAAATAGAGTAATACTGTGATTCCGCAAACAATATCATTTGGTAGCCAAGCCAGTTCATAAGCTTTTAACCATGACAGAAACGGAAACAATAATTTGATATAGGATATTCCACATTTTTTTGAAGGTAAACATTTATTTTGTACATATGAACAGATTTGACGAAATAAAACTGACGATGTTCGATCTTCATATGTTGTTGGAAAAAATACGTGATCAAATGATTTTTCCGCTGTAAATTGATCATCAATGTTAATATTATGACTATTATTACTGGTTATTGTGTCAGAATTTTCATTTTGCTCGCCTGGAAGGCCCAGCATGTCTAAATGAAATTCAGTAAATTATTTTACACAGATACTATGTATCAGGTAGGCATTCATAATGTAATACGTTTATGCAGGTTATGTTGTCAAAAAAAACAGAATTAGGAGACCATAATAAACCTAAACTATATGTTTGCTACCGTCAGATAAACCTATTTTATGTTTATGAGCGTTCTTTAAGCGGTCATAAACTCCTTCTTTTCATATAAACTTTAGCAAAGGTTTGTGACCGATTGTAAAGTCATACACGCATGTAGTATGTTTTTTTGTGTTCAGGGATTTCTTTTGAGTATGTTAGTGAAATAAATATTCAGACGAAAATTTCATTATTGCATGTTACAAACACAAAATGAAATAATAAAACGTTTCGCCCGAAGGCCTATTCTGTTCATAAATTTAAAACAATGTTAATGTACACACAACAGAAAACATTACAAACGTATATAAATCTGCAGTCAATCACAAACGTTTTTCAAGGCTTACCAAATAAAAAGAGGTTATCTATTGGTAACAGGAGTATAATGTTTCGTTCTTATATTATAGAGCTATTATACAAAATGTCAATTTCTCACAAATAGTCTACAATTTACTTCTATTTTCTTGCAGTTACAATCATGACAGGAATACATTTTTGTTATGGTTGAGCGCTCACTACTAGCACGTCATAAAAACAACTACAATGTAATGCCTTGAGGTTGGTTTATGATGTACCCATTAAAAGTAGGGTATCAGATACATTTTGTATTCCTAACCTGATGATATAAACAGTTAGTAAAAAAAAGAACATCAATATTTCCGCGAACTTTAGTTGTTTCGCTATTTAACTTTAATTAAAAAATATCTGAAAGTGCCTATACCTAGAAAACATAATAAAATTATTAAATGATAAAAGAAATATATTGAGTAAAAATAATATGATTTTTCTTAATTTTAATATACCAATTGGAAATATTCAGTATTTCACGAACAATTATATTTCATTCATTTCTATTTTAAGCAAAAAAACGGTTAGATTATTATCGTTGATGTTCTTCTCAAGAATAGATTAAAATTTAACATGTTATGATTAATTATCATCATGTACTATAATGTATAATATATGAACTAAAGTTAGATGATTCATAAATACTACTGAATCAATTGGAGGATAATATTGGCACTTGTGTTTTAATTACCGTATATTCTCATTTCTTGAGTGAAAATGCTGGATTAGATAAATATTGAAAATTTTCAATTTCATAATAAAATAAGATAAAAAGATTAAAAATGATATTATTTATACTAAAACTATTTTTCTTGCCAATTACTAAAGATATATTAATTGAACATCTTGTACGCAATTTTTTCTTGAATCTTTTTAATCTCAGTCTATCTTACAGTGACATCATGTCGATAGAGGGAATGGAAAAGTTATTATCAAATCAAAATAAAACTGTATTAGATCCTTAATCAAGTAATTATCAGTAGTTCTAACTATTTAAAAATGAGTACAAAATTCATGGATAAACTTTCTGATGAGAGAATTTGCGAATTCGATTACTATCAAAATGCATAGGCAATACAAAAAGTGTAAATATAACGAGGTCGCCAAGCAACATAACGAGAAAAAAACGATGGAATGGATCATGGAAGAAAGAGAAATTTAAAAGAAAAGCCTATTCACGCAGCCATATACAAACGCATGTCAAATAAAACTTTCAAACTTAATATACGAAAGGAATGAAAGACGTTGAAGACGAAAGTATATTCAAAGAATTGGTAAGTGTTAATAATATTAACTTCTTATGTTAGTAGAAGAGAAAAAAAACAGATATTAACTTACCATTTAATTTTTTTAATACTGTTCTTGTTCAAAATTTCAATGTTTTGCACGTCTATGTGAAGTTTAAATGGCATAAAAAATCTTCTTATTTAAATAATGGACACTTAAGTTATGTAAAGCCAAATCTTAATATTTTTTTGTGTTTCTTGATATGGTATACGTAGATATTTCTTCCCTATCTCAATCGTTATTCTATCATTCTCAATGAAGCATAAAGCAAGCGAGTTGAAAAGAAACTAAGACTTTTTAATAGAAATGACAGAATCTAGTTGATGTCTCGTTTTTTTCTGTAAGAGAGCATATAAACACCGGTTTCTTTTATATTTCATCGGTAATGATGAAACAGAACTGCTAGCCTATTTTTATTTAAGGAAGTAAAACAAAATAACTAACTTTACTGCATGCGTTCAAGAAAAGTGTTTATTTTGTTTTTGTTTGACTAAGGCCAAGCAAAGTGAAGTAACATAAACTGAGCTGCATTCTTTAAAACTTGATGTTAATAGTCTGATTTCATGTATTCATACTATAAGTTAAAATGTGTGACATGTGTCGTGAATTGTGACACAATGTACGACACATTCGAGTGCAACATATTATCTCCAGCGGTGGCACAACACATTTTGTGCGACACATGCGATACATTCTGAAAATGTTATTTTTTTGAACCAGCTAGCGAGAATTTTGTTTTTATTTTCATCAAAAAGATCATGATAATTTTTTCGATTTTGGCCTATTTGAACAGTTTCATTTCTGAAAACTCAAACAGGTCAGATCTTGAGATCTGGCTGTCTTCGAGTCGGTCGGGTTTTTACCAGACCATTTTCGGGTAGTCCCATCTCAATCAATGACAAAGATAGGCACTCTCTCGGCTAATTATTAATCGAGAAATAATCTAAAAAATATTTAAATGAAAATACATAACTTTCCTATATTCAATCGAGTTCTCTATAGAGAGCCTTTTTTACGCAAAAGAAAAGAGTGAATCGATAGTCGACACACAGAACGAGACAAATTTTTTAGCGGCACTTTCTGATGCGACATATTTTCGACACTATTACTCGCAACACATATATGCGACACATTTTAATTTGGAGTGTTGATAATAGTACAGCATTTATTACTATTTTCAAAGCCATATCTTCATGAAAAATCAAACTGTGAAGTACATTATCAACGAATAGCACATCTTATTTTTTGATACTTTTCCTAAAGCTATAGCTATTTTAATTTTTTTTAGCACTATTAGAAGATCATATCTACATTTTTTTTCAAGATATACTCCAATACCATACTTCTAATGATTAGTTTGTTTTACGCTTCACTGGTCACAGTAGCACATGCTTTTGAACAGTTCCGTAGCCAACTCTCCCTAGAAGAACCCCCAGGGAGTCACCTGGCGAATCCCCGGGAGTTGTCTGGGGAAAACGAATGAAGCATCTAATTACTATTAAATTTTTCTTAATTTTTTTAAATTTAAAAAAATTAAAGTCTTTTTTTATTTAGATATTTTATCAATTCTCCCCGGAGAAATCCCCAGGGAGTCCTTCAAATAAAAAGTCCCCGGGGACACACGACAAGGACTTCCCAGGGATTTCGTCATTTTGCGGGGACTCTCAGGGAGACGTCTGGAGAGGGTGCATTAGAATTACCTCAGTACCACACTTATGACTTTTATAGTCATCTCAAAGAAGTATATGTAAGGCTTCGAGTACTACTTGAAGAACGTAACTTTCAGATTGCACGATTTTAATGACAATTTTTTGATACTAAATACTCGTTGATTTCTATGAGCTAACGAATAATTCTCTACTCGATATTTGCGATGGAAAGACTTATTGGCTTCTGTTGTATTAAAAAAAAGTGAACTCAAGATATGCAATAAAAACGAAGAGCTGAAGCTGAAGTACGAAGATAAGCTCAGGATGGCAGAAAAAGAAATGCAAAATACTCGGTATATACCTGCACCTACCTGTGTAACAGTTGGCATTGAACATGCTCATTAATAGTAGTGACGGATTCTGTTCTGATAGTGTATATATGGACTCTAAAGTGTCAAATCTATGACAGTAAATTAACTCTCAAAACTTTAAGCACTATGTTCATGTACACATGCAACGCCAAATTCACTACTTTTAGACAATTCTTAAAAAATTTCAAATATGACCTTAACTAAAACCAATTGGTAATGAAGTTAGGAGCTGTATTAATTATCACGTTTATATGTAATGTAATAACAGCTGTGAAAATATTTTAATAATTCAAATTTAAATAAAGATAAAATTTTATCCATCCCATATCCGTAATATTTCATAGACTTCTAATATATTATTTAACATTGAGAATAATTTTAATATTTTATTCCTAATTATTCTATAGCAACATTCATTGAACTCAACATCTAATAATATATTCTTATTAAGGCGATATGGGATCAAACGAACGCGATCATCAAAGAATGAAGAGAGAGGGAGAGAGAAATAGGATGGTATACATGACTTTATAGTAAAATTATACATATATGCCATATACAAAAAAAAGAACAAGGTGATTCATTAAGGAAAATCCTTTTCAGAAATCCCCGTTTAGCATGGATATAGTATACAACCTTCAATTTGTTTTGTTTTCTGCCTATAAAATCATACTACAAGAGTATAGAGTCTCGTAGGTGCATGTTCATAAGATTGACTTATGTGATGTAGTAAAATATAGTATTCGAACAATAAATAGAGAAGGTCACACTATTGTATAGGTATATATACATTTTTCTGTTTTTTCTTCGGATAGACAAAACAAGTCTATGATATCAATTTTCTTTGTTTAGTGTGAAGCTAATGGAATCAATCACGAAGCGTTGATGCGTAATCATGGTGGGGTCGATCCATATATTGAAGTTCTTGAAGTATTTTTCTCTGGTTTACCTCGCCTCATCAGTCTTAAACCATTTCCAAATCTACTTAAACTTGTGATTGTAAATCAAACTATTGAACGTATCGAAGGTTTAGATGCCTGTAACAGTTTACAAGAACTCTGGATTACTGAATGTAAACTTCAAGTATGTACTTACCTTGATTTGTTTTGTGTTTTATATTTTTCGTTTGTGAATGTATTTTTATGGTATTCATGGTAGAACAAAAATCGATAATATGTGTGTCGTATTCGTTCGTAGAAATTTATGCTAGAATAGACAAAAAATAACGATTGCACCTATATACACTCTTACATGGTTTGCATACAAAAAAATAATATTTCGACAATCGTGATAAAATAAAGACTCGAAAAATTTTGAGAAAGAACATGAATAGCATTTCGATCAGTCCGATTAAACAAATATGCTTGAAGGGCATATGTATATTGTCTTTATTATTTTTCTAGCAAATTGAAGGTCTTAGTGGATGCACCAAACTTCAACGTTTATATTTGTACGCCAACTCAATAAAAACAATTGAAAATCTCAATGGATTAAAACGTCTTGAGTATTTATGGCTTAACGAAAATTTGATTACGAAAATTGAAGTAGCTATTCTTTACTTTTTTAATTTTAACACTGCTCTGCTTTCTATTGAACATGCAAGGGTTTATCCGGTGCAAAAAATCTGAAAGAACTAAACCTTGCTTCAAATCAAATAAGATTTATTGGTAAGTGCTTTTATTTTTATTTTCTTCTAAGTTAAATAAATATCAAATTTCTAGGTACGTCACTTGCCGAAAATACTGAACTAGATACATTAAATCTTGCCGATAATAAAATTAGCTCTTTTCAAGTAAATATTTCTCTGAAAACTAAATGTCACGTTTGCAATGGAAATAAAATGTTTTATTAAAGGATATTACTATATTGACAATGTTACCAAAATTGCGCAATATTGCTTTCAGTGATCCAGTTTATGGAGGTAAAAATCCTGTGGCTTCCATGGCAAATTATCATGTTCATATTTTGTATCATTTACCACAACTTGAATATATTGATGGACTGCATATTTCTACAAGACAAGTTGCTGAACAAGCTGAAGTAAGTCCAGAATTTCTACACAAAAATAATCATTAGTTCAATAAAGCCGTATAGAGTCTTCTCTGAGGATAATTATTATGATTATTATTCTTAGGCTACAGTAACTAAAAAGAAAATGTGGTATCATATGAAATCTAAAACATTAGAACGAGAATACGATGAATTTCAAGCACGTCTTCAACAATTGAGAAAAAAGAATGAACAGGTTCCTGAAGAACATTTACGTTTATTACGCAAATGCGTTCAGCGTTTAAAGCAAGAATTAAAATTACCAGAAACGAATTATCAAACGCGTGCTGCTGCTGGCGATGTAGGTATCATTTACTGTCTTGTTAAAGTTGGAGACATGTTTTTACTTCAATTTAGCATAACGAACATGAACGATTCGAAAAACAAATTGAAATTATGCGACATCGATTAGTTGTTTGGGAAAATATTTTAAACAAGTAATAATTCATTAATTTGATTCATGCCAATTCTGTGTCCCTAGGCAAAATAAAATTATTCTATTCATTGAAATATCTAGAATTTAAAAATAACAGATCACTAATTCATTGTTTTCTAAATTTAATCTAGTCTTGCCTCTCAATATGAAACTGCTAATTTTATTTTACTACAACAAAAAGCTCAACTTGCATCTCGCATTCAATTAGAGCTGATTAGTGGTGGAAATATTCGTTTTGAAGAAGGAAATGTGAATGATGTTTGGTAAATAAACGAGATATATTCGTTGTTATCTAATTTATATAAAATCTTATTTGAAGGTTTAATGCTGCTAAAGATTTACTTCTTTCACGTTTCTGTTCATCGATTTATAGTCGTTACAATATAACTGGTATTAAAATACATTGTATAACACGTTTATTTAATCGACCGAAGAAACTGCAATTTGATCATAATCTTGATTTTGTTCTTGAAGAAGAAGATGATCCTATTAAGTATAAAATACATTAATACAATGACGATAAAACTCGTTATCTAATGAATTTTTCTTCTAGAACAAAATCAATTCAATCAAAACTTGAATATTTATTCTATTGTACACAACCATCACGTCGTACTCAAAATGATCATATGCATCAATTTACAACGATAGAATCAATTTCTGAGCATGGCTTTCCCAGTGCTGAATTATACAAAGTTTGTTTATTAGTTTTTTTTTCTGTACGCTGAACAAATGTTATCTTTTGCCATTAGCAATTGGATCAAGATGATGCTATACCTTTTTCAAATTCACTAGCCGTAAGTGATTATCTTCGAATTGAGCAAGCTGGTTTTCAGAATCGTGATAAATATCGTTTCGGTGAATTAAATTAATTCTAATAATAATTTATTTTTCATTGTAAATTCTATGTACAGGAAGTGTTCTTATGGCTAAAGTATATATTGGTTCATCGATAGCGACACCAGCAAAAGAGTGAGTTGTTATCATTATCATAATGATAGACTCGAAGTGATTATTTTTTTTAGATTGCCATTTCCTGAATACACAGCAGATCCTAAGTAAGTTGTTTATCGAATAATACTAAACTCTCTCTCTCTCTCTCTCTCTCTCTCTGTGTCTCTTGAAATTGACTTTAGGTTTTTTTATTTTCAATCTAGAATAAAATGCATTCACTTCATTACAGAGTCTAAATTATAGATGATGCATATATAACTAGAGAATTTATTTTAAATAAGTTAAATAGTACCCTGAACCTCAATGCAGAAATTAACTATTGAACGAAAAAAAACTTTTTTTGTATTTTTATGACTATGAATTTGAATTTTACAACATATGTGTCACTTTAGAAATGTAGAGAACTATGCTTAGTTGCTTCTTCGATCGTTCCAATCAGAGAGGAGTTTTGTTTTAGAATGATTCTACTCTTTCTGAGTTTTTGCATGTCACTATTTTCCGAACGATTAAAGGAAACTCAATGAACTACTTCATAATAATAGATTAGGAGAGTTCTTGAATTATCAGACTCATGATGAGGCGATATTGTGGCAGATGATAACTCACACGAACAAGAGTACGCTGACCTCATTGGTCTACCTAATTAAAATCATATGTCCCAGATAAACTTCACATAATTTGTCTTAACAGTTGATGAGATACTTTTAGTCAGTTATCTAGTGAAGATCAATAATGCTAGTTCTATTTAACATTTTGATGACAGATTTCTTGGAACTAAAAACCCGGATCAGTCCTCTATCACCAAGAAAATCATAATTTCAGTTGACTAGCGTCGCTCAATCTAGAATCGTCTTCTACTGAAATTCTTAATTATAATCATTTCTCCACTTCATTTCTTCATAGTTTTAATACTAGATCATATTTATTTAGTATAACATCAAAAAACTTTCCAACTCATGCAAGTATCTCTCGGCATGTTAGCTTTCCTGAACGTGCTGTTTCAAAAACAGGTATGAATAAACAAAGTCAACAGAGAAAGACTTCATTTTCTGTCTGGTAAAACTTAATCTAATAATCAGTTTTACTAAAGCGCATTGTGATTGTGGAGCTCAACAACAGCAATGGTTTTTATTTGATCCGTTACATGCCTATGCTGAATATATTATTGAATATGAATATTTATTCTCTGTAAGTTAACTATTTTCTATAGAATTAATCGAATTGTGCGTTGTTTTCTTTTGTAAAAATTCAATCTAGACTGCTAATAAAACGCTCAGTGATCAATTAAGTCGGATAAAACTTGAAAAAGTTGATGATTCACTTGCAACAACTTACCAAGAAGAAATAAGTCGCGATAGCTTTATTCTACCATCCAAAGATGACGAACTTCCACCAAAAATGTTCGTAATTTATTTAGACATTGTTTTTAATTTATGCTTCTGTTTGTTTTTGAATATTATTAGACATGATCTATCTGAAGATAAACTTCTAAAATTAGTAAATGAAACAAATTTAGCAAATATTGTTGAACTTAATTTAACTTGTTGCAATCTACATTCAATTAAATTACTATCAGAATTAAAAAGTCTTCGCACACTTGATTTAAGCTTTAATGAATTAGTCAAATTAGATGAATTATGTTATTTTTATTCGCTTGAATTTATTGATTTAAGCTATAATAAAATCACAACATTAGATGGCATCAAAGGATTAGCAAAATTATTATCATTTATTGCTACACATAATGTTCTGAAGAAGTCATTAGATGAAATATTAACATTGAAACGTTATTGTCCAAGTTTATGTCATCTTGATCTTCGTAGAAATCCATTGGATAAAGTAAGAATAATATATACTTGACATTCATGTCTTGTATTAGATAAACTTATTGGAGTCTGCGCAGGAGTAAACATAATTAGGGAAAGGAGTTGAAGGAATAGTCTGCTATTTTTCTCATATAGGGCTACGAATGAAAACGAACCAACATAACTAGATTTGATGCTTGTTTCAAGTATCGATGAATATAAAATTATTTTTATGCGATCGAGACTAGTGGATTTTGCCTTCATTAATATTTTTCATTTGAGAGTTGATGACGAGCATTTTGTCTCTGAATTAATTTCAAATATTCTGCGAAATTTTTCTTTAGTCTTATGGAAAATGTTGACAGAAAAAGATCTCTTTCTCTTCCTATAGTAGAAGATTTCTTCACTCCTTATACATCCGAAGACTACAAGCATGTTCGTTGGGTATATTGAAGAATATCTCATAACAATATGAAAAAGTTTAAAGCGGACTTGCCAGGCTATAATGGAATAATGAACATTCTACTCTCGATCTCTAAGTTCTCATAGAAATCTGATTTATAACTTTTGAAAATAATTTCAAGTCGAAATCTTTTAAAGACAAGCATAGACTACTTTGTTGGTTAGTTAATGTGAGTTGAATGAGAAATACTTGTTTGTTCGAATAGCTGGATTGGCTATTACATATTTCTAAGACAGAGATGCCGTGTGTGATTCTCAGTTTCAATTTTTTTAGGCAGAAACTTTTCGACCTCGCGCACTTGCATTAATGCCTACTTTAGTATCAATCGATGGTGTAAATATAACTCATAATGAACGTTCAAAAGCTCAACAATGTCAACCAGAACGATCATGTTCGATGGTAGCAAAATATTCTTTAAAACTTCTACAAAAAAAAACATTGAAATCGTTTAGGAAAATATGATTCTTCATAGTCGAACTCATCCATTTCGTCCACGAGATTTGCGTTGTCATTTTATTTCTAAATACTACGAACTCTATACAAATGATCCTCTCGGTATTCATCAACCAAAACTCGATGATATCTATTGGATGTCGGCAGTAACAAGTTTATGTTTAAGTGATGTTTATCTAACAAAACTACCCGATTTATCCAATATGATTTGTTTACGTTGGGCAACATTTGATAATAATTGTTTAACACACATTCGAGTAGCTCATTTTTATTCTACCACAAAAATAGAATTGACGTTGATTTTTCGATTTTCTTAGGGTCTTGAGCAACTTGTTAAATTAGAAGAATTATCAATTCAAAATAATTTTTTAACAATTATTGATGGTATTGAAAATTTAACCAGTCTAAGACGTTTAAATCTTTCAAAAAATGAAATAACCGATTTTGACGGACAAATTTTAACTAATCTTACACGATTAACGTATTTAGCACTTGACCATAATCGATTGCATAGTTTAGCAAAATTAGGTCGATGTTCAACATTAATTGAATTGTACGCTGGAAATAATTTAATAAGGAATATTCGAGATATTTTTCATTTAAAAGTAGGAATAGTTTGTTTTTAGAATTCGTTTTGCTGATTTTACTTTGCTAAATTTAGACGCTATCAACTCTACTTATATTAGATCTATGGGGCAATCCAATATGCCATGAAGTAGAAAAATATCGCTTATTTATTATTTATCATTTGAAATCACTGAGAGCATTCGATGGTTTTGCTGTGGAAATTCAAGGTTAAATTAATTCTTTGTGTGATAAACAATATTTCGGTGTTTTTTTCTTTCTTTCATATAGAAAGCGGTGAAGCGCGAGAAGTATTTGGTGGAAAATTAACACCAGATTTTATTGTAGAAAAATTAGGACATAGTAACTTTTCAGGTAAATATATTTTTCCGAAGATTTGAAAAACAACTTTAAATTAAAATTATAAACGCTCAATATTCTAATTGATGAAAAATAAAAGAACAACTCAATAATAGCCTTCATAAGGAATTCTTGTTCTGTCTAAGTGATTTGTTCTACTTTTTAGAAATCAAGCAACTTGAATTACCTCAATGTGCAATTCGTGGCGTTGAATTAAATATTCAATTTATTGCACTTAAATGCGTTAATCTCGAACATAATCAATTAACTAATTTCTCCGGTCTTATTCATTTACCTAATTTAAAGGTACAACCTAGCAAAGCAATATAATTTTCTTTCACTTATTTTATTTAGATACTTTGTTTGAATTATAATCGTATTGAAAGTGTTCTTCATCGACCAGCAAAACCTCGAGTTGATAATCGTGGAAAACCTATTATGGAAAATGTTGATAATCGAGTTGTTTTAGAAAATCTCGAAGTTCTTCATCTTGCGTAAATATTTTTTTTTCATGAGCCAATTCTTATTTTGAATAATAATTTTTGCTTTTCTTCTAAATTCTATTTAGTTATAACAACATAACAGATCTCGCCCTACTTCAATTGACTAAAATTCCATCATTACGGTCTTTATTTCTTCAAGGTGAAATTCTCTTCTTTCGTAACCTTAAAAATATATTACTGCTCTTTTTCTGTGTGTTAGGGAATGAAATATCAAAAATTGAAGGTCTCGAAGCATTACGCAATTTACGTGAATTAGTCTTGGATAAAAATAAAATTCGTGTTATAACGGAAACATCATTTTTCTTTCAAACGAATCTAGTTGAATTGCATTTAGAAGAAAATCGTCTTCGAGAATTATCTTATTTTGATCGTATGATCAAATTAGAAAAACTGTTTTTGGGTTCAAATAAAATTCAAGTAAAAAAATTAAATATAAAAAATTTTCTTGTCTAAAGGCGACTTTTTTTTAAGGAAATTTGTGAACTAGAAAAAATTAATCCTCTTATTTGTCTCGGTGAATTATCCCTTATTAACAATCCGGTAAAATAATATTGTTGATCTGTAAACGAACTGTTGAAGTATGATAATTGTTTTTTAAGGTGTCTCGTAAAACAACTTATCGATTTTTTATTGCTTATCGATTACCACAAGTACAAATACTCGACGAACAAAATATTACCGAAGACGATCGACTTCGAGCTGAAATTTATTACGCCGAAAGTTCAGTAAGTCTTCTCCGGAGAATATATTCACAGAAACGAGATGAAGCAAAGAGCGATCGATCATTTATTTGTTCAACTCTTAAAAGAATTTTCAGAAATGATAAGACTGAATCAGAGTTGTGTGTTACTTGCACGTGTTAGTCTGAAAGACTGCTGGCCAGTAAATCATTATTGAATAATAGATTGAAAAATTGAGCATTCAATCTATCATCAGATTTTTCACTTAGACTGTCGAACTGTTTCTAAATGCCTAGAATTAAATATCTTCATGTCTGATATAATATTTTAATTCTTTTCAGCAACCTGCAGGACCCACAGGGAATGTCAATGAAATATTTCCTGGATTATTAGCTAGTGGACAACAACAACAGCAACCACAGATGCGAATCAATCAAGTAGGCTATAATGAAGGTTATGGTGGTACAAATATTCTTGATCAAGGTAAAAATTGAATCAATCTTTGAATCATCGGCTTAACTATCTTATCATTTTAGTTCGTCAACGTCAAATGCAGATACGCATAGCTGCTGCTAATATTAATAATCCAAATGGAAAATTGAATAATGGACGTTTTTTGCCTAATGATCGATAATAACAATTTTTTTGTTTTAAATATAAATTCAAACGAAAAACATAATGATAACTTTTGTATCTAAGCAGATAAAATAAATGAAGATTCATTTTTTTCTCTATATGCATGCTGCTTATCGTTTTTATTTTGTTTGTAAAAATCGTATTCTTCTCATGTATATTCGGAAATAAAAGTGAAGAAAATTTATTCGATGAAATAAATCGACAACGAAAAAATTTTGGTTTATCAAATGTCGAAATTCATTTAACATTACAATTAGCTGCAGAAAAACGTTGTCATAATCAACGACAATTGATTGACTCCTATCAAAGAATGCTATCGAACGCGTACAGAGATGGCGATTGGCCCAGACAAGAACAGCTCGATAAAGTTTTCTCTCATGGTAAAATACGATTTAATCTAAGTTCATTGCCTTTCCGGTTTTTTATTATTATCAAACTTTATAGTAAATGAAAGAATCTATCTTAATGGTATCGATATACGAAATGATATTTTTCAAAGATATCATCTTATTCCAAAGCCATACGAAAGAAATTTAGTCTATATTGGTATTGCGTTGCATGAATATAGAAATTTTTCCGCTACATGTATTGTTTATGGAGAATTAAATAATTCGATTTCAAATAACAGTAGACTTATACGTCTTCTTTACATCCTTATTGGTTGTGGAATTCTTCTGTTGAGTTTAATCGTTTGTAGTATTGTGAATGATCAACGACAAATGAAATTAAAACAACAATTAGAGCAGGAAATCATTGATAATAGAAATACGATTGTTCCGAACAATTCAACGACTGTATTTATTGATAAAGATCGAAAATCATCAACACATCGAGCAGACATGAATCGAATGACAGTGGCACGATTAGGCTCCGTAGTAGGTGAACGTTCGTCAGCTGTTCATAGCTTTTTTGCAAAGACGTAAATAAAATTCGCTTAGAAAAAGAACTCGATCTTTGAAATAAGTAAATCACTATAATCAATACGTCTTATGATCAAGTTTCTCGTCATAAAAGAAAAGTCTGATCAGTGTCAGTACTCGTTGAACAAGTGTTTGTTTTATTCGAAATCCTTACAGTTTAATACATATATTTTAAAATCTTCAAAGTAGGGTAAGTTATTAATTAAAATATAACTGAATATTGTCCAAAATAACATCCAATCACGATACTAGGGTAAATACCACGATAGATATTATTAGGGAAACGTCAAAATCTATGACAAACCATAATTGATGTGTCGGTAACATCCTCCCGCCATGCCCCATCAGAGACTTAGACGGATATGATCGATGTAAGGTCACTGGCCGTGACAGATAGTTAAACAACACTCGTCTTCTTATCACAGACTGCAACAAACATTATTGGTATATGATACCAGACTGAAGAGTAATAAATGTTCGTTATCAAGTACATGAATTATTTATTTTATTTCTCGAGACTTCAGTTAAACGATGTTCACAGCATTTTCTAACAATAGACAAAATAAAAAGTCTACTTCTGATGAACAACGATGAATATATTCTGCAATAGTTTTGAATGTCCACGGAGGCTATTGCTCTGAGTGCGTCTATAGTAACTGTGTCACGGTAGCTTAGTTAGTACTTGATCTTTATTTTGTGCAAGAAAACTAGCCACAAGATATGGCATAGTGAAACACTTGCGTTTTTCGTTTTTTTTTTGCTTGAAAGAAAAAAAAGAATTTGGCATGTCTAATCCTTCAATTTTTAAATGTTATGGCATGAGATTTATAGAAACTCATTTGACGGAAGATATATGCAGAATAATTGATGAAGTCTATCAGATAATTTTCTTGAATTCGTGAATATTGTCAAGTACATCATGTCAAACAACTAAATTTCTACTTACTTAAACACACAAAATTCAAGAGGCATTCGCCTCTCATGCAATATTTTTCTTTTATTTAAACAATATTTGTAAATTCATGACTAAAAACTTTTGAATTGAGCTTGTTAATGTACACGAAAAATCATGTTTGTTTTTATTGACTTATTAATCTAAAAATTGAATTCTCGGTTTAGGATTTTTCGTATTCCCATGATATCGAATTGGAATCGGTTTAATAAGCGGTGATAAATCAGTTTTTGTGTCACTATCAGTAGTTGCTTCATTTTTTTCACATAATTCGTCATTGTTGGTCAATATGAATGATTGATAGTTTTTCGGCATATGCATAATCGATTGATTATATTTAGGTAATAAAGCTAAACGATCTGTCGGTATTGTTGTTAACTGTTTATACTCTTTAGTTGATGATGACGGTGATAACAATGAGTTTGACGATGTTTGATGCGTATTTAATGAACATGATGTTAATGGTAGTGTTTGACTACGTGATAGACTTGTTTTAGGTTGTGTTTTCGTAGTCATACTTTCAACAAGAACTGAATTTATTCGATTAATTAAATTTGGTGTTAGCAATGGCGATTGTATTGACGCTGACGATGATTTTTTTTTATTGTGTGCTTTATATGTTTGTATGACTTGTAATACAATAATAAAAATAATTGTGCCCATATAAAAAATGAATATACTTATTGTAACATAGACAAGCGAAAAATATGCTGGATCATCTTCCGCTTGTATGACACAAATAATAGCTATGGCCGCTAGAATAAGATTAATTAAACCCAAAATGTAAAGCGAATGTTGAGCTATCATTTTTCTAATATATTGATAGAATAATGATAGACTATAGAGTCTAGTATTGAAAGCATTTATTTTAATACTGCTGGTGTTTGATAGAGATGATAATGATTTTGGTGTCGCAATTTCAATGGACAGACTTGTTCTTGGATGGATAAAATGCATTTCATTGCATTTATTTCCTTGTTTTGATCGTAGCGTCTTATCTTTGATATATTCGTATGTGACCTCGTTTTGTGCAGCAATAGAACTGACATCAAATATCAAATAGATCGAATCGCATGAAGGAAGAAAAACGTTCTTGTGAGACCTTTCTTCGCTGTTTCACTGTCTGTTTCCCATGCGTAATACATTATTCGACGTTCATCATCATGCTGCTCACATACACATCGAATCAAATGCAAGTTGGTTACTTTCCCCATTTCTTTTTTCCTTCTCCTGCTGCCAGTTTTCTATATCGAGCATCTAAAAATTTATTAAATGGCATACTAAGTAGAATGCAAAAGACATTCATGTCAGTTTAGTCTTACTATCGCTGAACAGCATCGAACAAGCTAAAATAAACGATACAAAAATGTTTAATACATAAATCTAATAGAAATATTTTCTTTTTCTTTTGATTATTGTACTATTTAATGCCTGTCGAATTAAATATTTAGCAAATGGAAGCAATACGAAATTTATTATTTAGTTGATCAAGAGAAAAACAGATTTTAAAGTCTGACCGTATTATATCCGTTGAAAAATATTGAATCTATGTTTGGTTTAATAGATCATCGATTCACATGAATAAGAAAATTTGATTTTTTTTTGCTATCTTTATCAGTAACTATCTTCTATGACATCATTTAATGAAATATTGATTGTTTTTTCTACCAAACAAGATAACCCGATTGCTTTGGAGTGTTGAAATAGATTGTATTAAATGAAAGATCGTTTCTATTAACCGCAAAGTCTCTTCGGTGCTTTTTTTTGGTATTGCCTTATGACACTCAGTAATGCTGTTGCAAACAGATATTTATTCACAACTCTTAAATTACTGTTCGCTCGCTTTTTTTTATCATAGCTCGAATGTATTGTATTTTGAGTACAAAACAGTAGAACTAAACACACCAAACGTATTCATATTTCATGCCAATTATCAACGATTTCTTCATATTTTGACTTAGTGGGTGTAACACACACACACACACACACATTCTATTTCTTAAATACAAAAGAAGAATCACTTGATAGAAAAACAGAATAACAAAGTCTGTATGTTTCGCTCGGCAGATGCGTAATTGACACCAACTACCTCTTACATGTATAACTATCATCAAGACTAAAAAAGAATCATGTGAAAAGTTGCTTCGTTTTTATTTTTTGATCTTTGAGGAAAGAAGAGTATAGAGTTCTTTAGATATTATAATGCTTCTATATTTGACATTAACGATTATCGTTCTATTACAATTCACAGAACAAGATATCGTTGCACAGGTAAATCATATAAATTATTTTGTTTTATTGGTAATAATCAATATAAATGATAAAACACAAAAACCTAGTAGCTTATCTCGACAGAAAATAGTCGACTACATTTGTTTCTGCCCTATAGAAATTTTCACGAATCAAGGAGGTGTTTACTTTTTAAACAACAAAACAGATAGTATTCATGAATTAATAATTAAAATACAAAAAGAACTTTGTTTGCTAATTTCTATTCTAGAATGAGACAATAACGGAAGCAACAACAGCAACAACAACATTAAAATTATCAATTAAAGATAAAATGAAGGTATATAGTAGAAAATAGAAAAATGATTTGTTATATTTTATTTGTCATTTAAAAATATTGACATATAGAATAAGATTAGTTATCGAATTTCAGAAGTACATCAAAGCAGCATTATCGGAAAAGACAGTATGTATTTATATTAGATAAAAAGCAAACAATAGTTGCATGCAACACAAAGTCAAAGTTCGCCAGTCGATCAGGTTGAGAGTAGCATGCCATGGATATTGGCATTCATAAAACATGTCTTCTTTTTTACTTTCTGAACTCATATATGAGACAAAAAATGGATCAAGTTTAATACGAAAAATTTATCGTCGAATATTAAATCGAAACGATTATTCAGTGTGTTGCTTATACATAAGAAGAAAACGACGTTGCGTTTTTTTCTTCTGTTATCATAAATCTAATTTTTACGTCTGAGAGGAAATAACGAAAGGGCGGCATCGATATATATTATGATTCATTCGTAACAGAGAGATCTATAAATATTGGAAGCAACAATACATTTGCATATCTTTCTATATAAGTGTAAGTCATTTAAGAATAAATTAGTGCGTCTGAAAACTAATTCGGTGAGATATTAACGTTTTGCCTAATATTTCCGAGCGAATTCTGTTTATATTTCCTAGTGTTTATAGACTATTTAAAAGAAATACTATTGGTCAATGGTGTTATTTTCACTAATTTATGTACTTTTAGCTTTTCAAAATGTGAGTTATTCATAGAATTGAATCTATTCGGAATTGTTTTCTATGAGAATAGTAAAAATATACATTTTGTAGTTATTTCTGGAATTCGTCTGACTATTTCAGACACAGATTTACTTATTTATCGTAATAAATGCGATTAGCTTGATGAAATGCATCGACATATTATAAATGACTGATAGTTGCAGTAGAATAACATTCCAAGCAACTGTTAGATACATTTTCTATATTAATTGACGTGCTTATCATTTGACGAAGAAAAAAAAGCATCTTTCAAAATACAAAACTTTTTCATTAAGACAATTAAAACAAGCAATATGCCGAGTAATAATACGGTTTCAAACAAAGTAATTTACTGATTTGCTGATGTTATTCTGTGAAACATAAAATTATTTCTAGCCTATGCTGCCTCCACCGGACAAACTCTTCTTCGAATATCTACGTTGTCGTCAATTCAGTTCTATCAACAAATTACCTAGTAGATTAGATTTCTCTATTTTTATTTTGAAAAAAAAGATAAAATGATTCCATTCAGATAGTTATTCATGTCCGTATGATTTCGATGAAGATAATCGTGTTTGTTGGAAAGCAGCACCGAGCGGTTCATATGCATTTGCTACAATAGAATATGATCATGGTTTAAATCATTTCTATGATGGTGTTCGTTATGGCATTGAAAATTGTTAGTTAGACTTGTCTTTTTTTATGTTTATTAAAAGTCAAATAATATAATTAGGTACTTTACAACGTTTCTGTCAAAATAATGGAACTTGGGCAATGCCGATTTCATCTGATATTCAATGTGACAGATGCATTGGCGATGGTCGCCCTGTAAAAGTAAAGAAATATTTAATGAAAGACTTTTTTAAAAATTTTCTGTTGTTGTTTAGTTTAATTCAATTAGTATTATGATTGAAACAATGAGTTTGAGTTTATCTCTTCTATCGTTGACAATAGCTATATTATGCATGATAAATATCAAGTATGTTTCTTATTTTTATGTAAAACTTTTTCGTCTTAACCCACCTGATGCAAACCAACGTGTTTATCCAACGCGTAGACCCCCTATATCTAATATTTCTAGTAATTATAATAAATGTCCGCTTTTATGTCGATGTTTTCTAACCTTTAGACGGCTACATTTGCCCCGAAACCTGCTTCATATCCATCTTTTCCTTGCTTTTATCCTTCGTTCGATTGTTAAACTTGTATTCATACACTTGATCATTGGCGGTTATACATATTCGATGATAAGGTTTACCCGTGATAAATGCGGAAATATAGAAATTATTTCAAAATCATCAAATTTATTTCATGTAAATATTTTTTTTGAGAAAATTTGATTTTCCAAATTGTTTTCTAAATTAAGGTTATCGGTTGTCGTGTATTAGCATCCTTATTTTGGTATACAGATGCTGTGTCGCAGACGTTTGTATTCTGTGAAGCGATGTTCTTATTTACAGCATTAACGAGTCATTTATTTCGTGATCGTGGCTGTACAGTGTTCGCTTTATGGGGCTGGTTAAGTCCATTGATTTGGTTGTCAATGTGGATTGCATCACATATATTAACAGATAGATTTAAACATCGATCAACATGTTGGTTAGAAGCTGATAATACAACATATTTTTATTATTTCTTTTATGTTCCGTATGCATTCTATTTATTTATGAATTTTGGTATATTTCTATTTCTTGTTCGACTTCTCTATACAAAATATCGATCAAATTATGTTCCGGCAAATAGAACTGCAAATCGGTTAGTAAAAAACAAAACAACTTTTGTCTCCTCCATTACAATTAGAAGATTATTTGTTTGGTGGATTGGGTTTTGGTTTGTATTTGAAATGCCTTTAAGAATTTAATATGATGATACTTGCCAAACTGAAAACGGATGTTCCTCGTATGCGGGTTGAGCCTAAATTTCGATAGAGCTGTCCACTTCGTACAGTTGTTTTTTCATTGTAATTTTTCGTGAATGAATATCGAACTTCATTGCTGATGACCACTGAGAATCTTTACTATACGTATGACTCAAAGCAGCTTTATCCTAGACAATTTAAGATAGGTTAAGTGAAACTAAATTAAAATAATTAGTTCTACTAAAATTAGTATTCGTGAAAAAATGATAGACTTAAAAGAAAAATAAAAGAAACGTGAAAACTGCCAGATCTTATTCAACTAATGTTCGTTAGGGTAAGAATTCTATTGTGTGAAAATCTTCACTGAATAGAAAATCTAATTTTATTAGCGTCATTCTAAGTTTAACTGAGTACAGATCAGTGCTTTATTTCTGTAGTATGAGAGTATCAAAACGTGACTTGACTGTGAGGTGAATATTGAAATAAAATAATTGGTTCATGATTTTAGTCATCTTATAAAATCAATACTTATATTAATACCATTATTTGGTCTTCATTCATTATTTGTTATGTGGGTTTTTCATCATAAAAATCAAGGTCATACCGTATGGTATTATATTGCTGTTATGTTTAAAGCTGTTTTTGGTGATCTACAAGTAAATTTGAAACACAATGAATAATCATCAATTGAGTTTTGTCTTTTTGTTGTTTCAGGGTTTTTTCACTTCACTTATTTATTTTTATTTCAATACGGAGATTCGCACAGAAGTTCTTCGACAAGTTCAACGCACATTATCAAGTAATGATGCTCTTCGACGTAGTTCAGCTGGTGAAACCTTATCAACACGTTTATCCGTTTTTCGTATATCATTGAATCGTCGCCGTCATTCATCAAATCAAAATCGTAATGGCAAATGTCGTACAACAGTAACCTATTCTCCATCACCGGTTTTAAATCAGAGTCAAGTCTATTGGAGAAACGTTTCTGCATTTATTTGTCCGTGTTCAAGTAATAAAAGCAATGATAAGAATAAGAATACCAACGAAATATTAGAACAAGTCAATGGACCACAACAACGATTATCTATTGGACTGAAGACTCAAGAAAAAGAAATAGCGCCGGTTATTCAGACGAATTTATTATCTGATGACAATGATGGAGAGGGTGTAACAACAACTGTGTCTCTACGAGATCGTCCATCAAAAAGTACAATTGATATTGATGGGTTGACATGTGATACGATTGTTATGAAAAATGAAAATGAAGCATTATTGAGCGATGCAAACGATGTTACTATTCACCAATCACCATTTTCTGGTGGAGCAACACCAACTTTGTCGCCTTCTGAATTATCCATCGCGCGTAATGATGCTACGAATTATCATGTACGATCGAAAAGTGATGGACATGATTTAAAAGAACTCGTACCGAAATTTTCCGCCGATAATAAATCATTGAAATAAATATTGTTTCTGATTACAATTTTTATGTTAAAAGAAACAACATATTGACAACAAATCTGTATTTTCTCCGACTTACTTTTACCTGCATATGTATAGAATAGATGTTTTTCTTTTTTTCTTACATTCCTCTATTGGTTTATGGAGAGAAGAAAGATAACATATTATGTATGTATTTGTAAATAAAGAAGTACTTCTTAGAAGAAGATAAAAATCATCTAGATAGTTGTTATTTAAAATAATATACACTAAAGGTCCATGCGTAAGTTACTGTTCGATCAATTTTTTCTATCGAATATAATCCAAAAAATAATAATTTTCAACCGAATGTTTTTTGCAGACAACACAAATAATATAAATATAAACATAAAATAATCTATGCGCTGATGCATTTAATATTTTCCTTAATTATTCTTGACATTCTTGTCCTATCGTTCGAATAATATTAATGCAATTTATGTTTATGTCTGGATCTCTGTGACTTACGCGATACTTTATTAGATAGTGTTGAAAATTCATTTTTACTTGATCGGAGCGTTGAAAACAGTTAGAGAGTATAGCTTGTTATTATTTCAAATTTGACCGTGTCCTCAATAAACCATTTTTGAAACGTTGATATTTGAACGAAATCAAAATTAGTAATAATTGACTTTGACCTGATAATATTACTTCCGAATCATGCTCGATACTTGACCTTTTTAGGTTTGTCTTCTATATGTAGCTTGTAGAAAGAATCATAGACAAAGCCTTAAGTCGAAAATTATGAACATGAATTTTAGTTTTCATTAAAATATTTTTTTGTTTGTGTTTTACCAAATATTTCTTAGGTTGAATCCTCACATTAATTTTTTCACAGAGATTTGATTCAACAAAGCAAGCAATATCTGCGAATTTCATATCATACAAAAAAAGTAACGTCAATAAAATATCTATATAATTATTCTATGTCGTACATTGATTCAACACGATTCAAATATTAATATGCCATAGAATATATATTGTATTGATTAGTGACAAAAGAAAAATTCGCTTTTTTCAGGTAAAATATTCGTTGTAATATTACTACTATTCAGTAATTTGATGCCGAAAATTCCTCTCGGCAAGCGTTAACGTTGTACGTCTTTGATGAGGAGGTAATGGCATACCCACTGAAGAAGAAAAAACAAATCTTGTTACTTGAATACATAGAAAATGTGAACTTTGTTTACCTTCGGGAAAATCTGATTTTGTTGAATTTTTATGAAGTTTATTCGATTCCTGAATAGCTGCAATTAACCGCTGAGTTTCCAACACATTTCTACCTACGCTATAATCATTGATAGTAATTTGACGAAGAATACCGGAATCATCGATAATAAACATTGCTCTAACAATAGTAATGACAAAATGATCATTATTATTCAAAAGTAAATATTGAAAAACAAACCGATAGGGAATTCCATGTTCTTCATCGAGAATACCATATTTTTTTGATATCTCCATGTTTCTATCTGCAATTAATGGAATTGTAATACCATGAGCTCCACCTTGTCTAGGTGGCACAGTTAAGCTATTAAAGTACGAAAACCAAAATACAATAAAAGAGCATACAAAATAGATATGCAAACCATTTTAAATAATTATAATGACTTTCAATTGAACAAGCAACTATATAGGCATTAATTTTTTCGAAATCTTTCAAATGATCATTGAATGCAATTAACTCTGCCAATGAAAATATTCAAAAATAGTTAAAGTTTCTTTTTATAAGCAAACCTGTTGGGACGATGTAACTATTAGATATGTTAAAAACAAATATACATATTTATTCAATTATTGTCTACGCTGTTAATAGTCTACTTACAAATTCATTGGAAAAAAGAGTAAAATAACGTATTTTCGGTTATAATCCCTTAATGATACTTCTGTTAATTTATTATTCACTATTGCTTGCGCTTTGAACTCGGGTGCAGGTTTACCAATACGTGGCAAAGACATCTAACGGTGTCTATCAATGGAGAAAAATGAATCGTCATATGTCTGCTAACGCCGTTAATAAAAAACACGCATCACAAGGAAAGTACGCATCACTGATTGAATAATATATATATATATATATTTATATATATATTCGCTCTTGTTTCACACGTGCTTTTCAACCGAGGCTTTTTCCCACCTTAGTAATTTCTTTCTTTCTCTTCATGTAATTTTATTATCCAATGACGCACTTTCTGTTGCAATAATCGCCAAAGCTTATCATACGGCGTTCATCGGTGTATTATCAATTCTTGCGACTTTTATAATGATGATAGAAATGAACTGGCCATAATAGTTCCGTGACTTCAAACATGCATTTTTATAATTGCCTAATGCATTGTATTGCAAAGTATATCGATCGCAACGCCAATAATTCAAAAACATATTATCACGTAAGTGCATTAGAAATATTATGTCACTGCTAATGTGTAATAAGAGGAATATGATTTTAAAAACAAATACAATATCTAATAGCGCTATTGCAAATTGGCTAACATAACTTATAAAAGAAATCTGAAGGCATGGTTGTGTCTAAATCGGAAGATAGATTCGTATTTCATCAAGGGGTTTTTAAAAAAAATTAAATAATAATATATTTTTGCTTGTTATGAAAGCCTTTTTATTTTCAAATAGTGATGTATTTTTTATTTCAGAAAATATGTGTCTTGGAATTGAAATATAAACTTTGCAATATCGTAAGATACTGTATCTTCTAAAAAAATTTGAATAAATATATTCCTTTATTCTCGACATCGTTCCTACTTGCTATCATTAATTATATTGCTGTATGGATATTTTGATCCGTTTAATAGATCATAGTGTGAAATATTCAAACTATCTTTCCGTACTAAAATATATATTGGTCCTACAATTTCATATGAATTGAACGATCTCTGTTATGTTCTACTAGATTTCTTCTGCTTTTATTTGATGAAATTGTCATAAGCTGAAATGATTTTCATGAATAGTTTTGTTTGTATATTTGATCAATTGGTCGTCATTTATTTCAGATCAAGCATGTCAAAGAATCACTTACGTGAAATCGTTACGAAACAATATTGCAATAGGTTTCTAATATAGAACGTACACGGCTACACTCATACATTTAATCTTAACCTTGATCATATCAATCGCTAATATTAATCTATAGACTGGCCATGGGATGCACCAGATTGTATTTCAAACTTTGTTTTCTACCTGTGCTGCATTGTTGGGATTCTATTGCTATTTATATTCAGTACAAGCTCTAAGTTGTGTGTTTTTTTACATTTTTTTTATATAAATATCAGTATCCACTCCGTTGACTTGTATATATTATTTGCAATTGGTTCATAAATGTTTTAATAGCAACTTTACCTTTAATACCTATCTCAAAGTAGAATCTTTTGAACAGCAACTGCATTTCATGTGGAATCATTTTCTATTAAGTTCGTTCATCAACTCATCTAGTTATGCTTTTCAGTGCAGACATTCGAAAATTAATTAAGCAATATGGTTGTCTTTTACGTGATGAGATATTTTCATGATAATAATATTCTTTGTGGTACAACTTCATGATAAGCATAATTTCTCTAATGGCTGTTTTCGCAATTTTTATGGGTGGGAGCATTTTCTAACATGTATGGCAATATTTTCAACTCAAGAAGAATCTAAAAACATCTATTACATCGGTTTATCCACAACGAATATTCTCAGCCTATAATTAACCTGTGAACACTTGAAGAGAAGTTTAATGAAAATGAGAATCATCAACATCAATTTGATATCCAGCTCATTGTACATTTAAATACAATATTACTTTGCGAGAGAGAGACAGAGAAATGCTATACGAATCGTCTGAGTCAACATCGAACGATATTATTTTGAGGATTGAATTTCTCTAATAGCGACTTTCTTGCTTTTATGAATATAATTTTAAGTAATCATTCATTTTCCGTGTTTCCATTACCAATATCCTACGCAACACGAATATTTTCTGGATTTATTTTGACATAGAAAATATTTTGAATTATTATAAAAAGCAGAGTAACTCCTTGTATGATAGATTTAAACAAAAATGGATATTAGTTTTTATATTTAAGAATAGTTTTTCGACGAATCAAATCACTAAAAAACATATATTCATGAAAAAATTAATTTTTAATACAAACAATCCAAAACCTTATGATGGAGATTTGCAATGCATATGTACAATCAAGTTGAACTTAGGATTGTTATTGGTACGCATTTTAATTATTGTCTTGGGGTCCGCTTCGATCTATTCATAGCGATAATTAGAAAAAAATAATTTGTTTTGTATGATATAAGGGTTTGTTTCATGTAACCAACTTTTAGAACATATTCGAACCGTTGCATCTGTTTTTGATTGATTTTGTCAAATAAGAACTACGGTGGGAACATACTTTTCATGTAATGTTGATTTCGCTTGAAGTCTTCTTCTTAATTGCCGTAAAATTAATAAACTATTTGAAATATGGAAGAGCTACAATCGATACAATTATAAAATATAATGAACTATATATTTAGTATATAAATTTTACTGTCGGCTAATAATGTTCATCTGCACGAAATCATCAAGATTTTTTGTATCGTCGAATATACTAATTACTCAACGTTTATCGAATGTCAATAAAGTTATGAGAATAATTCTATTTAAGATTTTCTTAAGCGATTCAGAACTAACGAGAATAATATCTCGAAGAAACTTAATTTTTGCTGTACTAGATCCGATACGTTATGAGATTTAAAATGACGCCTCCATGTCATAATTGAAAAATATTCTTCAATACAGTTTCACTTCTTACAAATCAAAAGCGTCTTTTTGAATCGTTTCAGAATAAAAATTAACAATCACTTTTCTTCCAAAAAAAAGAAATATTCTGTTACGTTTTTCTTGTCTACTTCTATTTCGTCTTTTTTTTTATATTAGGTAGTTTTAGAGAAATATATTTTCTCGATTATGCGTCGGTGGAAATAGTTTCACATTTTTACTTGACACATATTTATTGTTTTATTATTCGTTTAATTTTCGATTTAGCCGATTGCTGAAAAGTAAACGTTAAGACTAGCCAATTGAATTCGTTGTTTCTTCAGAAGTCAGCGCGGTCTTCATTCAAAGGATTTATGTATTCGATAATGAAGCATGCGCTGCAAACATTTGTTTATATGAAAAAGATGCGCCAATCATCCGTGCTTGTAACAAAAAAACATAACGAAAAAAAAACAGACAATATTTAGTTTTTTTTCTTTTCTCTTCGTCTAATATCATATTTTGATATTTTTTCCCGTGTCTCCAATTTTTACTCTTTTCTCTTCTTCTACTTATATGCGCCTTGAATCGATGTAAACGTGATATTATATATGTTTGATACGCCCTGATCACCTGCAGTAGCATGTTTGCTGTTCGACAGACTGTATTCACGTGTTTTCTTCTACTCGGTAGATTTATTTTCTTGCCAAAGACTATTCTATTTTGGTTTAATTGTAGTCTTTATTCAGTTTACTGATGGTCTAACGTGTTATGTTTGTTCAAACACTTGCAACGATCCATTCAATCCAAAAACAGCTACACAAGTAGCTGTACCCAATGCAACAGTATATTCGTGCGCTGTAAGTTAATCTCATTTTCAAATTACAAATATGCATAGTAATTGTTTATTCGAAATAGAAATTTTGGATAGCAACTGGCAATGTAGCTCGAAGTTCGTTGATGAATTGCCAACCGAACGATATCAAAGGAATTGGTGTATTCTGTTGTAACACAAATCTATGCAATGATGCTAGCAAGAAACTGTCAATAGGTTATCTCGTCTACAGTTTAGGACTTGTTCTTATTGTTATGTTATTTTAAGACAAAGAAGATAGACTGTTTCGATAACGATTTTCTTTTAAGTAGACCCTTTTCAACTTGATTTTTGTGACTCTTTTGCTTTTTATTTATTTGTGTAAACTTACATAACATGTTAACAGTTTTGTAACATTGACACAATCAACCACGTCGTCTACGAAGTCAATATTACACCAAGAAAATTTGTCATGTAGGTATGTGGATGAATCAGGGATGTTCCTATAGGATAGGATCACACAATCCTGCCTTGAACTAGGATAGAATATTAAAAAAACGAATGTCTATCCTTAGAAACAACTTTTTCTCAATTCTTGGATAGTCAAACGCCAATCTGTCAACGCCCAAATGAACATATTAAAAACATACAAAGTGGGCATGGAAAAATTTCATTTCACTGAAGTTCTGCATTGCTCAATAATGAAAATAATTATGTAGAAAATAGTAATTCGTTAAGAGTCTGCAAATGAAAGAAAGAAATTTACTAAATATGTAAATCGATACTATCTTGAAATGAAGAAATCGATCGTAAAATTAGAGAAACGAATAAAATCAATCAATGTTACTTGTTCGAATTCGAGAAAAACATGTAAACAATAGAAGTTTTGCAGTTTTAGCAAAATCTTTATTGTTTAGACTTTTTTTGAAGGAAACTGGAATTGAATGAATTATCGGACAATTCAACGCTATATTTGGCAATGCTTGAAGATACCAGTGAAGTAACCACAACTTCAATATGGTTTCCAATAACCAATGGTAATTGATTCATATTCTATGAATTATTGACCATTTACACATTGCTATCCACTATGGATTGTAATCGATTAAAATTACGAAAACAAATTATCAATAAAAACTCGTTAAATCACGGAAGGGAAAAATGAATCATCGCTCACTATTTATCAATTGTTAGCTGTCCGAATCATCTGAATCGTTGGCTTAGGAAAAATCTTATTGAGCATTTAAAAATAGTTTTGTCCTTTCGAAACATCGGCCTCTCAGATACAACTGAATATAAATTCTTTGTTGGTCACTGTTTTCGACAGCAATACACCAAGAACTCTAGGTTTTCTCATAGTGAAAAACATGCAAAGTTGACGAGGCAAATGCCTGTGTGATTGACTACAAAAGTTAATTGTAAATACTTAAATTGAACGTTTGTACAGAATGATTCAAACCTTATTGTTTCGTCGTGAAACAGATACGATCATCATTTTTCTTTTATTATATATTTATTTCGATAAAAATAGATAGGAGCAGGACTAATCGGATTCGAAAATACTGTAAAGACTGTAATATTATATAAATTTTAGTCTTCACAGTTCACTGTTCGTTTGTTTTTCACTATTGAACACTATATTCCAAAATGTTTTCTAAATGAAATTAAGAATTCTATCATCATTATTACCAGAAACAACTAATCGTCTCGCACTTACACGTTTCAATGGAAAATATCGAGCTGAAACTTCCAGAACATAAAAGTAGGGTATCACTGCGACACATATCGGTACAAATGCTAATAAAACAATATTCCATCGTGTTCCTTTTGCTCGTGGAAAAGAAAAACGAAATAACACTAAACAATACAAATCAGTAGACAAGAAGTGTTCGAATAAATATTCAAACATACTTCCAAATATACCAAACCATCCTATCAATACCGGTGAGAAGAATCCAAGTGTAATAATCATAAAATATTCATGAAATATAGCTGAAACAATTACTACACAAGTCGCTGATAAATTTCGATTTCCATTCAATAACTAAAGAATGAAATTTTATTTCGCTAAAACCATCATGAAACTTACTTTGCTCATATCTTTATATACATAAACGTATAACCAATCATGTACAACAACATTCCATGATCGCCAAAATGTTGCAGCTGATGTTAAATTCCACCAATCCTAATAACAAATAATTATGAAGGAAAACCTTTTTTTTCATTTCGCTTACCTCATAAAACATGCGATCATCAAATCGAAGTAATTCTGCAAATCCATTTAACCAACAATGAAAAAACCCATAAAAAGCTAAACAAGAAAAGAGAACGAAAACATTCCAATGAAAAATCAATCAGCAAAGTAGTTTACCTAATATAACAATAAGTACTCCTGGCAGCATCAAATCAAAAATAGTTGATATTGTAAATTCAAGTGTTATTTCATCGTCTGTAAAAAAGCGCTGAAAAATGGGAACCCAAAAGTATGCTACAATATGGTAGACTAAGCATAGGGCAATCATAAATTGACCAAACATTTGCATAACAATATTCCATTGAATTTTTGATGTACGAGGATAATGATCACGATAAAGTAACGTAGGCGCAAATAGAAAATAGAAATACTGAGTAAAATGACTAAATTTAAACGATAATTTTTTATCTAAATTTAGCAAGCATCAGAAACTTTCAAGTAAAATTTAAAAAAAAACGATTTAGCAAACCCTTTGAATTATTTGATTGCTGAAGAATCTTTTCAACATTCTCACGCATAAATGAATGTGTTTTCATCATTTGTCGTAACTAAATGCAGAAAATTTATTTGAAATATTCGGTTCTATTCGTATTAAAGCGATTCATCACGGACATAGGGGTGTATTACTCATAGTTTCTAAAGAGAAAGATTTCCTATGTAGAAAATTTGTTTTTGTGAGTCCATCTGACCACTTGCTCATAATCAGTTAATTTTAGACCTGCAACTGCATTTTTTTACTTGATTGTAGCTCAAACTAATTTCTTTGTGGTCCTTAGTTATTGTCATCATTGAAAACTCTATAATTCTATAGAGTTCAAGCGCAATCTCTACTAGATAGGGTTTTGTGTGAATATTTCTTGTCTTTTTTTAATTTAAAAAAAAAGAGGTGGGTCCAATAAATAAGCCAGAAAAAAAACAGTTTTTCAACTTCATTAGAGATAATTTGATCTCGTTTCTAACGAGGGGAAAAGTTACGAAACGAGCCGAAAAACAGATGGGGATTATCCCTGATTATATAATCGTTCTTTCTACGTGCATAAGAAAATCACAATTGACAAATTTCACGCTATTGCTAAACTTTTCGATTTCTACAATATTCATGGCCGTTTTCAAACAGCTGTTTGCCATTTCGAATAATAGCAACTCTAATTTCCCGTTGTTGACTCTATTCCACAAGTATCATGCATTCTACATTACTTATATTTGCTTGTTTTTCTTTCTAGAATGCTTTTCTACGATACAACATACTTGTTCGCCGAGTATAATTGCTGAAGAAGCAATGGGTAGCTGATGTTTAATAATTTGCCAACTTGGTATCACCAATAAACCGGTAATATAAAAAATATAAATCAGTGACCAAATAAAATCATAGAGTTCTAAAGAAAAACAAACATGTTTTGTCTAAAATATCGCCATATAAAAGTCTCTCTTACTCAGATAAAGTCCAGTAAACTTCCGATTACTTGCCCACATATATGTACTATAAAAAACAATAAACATTGTAGATAAAGTCATCAGACACCAAATAAATGCGACAATGTGTAATTTACCAACAGCCTGATTTAGAAGATCAAATGTCCAATCAAACCTAATAGACAAAATTCGAAAAAAAACTGTTTTTTTCCAAAAAGTTGAATACTTTGTTTTACCTTCCATAATGAAGAAGATCATTTATTGCTTGACGTGATATTAACAAGAAAAAACTAGCAACAAATGCATTTCGTATACAGTTAATATGTGTAATTTGAAATAGATCTGTTAATAAAGATCTGCGAGCAGTAAATTCACCTGTTCTTCTATGTTTAATTGAGATTTTCACAGAATGAAATGATTCATAATTTAAATCATCATTCGTCGACATGTGTTTTGTTAAATCGCTCATGATCGAAAAATAGTAATATAAAACATAAATAACCGATTGAATTTATACTTGATCAGACAAAAAACTAAATTGAGAGCGTGGTTAATTATCTAAAAATTAAAACTGAATCATTTTGATGAATAAGAATTTTATTAAAACAAAAAAATGAATGTATAGAACGTCATATATTACAACATGAAATGTTAGACTGCAGCAGTTGCGCCTGTTCCACTTCACTGATCAATACTGCCTATAAAAACGATCAAACACGATAGTCGAGCATTCTTGTACTTGTCATATGAAAAGTAACGCATAATGATTCAATAGCACGCAAGTCGCGTGCTATTTATTTGTCTTTGCTACTTTCTTATTCGCTGTACAATCGATTGCAAGACAAATATGATGCCCAAAGAAGAAAAAAAGAGGAAATATGACAAGTTGATAGATGAAATAAATACATATGCATTTAATGGCCTTCGAAGAAATTATACCATTTAATAAAATAGCTTTTTATATAACGTAGTATTTGACAGAACTCAGCTGGTGATTGTGTTCCTTCAAAACATGATGAATATATATATGTATATACGTATATGATCATCAACTACTACTTCTCTCTGATTCGTTGATATTGATTTGATAACTGTGGCTCTATGATATTCATGGCTTTGTAGTAAGTATGAATCATAATCGGGGAGGTCGCCTCCGGTTAGGGCTCATCACAAAAAGATGTTTCTGTGCAATCTAACAGATATTTACAGACATACATATCTGTAAAGTTACTAACAGTACTGAACTACAGTGAATAATCAGTAGTCATTCAAAATAGGTTTCATTGGCTCATTCAAAGATTCAAAAAAAAAACCAAGAGCCTATATTACATTAATAAATTAAATAATATTGAGTACATCTAGATTACTAAGGAAACCATTTTTCCTATTTATTTGAAATTTCTCGTAAAAAAAATCAAACACTTATGGATGTTCAAACTGAAATTGAGCGAAACAAAATGAAATTATTGAATAATGAAAATCTACAACCAAATATGACTACAAATCGCAAACATCTGATATCCCCGCTGTATAATAAACAAAAACAGATGCTTAGAAAACAACTTAACCTTGTTAGAAATAAACAAGTACGAGCAGTACCAGGTAAAATATATCAATTAGCAATTATGAGTTAATTAAAATCATTTTTTCTCAGATGGTTACTATAATGGTCTCATTAATGATATGCATAAAGACTACATAAATTTTCAAGAAAGAGGAACATGTCGTCAGATGGAATATTTAAATCCATTAATTCAACATGGTCAACAAACCGCTGATTTAATTCATCACTTTAATGAAGAAACTCGTTTAGAAGAAAAGAAATTAGATAAATTTAAAGCACCAAGAACTCTAAATGCTTTATCAATACAATGTTCACTTCCATCAAAATATGATGAATTAGAAAATCTTTCTCCATTATCTTTCTTAGTTAAATACACGAAACCGTTATTCAATCGGCAACGTATTGTGATGAAATTAATACGTAAAATGCATGCAGATGCAACAATAGATATTGATGATGCAAAAGATATTGTTTTCGAGTATTTTAATCGCTATATAACACTCGAAGACATCCAGGAACTTTTTCATTTTCTTAATATTCATTCATTGAATAAATTTCAAGCAAAAGAAACGATTGTCATTTGTTGTTATGCTGAACGATATTTTCTTCATAAACTAAGGAAAAATGAAACTATTTTATTTGAACGGCCATTACAAGAAATAATTGATTTTGAATTTTTAAAAAGAAAACTAGCTGGATTGAAATTAACGAATGATCTCAAAATTTTAATTAAGACTCTGGAACCACCTGCTAATGAATAGGCAACTAATTTTATTGATATATTAATGTATTGCAATTCAATTAGAGAAGAAACCGAACTTAACCATTTTTGACTTTCTATCTGTACGATAACTCGAAATATGGTTTCTCTTCGATTTTTGCAAATCACGTTTTCTAGCACATGTCGTTTACAAAAGTTTGAATGTAGACATAGACAACGATGCGAAATCTTAGAATTTTCTCAATAAAAAACAGGATTGTGAGAAATTTTTACTCTATATAAAAATGCTGATCGTAGAATGAATTTTGAAAATATAACAAAGCATTGAATTGGAATTGAATCAATAAAAAGACTCGTAATTAATAAATCGAATTTACATGGCAAACAGTAAAGACGCGTTCGATCTTTGTATTACCATGTTACGTGTGCGTTCGCTTTCATAAAGATACATCTTGAATGAAAAATGTATCACAAGGCTCGAGTCTACCAATGTAACATTTTTATTCTACTACTCTTGACAGTTATCTCCGATCAAGGGTTATCAAGTATATTATCATTCAAACATTTTTCTGTGCATCGCTATTATATTCACATTTGCAGTAAATTAAGATCAAGGATTCAGGTGAGTTAAATACTAGATGATGCACGAAACTTATGCTTTTCATGTCAAAAATTATTCGTAGACTTTTATTCGAAAGTCGTATTCTGTTCCTATTTAAAACGGTTACACCCTTTTTTCTTTAATTTCCATGATTGATAAAACTCTTTTTTTTTGTGTTCAGTATTTCTATTTGACATAAAGATAAAAACAAAAAATAACAATCAAAGCTAACAAACAACTTATTTTTTCATTCAAAATGAAAACAAGCTTAAATATCTATTAAAAACAAAAAAATTAACTATGCGTTTTTTTTCTTTTTTTCAACAATTGTTCGCTTTTGAGCTATTTCAACAAATCTTTCGTGTCGTTGCTGAGTTAATTTAATTTCTTCAAGTAAAATTTCGTTTCGACGCTGTTCACGTTCAACATTTTCAAGGTCGTTATTTTCTTGATAATATTTTACAGCTGTATCATTAGCATCTATGTCATCGTGTAATTTACTAACTTGTTTACTTAATCGCTCTTCATGTTTTTCGACTAGATCTCGCGTTTGTTTATTATCATGTAAATTAAATATAAGTTCGATATCATCAGTAACATGATCGCGAAAAGAAAATTTCGATAAATTCAAAGAATTGTTCGATGATGAAGAACTACAAACATGAATATTATTCATTCGTGTTATTGTACGAATTTCCGATAGATAAGTTTCGATATGTGTTGATAGATCTACTTGATCTTTATCATGAAAATAAACGATAATATCACAATCACGTGATAAACGAAGCATTTGTTTGAAATATGTTGCATTTTTTAGAATTATACGAATAATTTGGATCACTTGAGAATCAATTGAATTGATGCTAAGAAAAAAAATGAATAAATCAATGAAAATTTCTTATAACATACGAATCTATACGATTAGTGAAGGCGTAATTTTAGATGATGTTAACAGAATTTCGAACTATCTTATGTAGCACCGACTCTTATAGTAGTTAATCGTCGAGAATGTTCGGTGTAAAGCATTCTTAATACAATTGACTAGATCGTGAGTAAAGTCAAGCTAATCCAGAAAGCGTAATTTATACCAACGAGATGAATCTAGACTCTATAACGTATTTTGAACAATAATCGATAACAATCTATGTGACGCAAACCGAATAGAAGTTGCCGAAAGGGCGAACCAAAGTACAACTTGGGAAATACAAGTTAAGATCTGATTATAATCGACAATACCATGCAATGTTGTTTTCTTAAATCTAGTTTATACGATAGGGAATCTGGAATTATTATCCGTGAAGAGAATTAGAACACTTTTGGACTAATTGAACAACAAGAAATTCTATATTGAAATTTTCATAAATCAGAATACGAATGGTCTCTTTACACTTATTCGCAATATATATTTAAAGGAAATAATTGGATAGTTAAAAATAACTCTATGACGATTCTCAGTGATAACTTCAACCTCTAATAAAAAAAATCGACACAAAATAATTTTACTTTTCGATATTTTTCATCGACGGATATGACTGATGAATAAGATAACCTTGTTTTCCGTGTGTTAAATCTTGCCATAATTCTTCTGTCATAGCTGGTAAAAATGGATGATAAAGAATAAGATATTGTTTTAGTAAGTAGTATAGTAATATCTGAACGCTGGATTTATTATTGCTTGTTAATTGTTGTTTTATAGGAATTTTACTAAATTCAATATAAAAATCACAAAAATCTTTTATGAATGAATCACGTAAACGAACAACAGCCAAATGAAATGTATAATTATTTAAAGATTCATTAATTTTTCCTATGGTTTTATTTAATTCGTTCAACATCCAACGATCGACAAGACGATTTTCTACTAATTTTTCTATTTGTTCATAATTTATTTTCGATAAATTTTCATCACGAAAATCCATATCAGCTAAGGCAAATTCTGTAACATATTTATAAGCATTCCAAACTTTATTACAATAACGTGCAACATAATCGAAATGTGCTGGATCGAAACGTATGGCCTGTTGAAATATATCGTAAGACAAAAGAAAAAGGCGAAGACCATCGGATCCTATCGGTTGAATGCCCGATGGGTATTGCGTAGATTGTATACGTTTAGCTCGTTCAATTTCATTGCGTGATAGATGCGATTGTTCAAGACGTGCTTGCAACGATTGAAGACTTATTCCATTAATAACATCCATGGGATCAATTATATTACCTTAAAGAAAAACAAAATCGATGTTTCTATTTTGCAAAACGACGAAAAAGTTAACCTAATGATTTTGACATTTTTTTTCCATTGGGATCACAAATTAGTCCATGAAAAAGAACTTCATGAAATGGCAATTGATTCGTTAGTTTAAGACTCTAAAGATAAGATAGAATTTTCAAATAAACAATCCAAGACTAAGACAGCAAGTATTTACAAGCATAACCATCCGAGCAACCCAAAAGAACATAATATCATAACCGGTTTCAAGTAATGCTGTTGGAAATTCTTTTGAATTTTCTTTATTACAAACTGACATAGGCAATAAACCTGATGAAAACCATGTGTCAAGTACATCTTGATCTTGTTCAATATGAATTGAATCTGACGGAATATCTGGGAATAATAGCGTAGCTTTTTGTTTTGCTTCTTCAAGTGACTTTGCACCAATCCATTTATATTCAGATAAATTGCCATTTATTGAACATCGATACATAGGTATAGAATGTCCCCACCAAAGTTGCCTTGATAAACACCATGGCCGAGTATTATCAAGCCAATACTTCCATACTTTACGAGTCGATGGCGGTGTTAGTTTTAGAGTATTGTTTTCGACGACAGCTGAAGCTTGTCGACCTAGAAAAAATTCACAAGAAATTTAATTATGAATGAGAATCTATCATCAAAGCATTAACTTTTTATAGTCTGACAGTTTTACTCATCAATATCATTCAAGGTAAAAATCGAGTTTGACGAATGCCTTTCGAAATAGATGCTATAAAGATCGACTTACTCATTTCATTCGTATCCAAAAACCACTGTTCTTTAATCATTGGTTCTATGATATCACCTGTCCGACTACATACAGGTACGATCATTTTCGGTTGTTCTTGTTCTCCTCGTCTTAATCCTTGATTTTCAAGCAATTGAAGAACTTTCTCGCGTGCATCATAACGATGTAAACTATTTAATTGATGATAGAAAGGATGATTTAAATCGAGTTGTGCATAACCTTGATCATTTAACATCGTTCGAATTTCAAGTTTATGTTTTATTGCTAGTGCATAATCGAATGCATCATGACCAGGCGTTAATTTAACTGCGCCAGTACCAAAATTCTGGTCAACGCGTTCGTCGAATATAATCGGTAAACGATGTTGAGGGTCAAATGGATTTTGAACGAATTTATTTTTAAACGATGAATAACGAGGATCCATTGGATGAACAGCAATGCCTGTATCAGCTAAGATTGTTTCTGGTCGTGTTGTACTAACAATAATTTCTTTATTTTGTCCTTCATCTATAACTCTATATGCGATATTATAAAGTACACCTAGTTCAATCTCTTTTGAATAGCCAGGTATTGAAAATTTTGTTCGTCCATTAATTTCTTTTGAATCAACTTCAATATCACTAACAACTGATTGAAGTTTGCAACACCAATTCACAATACGTCGATCGCGATAAATAAGACCGTCGTCATACAAACGTAAAAATGAATCACGGACATTTTCAACAAGATTTCGATCCATTGTAAAATAAGCATTTGGCCAATCGAATAATGGACACAAACGTTTTAATTGTGTTTCAATTGTTTGTCGATAAGTTGAAGACCATCGGTAGCATTCTTCAAGGAATTTTTCTCGTCCTAAGTCTTCACGTGTTCGGGGAGCAAGATGCTTTTCAACTATAACCTTAAAATAGCAATAAAAGCAACAGACGTTTTTGTTCTGATGTTGTAAAAATAGATATACGAAATATTTCAGAAGTTTAAAAACATTTTTTATTATAATGAAACCATTTTCAATATTATTGTGATCGCCCCATGAGAATTTTCTCGTAACGTGTCCCAAATATTTTCTATTGGATCGATATGATCTAGTTTGTCAACTTAGTATGAAAATTAATTGGATTGATAGACGCACTTTTATTTGCTGATCTAAATTATCTTAAAAAGCAATTCACTTATTTCTTTAGCTCCTTTTTCTACTAGAGTTTTATGAAATAATGAATCTGGCTATTTTTTATCACAATAGATCAATAGAATGAAGAATTTTCATTCAGAACAGAAACAATGCATCTGAAATTGCGTGGTTATTTAGTAATCAACATATTAAAATAATCTAGCAAGATTGTAAAGACTTCTAGACATTATTGTCTTATCAAATTAAGAATAATCAATCAAAACCAAGATGAACTATCATGCTTATATAAATTCAGACAAAATATTTACAAATTTGTTGACTGGTTTTTACTCTATTCATTATTAATTCCCTTGCTTTTTCGTTTATTTAATATTTAAATATCTTACTTAGCTTTGCTAGTTAGTCTTACAGACTAATTAAAAACTCTTTTTCTTTTCATTGAATCAGATATCTATTCAAAAAGTATCTCTACTGAATCTCTCACATTCCCATGTCGCACAAACCGATCGAAAACCGTCGGTTAACCGCGGTCAATTTTTATAAAAATCGGTTAACCGCGGTTATTTAAGCCATTTTAGCGACTTNAAAAATAACCGCCAGCTAGCGACATAACCGATGACTTATTCGGTTAACCGTTGGTTTTTACGCTGTAAAGTCGCTAAAATGGCTTAAATAACCGCGGTTAACCGATTTTTATAAAAATTGACCGCGGTTAACCAACGGTTTTCGATCGGCTTGTGCGACATGGGTTATCTTTAAACTGCGCGCCGAAATATCTTATTTCAAATCTACCTGTGTAGCAATACCAGCATGATCATAACCAGGTATACAACGAGCATAGGATTTCTTTTGCATTGCATGCCATCTTAAAAGACAATCATGAACGGATGCAGTTAATGCATGGCCCAAATGAACAGTTCCAGTGACGTTTGGCGGTGGAAAAAGCATAACAAATGGTTTTTCATTACTATCTGATGATGGTGATGATAGATATGAGTTTGTTGTTGCTTCAGCAAATATTGATGCCCATTTTGGTTCAAAAAGAGAAGGTTGATGAGTTTTTGATAGCCATCTATAGGCTGTTATACGTTGAAATGAATAATTACACAAAAAGGCTTTAGTCAACATCTATAAAAATAAAATTATTCTATTTATGAACTTCATTTTCTTTTCTTTTCTTAGACAAATATTTGATTGAATAGTAACCCATTGAAAATTCAATTATTCATTTATTTATTTATTTATTTATTTAAAAATCCTTTTCTTCTCTCTCTCTCTCTCTCTGTTATTGATAATTATTTCAATTGAAAATATCTATACGTCACAAAAAGAAAACAAATGTTCACAAACTAAACCCCCGTGAGAGAAACAAATAAAACGTTTTAACAATATAGTATTCAGCTTTGTTGGTGTTTTCTCAAAAACAGGAATATGAGGAAAATGTAGTACACTCTTGATTGTGTTCAATTAACAACATGAAATAAATATCACTGATAAGCAAGAGAAACAATAAGAATTACAAAAGCAAAAACAATAAGAATAAACACACACGCGAATCCAAGGATTTTTCGTTCTTGGATGCTCTCTCGGATAATAACAAATGCATTACGATTAGCTCTTAATGGCGTTGAAACTATGGGAGATGAAAGTTTTTCAGCTGGCGTAGTTGTTGATTTGGGTTCATTTTTGCGTTTAAGAGATTGTGAATTCGTGGAACTTCGAGGTTTTTTACTAAAAATAAAAAACAGAAAATAAACCGTTTGTTTTTTCGAACATCATCAAGTATTTACGGCTGAGTAGATTTATCTTTAACAGATAATTTTTTATCCGTTGTTAATAAAGTTTTAATTTCTGATTCCGCTTTACTTTTCTGTTGTTGGGAAACAATAATTTCTGTATTAGAAGAGGGTAATGATTTTTCGATATGTTGCAATGAACTTTCCACGTCAGCTGATTGTTTTCTCGACTTTCTTTTACCAGTACCAGAACGGTTCGAAGTATTACGTTCCTGTGAAAGTATCTGATCTTCTACATTGGATACTACTGAGATAGTAGATCTTTCTTCAATAACAGTCTTTATTGGTTCTTGTTTTTTAACGGATATAATATCAGAGTTTTGTGTTTCTCGAATGGTACTTGTTAAAGTAAATTGTTTAATATTATTGTTTGTTTGAATATATTGCCTAGGCTTCCATGGCATCGCTACCGGTGGAACGAATTCTTGCATTGTTTCTATAGAAGATTCTTGTTTTTTAAGTGAACTTGCAGGTTTTCGCGGTTCATTAGTTGGTTTCGGTGATTGTCTACGAACCACAGAAGCATACGAGTCACCTTTGAATGCTGTTTCAGTTGTTGCTCTAGATACAAATGTATGTCGCTCTGATTGATTAGCAATACTCGTCGGTCGTAATAATTGTTCATTTAAGGTAGCAGAAAATTTATGTTCTTGAAATGAGGATGCACTTTGCGTTGAGGTTTTCGTCACGCCAATGAACTTTTGGTTTTCAATTATTGATCTATTAGCGTCTTCATTTGATGGAATAGGTTGTGGTAGTTCTATAACTGTAGGTTTTTCTAATTTTTTACTAGTAACACTTGGTGAATAATTTTCCATAGATTTCATTCTCGTCTTTTCGTGTAACATTTCATTACCCTGTACTGATTGAGCGGCTGTGTGTTGTTCTAATTTTTCACTGACTATAATGCGATCATTATCGATATTTGTTATTACTGTTTGTTCAAGTACTTTACTTAATGATAAAGATTGTATTGATTCAATATTGACGGATTGTTCTACTAAGTTATTTGTATTAACAGAAGAATTATTCTCGCTGAATTGTTCAATTTCTTCAATTTCTACTATCGATTGTTCTAAAGTTTCATTAGATGCAACTGAATTTTCGTGATTCACAACATTTATTGTATTTCGTAAATTTTCTTCATTTAATAATACAGATGTTGTTAGTTGAACAATTGAAGATTGTTCTAGTTTATTATTTTCTGTATTTGTATGATTATGTTCAACATGTGTTATCATAGTTTCTTTGTTGGGTGTACCTGATGGTTTGAATTCTATATTTTCAATGGTTGATGTAATCATTTGTTGCTGTGTTGTACCTTCAATTGTCATTGTGGACTGTTCTAATTGTTCATTCATATTAATAGAAGGTATATCTTCAATAATTATTGTTATTACATCTTCCGGTGATTTCGTTTCAGTAATATGTTCATTCAACGGTAAAACTTGTTTTTGTTCTTCGATGATGACAGTTGGTTGATCAGCTGTAGTTACAGATGATTCGTATTGAACGTTTTGTTCAATTGCTGATGCAATTTGTTCTTGTTTTTCAAGTTTATCTTCTTCATTTAAAGTTTTAGATCGTTCAGTGTCTTCAAATGACCGCATTTGTTCTTCTACAATTTTATATTCTGTTTTGAATTGCTCATCGTCTTGGCTTGAAGTCGTAGATTGTTGTTGCAATTCTTCAATGTCTTTTTGTAATGTGGTAGTATATACTAAATTTTTATCATTTGGTTCGAAAGATTCTTCCCATTCTTGTACATCACTTACAGATGATTCTGCGTTTTCATTAATGTTTGCAACGATCGTTTCGGTCTGTTTTTCTACAATTAATTCATTGGTTGATTTCGCTGTTGCAGTTTGCGGCAAATGCTGATTTAAGATTATAGATTGCGATGACTGTTCGATTGTTGAAGTCGACTGTTGAATTTCTTCGTGTGATGTGGTAGTGTGTTCGAACGCTTCTTGACCTTTTACGGCTTGCTGACCTTCGTTATTTGGCCCGAGAAATTTTTCCCATTCTTGTATGTCACTTATAGATGATTCGGCATTTCCATTAATGTTTGTTACGATTGTTTCGGCTTGTTTTTCATTGGTATTGGCAGATTGTTCAATTGTTGATAAAGAGTGCGTGACACAGTCAGCTTGAACTGTTGAGTGCTTGACTTTTACGTTATTATCTATCTGCTGTTCGGCTTGTTTAGCTGACACTACAAATTGTTCTGACTTTTTTACTATGCCATTGCAATTTTGTGATTCATAAGTTACTACTTCATTCCGTTCTTGTTTCAGCGCGCCATTCTGAGTATTTGCCATGTGAGAATTACTACAAATATTCGTAAGGAACATTCTTTTCTTTGTAGAAAGTATACTTGAATGAATTACGAAAGTGTCCTGCAGATTTTTTTTCACCGTTAGAAACAAGATAAGGATCTATAATTTTCATGATTTCTATCGTATGAAGTAAATACAAAGCATCATTTAGAGACATCCGGTAACTTTTTCTTCTTAGGTAAAGCTACTACTTTAATCAATTAACTGGTCGATTTATATATAAATGTACTTTAAGAGATTCTATTTTCAAAACTCAAAGATAAAGAATGTTTTTTTTTCTAATCCAACATGATCATCGTATTAGTCAAAATAAATCTCATTTTTTAATGAAAATCTCAATATTTTAGGAATAAATTTCATTTCAAAGTTATCTCCTGCATGCAAATCTTAACATAGATTTTCTCATAGGTCAAGGATATCGGTTTCGCTCAAATTTTATTAATACCTTTGTAAATGCTTTGTTTTCTGTAAAAATTTTTCATGTGACAATTTTATTTCGTGTTGTTTATCATGCAACAATTTTGACTTTTGTAAACTTGACGATTCAACAGTAACATTCGATGATTTTAAATCACATTTATCGGGTAGTATTGATTTCGTATGTTTTTCTGTTGAAGCTTGCTGATGATCATCTTCTATACAACTTAAATATTGTTCATCATTAGTAACACTATGCTTCGAATGTTCTACAAAAGAAAGAAATATGACTATATAGATTGCACCATCTAAATATAGATCTCGTATCTACCTGCTCTTGTTTGAATAGCTATATCAAGTACTTGTTTAGCATATGAGTTATTTTGAATTAATTTTCCTATTTGGTTTGCTTTGATAATATCAAAAACGTGTTGTTGTAATTGAGTAAAATATTTAAATAAAGAAATTTCAGTTTTATCTGCAAAGTCTAAAACTGCTATGGTATTAAAACAATAATTGGAAATGATTAAACATAAATGTAAACGGGCTTTATCATAAGGAGTTAATTCATTTAATTCTTTTACATAATCAAAACATTCAATTGTTGAATATTTTAAACTTAATGGTATTAAATATTTAATAATTATTGATAAATAATAGCCATCCGTCCATGTTTTGAAATAAAAATCTCTAATATATGTTTCTTGCGTATTTAAACTATGATTTAAAATATTATTCAACCAATGTATAGTAATACTACGATCTTGTCCAAAACCTAAGAGTGTTTTTTCTAGTAAACAATTTCGATCGTTTATTCGAAACGATGGAAAATCAAATATTTTCATGATGATCCATAATAAGGCTAAGGTTTGTTTACGATTTCCTGATAATATTTCATATGGAGATATATCGATATGATCCATGCGTTGTTTTAAATAATCTAAAACGTATTGAATATTAGTTAATGAATGAAAACGTGTATGACCACGTTCACGTTTTAATTTTTGCAATGATAAAATTTCAATTAGATCAATTAAAATAATTCCATTTGATAAATCGCTTATTTGAATTATTTTTCCATTATTTTTCAATGATAGATGATAATTAATAAATTTTAAAAAACTTGCTATTTGAATATCATCCATTCGTTCGTGTAATTCTTCAATACGTTTACTTGTGTAATAATCATTTGAGTGATTTAATGTTGAACGTGTAACAAGTTTTAATGTGTTGCTTCTCTCTCCATATGATTGTAAAGATGATACTGTGGAGTCATCACTGATAGGATTACTATCACTGGTTGAGATCAATGACGATGTAACGATAGACGATGATGAAATAGGACAAGGTTCTGTCGTTTTTTTAGTAGTTGAAAAATACATTGTGGTCGAAACTGAGGACGAACACCATTCGCGTCGTTCGATATATGTCATTAGTAATGTTAGTTGATTGTTGTCATTGTTTTATGTAACATAATCATTAGCGAAATCTGCCCCATCGTATTTATCGACTAGATTCCATTATGGAGTAAACATAAAAGAACATTAGTTTGCCACCGCTAACGTATGAGAAATAAAAATGGTTATATTTAATGTGGTATAATGAAAAGCGACTATTAAAAGAAAAAAAAGAATACGAAAGAAAAATGTTATTCGACGACTGAAAGTTATAAATAAAACGGCAGTTATGAAAGTGTGATGGTGTGTTTTGCATAAAAACCCACCGACAACATGCGAAAGACAGGTTAAATTTTATCAAAAACAAACAGCTCTTTTTTTCTCTTTCTTTACATAATCGATTGTCTTCTATCAACTCCTCACTAAATACACCAGCGGCATGACTATTTCTTATCTTCATATGTTCGAGTCAACAAGAAAGAAAACGATTAATGCTCCATTCTGTTTTTTTTATTCCATCTTTTTTTTCTTTTTCTTCGCCTTCTCCGCCTCCTCATGGTTCCCTTTTTTTTCTTCTTTTTTTTTGCAGAGAATAACATTAGTTTTCAATGCCACTTTGTGTGCATTCTGTCTCATTCGGCTGACAACTTTCTCGTATCTTTATGTCATACGACGAAAAAGAGAGAGAGAGAGAGAGAGCGGACCAAAAGAAAAAAGAAAGGAATAGAATTAAGTATGAGCATGCACATAGAACATGAAAGAAGAAATAATCTTTTACATTCACTCATTTTCTATTTTTATCATTATGTTGATGTCTATCAACAATATAGCTCAATATTTACTCGGAAGAAAAAAAAATACAAGACAAGTTTACCTAGAGTCTATGGGCGCCACGAGAACAAATCAGCAACTAGTCATTGAATATGGTCGACAATGCAAATAATGGCAGTGACTTCTAGAACTTCGCGTATATGTTATTCATTAAATTGTATATAGGGTCATATCGCCTTGAGCGCCAAAAGTGTAAAAAGCACACCTATCATTTGTCTAAACGAAACAAATTTTATTACGTGACATATATTTATATGTACAAGAAGAAAGAAAGAAAGAATTGTTGAACACATTCAATTGAACAAATAGCATCAGATGTATCAAAAAATGTGTTGATGAAAGAGACCGAGTTAATATGACCGGTATCATCTATCGATTGAAAAGAAGAAATATTTACATGCATACACATGCATATATACATTAGCCTAGGAGACATATACTTCGTTTATTTTTCGTGCATAATAAAAACAACAAACCGAAAGAATAAAACTATTCGATAGTGGGATTTATACGTGTAGTCAGTATATTGCCTACAGGCAATGGAAGTGTTACTAGACCATAAGATTGAATATTTGATGACAGAAAGCACACTTGAAAATTTGTTCGCTTCAAGATTAAAAGCGAATTGTACACAACAAGAAAGACTATTTGAACAACACACACAGACACACACACACACAAATGAATAATAATTATTGCTATTTAAAACTATTCAACATTGTTTTAGTTGTGTTATTTTTTGTTATGTACCAAAGATATATCTATTGATCTAGCATTTTTTAAAGTCGACTCAAAACGTTAGATTCACGTGATGACCTCAGTTGTGACTAAATTAAATTCTATCATGTAATTGTGATAAAAAAAAATTGTTTCTTTTACATTAAATTCAAAATAAATCAGCACTATAACATAATATTGAAAAGATCAAAGTTTAATCAGATTTAAGTGGAATTTTTGACTTAAAAATAAAGGTTATCGTCGGTTAACGTCTCTAAAATCTGCCAATTTCTCAGATTTCATTTTGAAAAGGTTAATAAGATAGAGCATAAGCTGTTACATGTTTGCTTTCGAATAGAGAGAAAATATTTAGAGTACAGAAAAGCCATTGTGGGGGCCTCTTAACTCGTTGACCGTTTTCGATAATAACTATGGCAACTATAATCGTCTTTCTTGTTGATTTAACGTAAACACGCATTGCGTAAATTAACTTAAGTTTTCATGCTCTACGCAATGACATGTTACTTAATTTATGCACGATTCGAGATATGCGATTTCGCACTTATACAATTCCCATAGATAATCTCAGGCAAAAGTTCATGGTTAACATGATCACTATGTTATTTGGTAGAGCATGAAGGTCTTTTACGACGCATATATTATTATTTCTTTTCATATCGGACATGCAAAAGAGAAAATTATAGTTACCATACGTATTATCAGATACGCCCAATATTGATAGACTACCAAATCTATTTAATCCCGTAGGACTTTATCTTGTATTCAGCAAAAGGAAACAACAAAATAGAGGTGCAAAACTTCATAGTTTCTCTCTCTCTCTCTATGTTGTTAAGAGTAAAAAATAAAGTAGTGATAGATTTACCAACTTATTTTTTGATGTTCTTTACATAAGAGTTAATTGTTAAAAAATCATGCAAAACCAATTTACTTTTACAACTTGTAATTACCTTCGATGTGAATTGTGATCGATTGAACTCCAACTAGTGTCGATTGATGACGACAATCAATAGATCGTGCCTTTGAATAAAAAAGTTAATCATACAATCGGACGAACGAAAGAAGTTCATGTTAAAATCATACTGCAATTCATATCTCAACATTCTCCTATCGTAAGGTTCTTATCTTCGAAAGGCGAATTGTAAAGAATGAACAAAATTGAAATAAGCCAAGGTTCAATGATAGATTATACAATCATGAAACATTGTGTTCAAAATATCAAACATGTACACAGAGAAACTAACTATCAGAATATATTCGTCTATTTATGCATAGCATAAATTAACGATAAATAGAATTTTCTATAGAATTCAAATAGTAACATGTTCAATAGAGACTGCGTAGTTCCCAATCTAAATCACTGATCTTGTTTTACCACGCAATCTATTTGGATCTCATTCAAATATATGCAGATTTAACATTTTATATTTAAATTCATCAAGCAGTTGCATTTTATTTATTGAGCTAAAGTATTTGACACAATAAATATTTTAGATTGTGATTTTTAAGTCATCTAGGGAAATGATGAAAATAGCATTTATGATAATTCTTATTATTTTCAGATGGACAGATGTTTTCTCTTCTTATATAACTCGCAACCATTTTAGCATAATTTGACAGCAATGATTTCATTGAAGCAAATAATTATTCAAATTATAAATTTCAGTTTAACGAATGATCAATATACACATTTAATTAATACTGACTCTCTGTAATTGCAACTTCCGTTTTTTTTTACCGACTGAATCCATATCAAATTTAGACTTCTCAATGAACTTACACTTTTCATTGATGTTAATTTAATTGTAATTGAACCAAATAAGACCTTCCTTTTATTAAATAAAGTTATAATTAATCGACAAATTTGTTCATGTACATTAGTATCATAACTGGTGCTTGTTCTCATGTCAATAATACATTTACAATCCATGTTTAATAAAAATCTAAAATAATTAGAACGTAATCGATAATTCACAATTAGATATTTCTGATTAACTCGAATGCTTATTGGTCGAAATATTCAACAAATCAAAACTTAACGAACGGACTCCAAACTAAATGTTAACAAAAATACTTTTTTAAGAAAAAAACAGTTTTTAATCTAGATGTGAGCTTGAAAAATATTCTTTTAACAATCAGTAATGATGTTGTTTATTTTTGATGATTCGAACCAATCGGTCAGCTGCTGATTGTTTATGCCCATTAACGTATCACACGGAGAGTAAACTGCGTTTTTAGACTCATTTTACTTTTCGTCCTCAGTCATCTATATCGTACAAACGAACAAAAAAGGAAAATGATTCCTGCAAAAATTATTTTAAAATCAGCTACTAAGTTAACTCTTAACGAAAGGTATATATATATATTAATTTTTTGAAAGAAAAAAAAAAAGAATATCATTCATTTGTCTCAACTAGATTTGGTGAAATTGCCAAACAAGCTCCTCTGGCACCTCGTATTGAACAACAAACTAGTGTAATTATACCTAAATCTCGACGAGATTTATTTGGAAATAAACAATCAGCAACACAAAAAGCTGCAAATCAACTTAAAAAAGTAAATATCAAGAGATCATTTTTATAAGTTTAGAATTGAATTTGAATTTTTTTATCACCCTATTTTGAAGAATTATACTTATTACTGTAAGCAAATGACGAAGAAGAGAGAAATTACGACTTGATTAACCGTTTTTTTTTTGAATGATTTCACCATGAATATGAAAGTAATGACATGCCATTACTTTCCTAAATTATAATTCAACAATTAGTTTACATTTTCAAGGCATTTGAGTAATGAAAATAGTAGTGGAAGGTATTTCATCATAACATAGAATCCTTATAGCTACCATATGATAGAATTATTTATCCACTGATATTTATAGGACCTGTGAGGAAGAAATTTTGTTAATATTGAAAATATGTTTCGGCTAAATATGAGTAGTTAAATTAATATTGGTATGCTTTCTTTTAGCGAAGTATTAACTATCGACTTGGTCTTGGTGGCAATAATAATAATAATAATAATAATGCTCCTGCTTTCAATCGTCAATATGCAGCTCCGAAGCCATCACGCATTTTTCAACGTCTTAGCTATGGAAATCGAAGACGTGGTGGTGGTGCTAATTCGTATTTATTTGGTGGCCAAAGTGGTATGGGTTTACGACTTCGAGGGCAAGGTCGAGTTGGAAGTATGTTTAACAGTATATATGATCATTCTTATCTATGAATAATTATTTGATTAGCACGTGTATTTCATTCTCGAACACGTGGTTATTTAAATAATAATACAGTTAGCCGATTCGGTGGTTATTCAAGACGGGGAAGTAATAATAATAAAATTAACAATAATAATAATAATCGTGGTCGACGTTTCGGAAATAAGTAAGATAAAATAGTTGATTTTGTGTACTAAAATAATAAAAATACTCAATTTGTTTTCTAGACAAACTCGTGGCCGTCCTGGTGGAAATAAAAATATTACCAGAGGGCGCGGAAATGGTCGAAACCAAAATAGAAAAAATAATAATAATAATACAAGCCTCACAAAAGAAACTCTTGATAATGATATTGAAAGTTATATGGCTAAAACCAACATTGATAATAGTTCAATGGACATAAACGCTGTTTAATTATCAAAATAATCGAGGGAAAAAACAACCAACAATTGTCTTTGTATACTTACTGTTTGTGTGTATGCGTGACTACGACGATGGACTCTTGTCTCTTTATTTCCTCCTTTTCTCCTTTTTTTTTAAATTTACCAACATATATATATATATACATATATATATGTATATGATGAAATATTATATTTACACCATCATCGCTAGAACAAGACAAATTAAAAAGCGTATGATGGCATTCATTTGTTTTGTTTATTATTGATGTTATGTAATAAATTCTTTGTCGAAAACATTATTGTCAAATATTTAACGTAGAAAAAAAAATTAGAAGAAAACATGTCAGGTTTTGGTGTTTAGTCTCAATGGCAAGTCTTCAATCGGGGTAAAAATTTATCATTTATATTAATTTAATAAAAAAATATTTCTATTACTTTTCTTTCAACAATAGATGCCGACGATGATGATGATGAGAAAAAGGAAGAGAGATTAAAAGTACTCGATTAGTTTGAGAATTTCAGAGAAAAAAGATTTTTATGATCTGAACAAAATTGGTATTAAATTTCATAGGTAAGATAAATCCGATTGATTATGATTGTTTTAGGATATCTTGTAAATGAAGTTGTTGTAAGAAGCTCTAGAAATCTCTTAGGTAGACACGTTCGAATTACCTTTTTTCGGATCAATAGGAAATTTCAAAATGAGTAAAAAAAAAGAATTCGCTATCAGTAACCATCGCAATCAATTGAGAATTTTGTTGCTCAATATTTGTCCCAGCTTTCCTCAAGAAATCAAAAGTAGGACGTGATATCTTTATCGTAAGGAAGACTGCAAAGACTTGAATTCACTTTCTAGTAGACTAGTTTCAATTGGAAAAATTCCCTCGGCAAAGAGCACTACAGAAATTAGTAGAATCTATTTTAATGTCCTTCATACATATTTATGGTGCACTAATTTTGAATAAAGGACGAAAAACAAATTACATTTAAATGGCAATGGAAACAACTGTTGCCAGTTTTTATACTATTTGTTTCTTTAATTTATCTTGTACTGTATCAGTAACAAAACTAGATGAAGTATAACTTTCGATTAGAGATGCCAAGGTCTTATGGCTCGCATAGAAACAAATTTTTAGTCTCACACTTCTCGAATTCTGATCCACTAGGATAACATGCGAGAAAGATTAGATTATTGCATGATTATAATTAGCCTTCATTTGTCTTTAGGATTAACTCGAAGTTTGACATTCGCATACACACTACATCATGCAAATTTAGTATCGGTAAAGAAAATATAGATTTTGATACAAACAAAAATTTTATTCTATTTAAACGATATTATCAAACTATATTATGACGAGATGACCTGCAAATGATTTTAATACCAAATTTGATGCATAATTTAGCTAAGAAAACATGATCAACGAGAATCGATGTTTCTTAAAACATAAAAATTACACATTGTTTTGAATAAGTAAACATAAATCTGTAATAAAATTTCATCGATATCGGTAAGTATTTTTCTTGAATTTTCAATAATATTCAATGAAGACAAATATGAATGGAACATCGTACTGCATTGTTTCCTGTGGATTTCGTTTCAGTTTTTTCGTTATAGTGATCAAATACAAAGCGAACAGCTTGTTCTTTGTCGACGAAATACAATGAAATAAGTAAGTGAAAATGCTTGAGTTTTATTTTAGGAAACTTATCCTTGAAAAACTATTGAAATTGAAAATCTTGACATTTGATAGAAATCTAATCTAATTCATCTTGACTCATTTTTTATTTATTTTCTAGGATTTTTTATTTTGATTATTATATTAATTAATTAACAAATATATATTTTGAAAAGAAACTTCACAGTCGATTTATTGGTTGCTGTCTTCAAATGAATCAATGCAAAAATTGTTGATGAACTATTCAATAAATAATTCGCTTTTTTTTGTTTCGCAAAAATTCTGTTGGCATATGTATTTCGTTTTTTGTATTAAAGACAAAATGTATTCATTTCGAAAAAAAGAAAGTATTTTAATGAAAACAAAGAAAAATGACAAAGCATTGTGCTTGTTTGAAATTAAAGAGGATATTTTATACAATATGAGTTTAATGTTAATCCTGATCCTGAGATATATTAGAAGTGATTGCTGATACACTTGCATTTTCAGGAATGTGACCGTTGGTGTTCGATGTTGATGATAGTTGACTATTTGATGCTCGTTTTTCAACTATACGACGTGATGGATGTCTTAATGGTGGTGATGTAGCAATCGGTTTCGGTTGTTTTGATTTTTCATATTTATAAGATTTGTTTTTCTTTGGTTCTTGTATAGTACTATCCACTGGATAACTTGTTACGGATGTATTTGCCGAAGCGTGAGATTTATCTTGTGTTGTCGAACGATGCAAACGAGATTCTGTTTTATCCCAACGCTTTGAACTTGGCATCGTTGGATCGACTGTACTTGATCGACGACGACCAAGACGAGCGGGTGCATAAGATGGAATACAATTATAACCATTTAATCTCCCGTAACCCGATGAACCTTTAGTTACTAATCGAAGATAATCATCACTAAGATTTTCAGCTGAATAATGCTATACAGAAGAGAAAAAAAATTAATTAAGTGTTTTTCCTCACTCAGTTTAACGAAATACTATGCTTGAACGTTTTTTAAACTTGGAAACTTTTGATAGACGATCATCTTGTTTAAATGAACTATTGGGATTATTATTTAATGATTGACGTACAATATCCAAAACAATGGGCGATTGAAAAAAACGCCTCAAATGTGGATCATCAAGAGGTTCATATTCTGGTATAAGCGATGCACGACGACTTTGATGAGCAGCACGTACTGAATCATTAACAAATGATTCTTCACGTATACGTAATTCAGTTTCATTTTTAGATGGACCATAAAACTCAGCAGAACGTAATGTGACAGGATAACCGAATTTAAGACGAGTTAATTTTGCTCCTGCTCTTAATGTGCCTCCAGGTGTCACCTACATGAGACATGACATATTCTTTACATAAAAATAAAATCTATTGTTTTTGTTTTCTGTTTTTTTACATACGGATCTACTTCGTCTTGATATTTCACTTATATTAGATTGTCGACTATGCGCACGTGGTTGATGTTGACAGGAATAAACTGATGTATCAGCTACTTTCGATGATATACTACTACCTTTAATACGTATTGAATTTGGACGTTTCACAGTCTTCTTTATTGGTGGTAATGGCACATTTGAATTCCCACTAAGATCCGAAAATAATGATCGTCTTGGTTTCTGCTGTTGCTGTGGATTTGTTATTGTTGTAAGGACTTGCCGATGTTGCAATTTAGCTCTAGAACCACTGCTACTATTGTCTTTTGGATCATATTGATAACTAAGTGTGGCTATCTGCATTGAATCATATAAGTTTAATAATTGGAATGTATTGTCTTTACTACAGTTAATGTTTTACACACAATGACGCCCTGCAAAAATTGCTATGTCAACACAATGTCTATATGTAAGTATGATGAATATATATATATGTATATGTATATGTATTTAACACTTGAGCACCATGCATACAATGTAAAAGTATGATGATGCCATTTGTTGGCAACAGCAGTTACGTTTTTCTTTTTTCTTTGTTTATATTTTTTTTTTAAATATTCACACTTCAGTGAAAAATAAGTTTTTACAAAAGACTTTGAAAAGAAGAGAATGATTTTATTTTTTTACCGAAGATAAATATTTTTCGTATATCTTTAGTCATTAATTGGCTGATTTAGGAAAGAAAGCTTTCTTCTTTTACTATGATGTTCCATCGATTCTTGTAAATTAATGTTGAAAAAGAAAGTTGATTTTATAAAAATGTATATTGAATGTGTGACAAAAGCGAGAAATTTGATGTTGAACTGTCATAGAAGAATTCGTTCTATAGTTCAAAATTCTGAACAGAATAATAATCTATCTAAAACAAACAAAAGAAATCAGATTTCTAGTATGAATGATTTTTAATGAACAAAATAATTACAATATATTTAGCATTATATATTAACATTATCCTAGGAATTAATCAAAGTAAAAAGGATCTGAAAAAATTCGGCAAACGGTTATTTAGAGAAGCCTTGAGATCTTTTTATATATAATATGGACCTTGTCTTTGAATACCGTCAACTTACCTTTTATTTTACATTATATTTATAACAAGGTAACGCGACATTAGCGTCGCCAACCCTCTACTGAAATGATTCAATCACGTAGAACATAGCTATCCAAGTCTATCTGGCTAAGAGACTTCACATTTTATAGCTTCGAAATGATTTTCATGGAAAAAACGATTGATCACCGAGCATCAATAGAAAACTTGCTTGGAAGTATCACCAAGAAAACGACATTTAAGTACTAATTACTAATACTATATGCCAATAGTGAAGTTAAGTGCATCCGATCTGCTACAGCTCAAGTTATGCTCCGAAAACTTTCGATCCGCTTGATAATGGGGTGAAGAAAAAGACCCATTCAAGAGAACTATGATCGAAATACTCCATTTTAGTAAAATAGCAACTCAAATTGGTCTATGGACTAGATATTTAACATGAATTTGCACGAATAGATCAGCGATCTAATCAAAGTGACTTTTTCTAACTCGATTTCCGTTAGCTTTGTCCTCATTTTTGCTCAAATTCATGTGGGCTCATTTTTTTTCCGTACGTTTTCGGTCTCTAATGCATATATGCATTCCCGGATACAAGTTCGCAGATACAAAAATCGAACACTTGTATGTTTTCAATCAAATCCACTCGTAATCAAAAAAAACTTAGCTTATTAAGATATTCGCGGCAAATATAAATTTCAAATATTTCGCGACTTCTCTTCGGAAAAACTTCAAGATATCTACCATTTTCGAAAATTCTTTCAACTTTTCTGGTCGAGACAACGTGTAGTTATTCTATAAGTCTGCAAGGCCTGCAGCTGTAGTCTTAGAATCACAACAGATTTTTAACTGAGCTACTAGTCGCCTCCACTAGTTTTGTTTCATATATGGGGTGAACGTGATCGTTTTAAACACTGCACAATTGATTGAAAACTTCGCTTTATTCTATAATTATTAGATGAAAATAAAGAGAGTTTCCAAGGAACCCGAAAACAACAGTTGTGGGACTAATTTAATTCAGTTTCATCTACATATGTGATAAATTCCTCACAATTTAGAGAAGAATAAGACAAGATTCCCGAGTACTTATACAGTTTGCGTACATTCGTAGATGCGCTAATCTAGAATTCTAGGGGTTAAGTTTGAATAAATTCTTCGTGCTACAATAAAAGTTGGCATATCAAGAATAAACTGAAGACTTTGAAAAAAACCTTCAACACCTTAGTGCAGGTGAGCGACTATAGTCGTTGCCAAATTGAGAATCAATTTCACCGCAAGATGCCTATAGCCTATTCGGAATAAGGTCTAAATGCTACTCCTAAATACTTTCGAAATACGTCACTCGTCAGTTGCTAGTGACTTAGTTTTACTTTTTCAAAAAGCTCATGTGTTCATTCTGTGCGATAGACCTCTGTGCAACCGTCTTTGTTCATTAAAACACTCACCAAACTCTTTTGAAAAGCTACACTTGAAATCGTATAACTCTGCCCCAAAGCATTTCGGTCAAACCTTATACAAAATCCTTTTTTTCCTAAAAAGAAGTAAAAAGCGAAACTTCAAAGGCGTGACCTCGGATTCGAGTTCCCTGATTCCGATTACTTACTGTCAATCCTCATAAAAAACTATTTTTTTCTAAAAAAAGTCTTTCTCTCTCCTAAAAAAAAGGAAAAAGCAAAACTTCAAAAAACTAACATCGAATTCGGATTCACCGACCCCGATTACCTTCGCTCAAAGCTTATAGGGAGTTTTCATGCGTGGGCTCAAAAAAACACATTTTTTCATTCTGTGCGAACGAACGCACGAATGCAGTCAACTCGTTCCGACATAAGATCCTCCTTTCAGTAGAGGGAATACTCAGTATTCTACGTTTGCTATTCATACTATATCATACTCAGCATATATCAATATATAAAACGATATGATGAATAAAGATTTTCTCAATTGTATTCCATTCATTAGGAAATAAATGAAAGATTTTTGTTATTTTTAAATAGACTTTTTAAATTTAAATATGAGCAACCTTTTAATTTATTGCAGTCTTCTATCTGCACGATAATTATTGAATGGTTTTCGACGGGATTAAGAAAAATCTTAAAGCAATCGAATAATTTAAAGCGAAGCGATGTTATATTTTATTGTTTCGTATTGCGAATTTGTTTTATCATAATTTATTTTTCAAGAATGTTCTTTTATTTCGATTTACTTGAAACGAGTTTTCTTTGATGAAATAGTCTATTAAAGCAGTAATCGACCAAAAAATTCACAGATGAATCTCCACAAAAGATTTTTATTCAATAAATAAAACTAAAATTTTTCTAAAACGTTTTCATTACTTGGAAAGAACAAAACAATTTCTATTTGACAATAATCTTCTGAAAATATTTCATATTGAATTTTCGATCGATAAAGAAATATTTTCGGAGTATAAAGAAACAGGGAAAATTTTTATTAGAAGATTTTAGAACTTTTTCTTATGTTTGAAATCAAATTATAATTTAACAGAAGTCCATGCTCCATCATTTACAGTCATATGAAATTATCGACACAACTTACTTATTGATGTATCTAATAATTCTAATGTATTAAATAGATTGCTTTTGTCATGAAAACATTTTAATTCATGATTATATTTAAGTACAGAAGATATCAATAATTAAAACATCTTTACACCCATTCAATCAATTAATTTTGGAACAATTTCAGATGAGCTATCTCTTTTTTATACGGTTTTATTAGACATTTTCTGGTCCCTTTACTGATATATTACAGTAGTTTCTTCGGTGTAGTGGCGGCAAAGTCATTGAAACTCATGATACTTGAGTGTTACCTAAATTCCAGCAGATGAAGCTTATATGGTCTCACTTGAATTCTGACTGAATATTGTTATTTTTCTCCTCAGAATGTGCTATGTTAAACATCTATCAAATTCATAATAGATACTCTCATATATATATATCTGTGCCATAGTGAGATTCGTTGATCTTTCATGTTTTTTTCTTTCCACTGTTCTTCTATCGTACCGATGACAAAAGCTCGTTTAAATAGTGTTTTTTTGACTCATGTATTTACAAAGAAAAGACAGATTTTATCGATTTCAAAAGTATTTGATTGATTTTTGCATCAAATAGAAAAAATTATCTTTTGGTATTTTCTAGTCACTGTTGTTTTATGTTAACAATTTTTGATTTCTGCTACAATTCAATCGAAAGAAGACTTTTATTCTGCCTGATACTTTGATATCATTTGATGGCAACAAAAAAGAACAACAATCGTGAGCCTCATCTAGTTTAATGAGTCTATATCATCTCTGTTTCGATAGGTTTTGCAGTGCTTGACATATACAGTCTGAAGTTGTTCGACGTATACATATTAGAATTAATTAACTTTCTAATCATATAAAATGAGTGAAGATTTTCAACTTCAGTTGTTCACGTAAGAAAAACTTCGCAAAAGAAAACGTTTCAATAAGATTATGAAACAATTTCCTAAGCTTAAAAATAGTTGTTTACGAGTGACTTTAATGAAAATGCGACTCATCGAGATATGTACATAATATTATAACTTGCAAATAAATATGATTAACAATCCACCCACATATAAATGCTGGGCAACAGATTTTCATATAGAAAAAAAAGTAGCAAAACATCAAATTTATATTCTTTCTAATCAGAATATACATTCTTGGTGGTTTATTTCATCTCGAAAGTTGCCACGTTCGAACGATGAGTTTACGTAATCGCGCATTACGTTGGCTGCAAATAATTCTTACACTTTTCTATGGACAAGTTATTTCTACGGCTATATATGAATATACTATTCAAGGTATTTGTGGCTTAATACTCAGTTTTCGACCAATGTATGATTCGGTTCTGCTGATTGTTCTTGGCGTATTTATGTTTTTATTTGTTATATATGCAATACCTGCTGTATGGTTTTGCCATTTACAAATGTCTATTATATCTGTATTGATACTAATCGCAATTTTTATATTAACATCGGTGAAAGCTTTTATCGAAGTAAAATATATGGGACAACATTCTATACGCATCGAATGGGCTACTATCCGAATAGTAGAACTTGTGCTAAGAATATTGGGCATAGTAGCTAGTGTGCTATTCGTTATGTGCCTAAAAAAAGGTTATAAACCAGAAAATTTTTAAGTTAAAACTTCATTTTAAATAAATAAATTATTAAATAAATTTTCTGTAAATTTCTAATAAAATTAAAAAAAATGAAATTTTACAAACGAAGTTTAATAGTACCATTTGAAGTTAAACTTCATGTTCAATCGAATGTGGATGTCTATGCCCATGAGTATGATTTTGCTTAGTTTTGAAATGATTTTCTGTTGATTCACTATTGATTTTAGCTAAGGGTTTACTACGACTAGAGTTCTAGCCCATGAGAAACCATCGCCAGCATCAATAAAAGCAGATTGAAATATAAAATTTAGAAATCGTTTTTCATATTCGTCTGGTTCAATAACAGAACCTTGACTTTGATGATTAGGATTGGTCATTTGTTTTGATTTTTGTTCCAAAGATTTACGACTATCGTACTCTTGAAGCATATCAATAATAGCAAAATACAAATAAACACGTTGATCACTCTTATTTATAATACCTGGCAGGGCTCCGCGTGGAACGGGATGGGACGAAAAAAACCGTCCCATGGGATCAGGGTGGCCAGATCGAAAATGCAAAAATCAGAATTTTTCTTATAAAAATCAGAAAGCGACCAGAAATTGCTTTAGGAATGTCAGAAGTTTATCAGAAAGATCATCTTTTGTGATATAGCGACTTCTGTATTAAGATGATGGCATTCAGTACTTCATTACATTTATTTTATTGACTAGTACTTCATTATCAAAGTTTCATCACTATAAAGATGAATATTTATCAATGAATAACTAATCTTTACGGAAAAGTCTCTTTTTCCTTTATTTTTCGAGATGATATTGAATTTGGTAATTAATGCGCTTCGCTTTATGTCTCTTCAAAATCAAATTCAACTATATTAATATCATCCATTAGATAATGTAGTTTTTATTTGTAGAATACTTCATAAGCGAGAATCTCGAAATCAAGAAAAGAAATTTATCAAATTCTAGTGCATTTTCTGTAGCTGAGGTTTCCTATATAAGTCAGAAATTATCATCGGATAATTGAGAAAAAACAATTTGACACAATAAACATCTATGATAGTAATGTGTTATAATTAGACTTAAGTACACGTGAAAAACTGGGATGCGAAATATTTTCGAATTCGGAAAGAAGCCAAGAGAAAGTATTAAAATCAGGAATAATCAGAATATAGTACGACAATCAGAAGATCCGAAGAAATTCAGAAAGGACTTCGAATTTCATAATTTTTCCTTACTTTTCAGAAGATCTGGCCACCCTGCATGCGACATCTCAATTATCATATATCCTATAACACGTTAAGTTTATCCGAATGCTCATCTAGCTAATAAAACTATGATGTCATATTATCTTTTCACATGTTCACAATTTTATTATTATCAAGTTCACAATTCTTTTTTTACTTTCACCATCAGGAATACATCGCTCTATGAATAAATACAAAATAGTACAAAATATGACAATATAGAGAAAAATAAAACGACCCAAAAAAATGAAAGTAGTGTTTTAAATAAAAAAAAACGACTCTAACAAAATAAATATTATTAAAAATATGGAAAAAATATTATTGTACATCATTGCACAAACTTCATATTTTCCATACACCGAATGAGTAGGATATTGGTGACTTGTTTTGAGTGCATAAATGAGTGCAACATCTATGTCACAGTAATTGTATATCGCAAAAGTTTGGTGCATTTATCAAGCCATTTTGTCTCCGGGAACGAGACAAAAATTTTTAGTACCATGGGATGGGATGTCAAAAAAACATTTCAGTCCCATTCAATTCCATGGTACACTTTCAAACGAGTCCCATTCCATCCCACGCGTAGCTCTGATACCTAGTATTGGTAGAGTAGAACGTGCAATTGCATCATTATTAAAAAAATAAATCTTCATCAATCTTTTTATGAAGCATTTCCAATGGTTGTAGTAATGAAATCGGTACATCTTTCAAATCAATTTGAGTATTTTATATTAAACGTTCTGAGTTATTTTCCTGTTTGCATAATAATGCAATAGTATTCATTGTATAACATAGTGCTGATATACCAGCTGACGGTCGACATTGCATAAAATTATCTTGTGACACATCGATATGTGTTATGCCACGTATTACTGAATAATCGGTTATGTTCAGTTTTCTTAAAGCTCTAGCATCATTCGATATATCTCTATGTAATCGTTGATAGATATTCGATGGTATACGTATTCCGTGTGGATACAAATTTACAAAATCCAGATCTTTCAATTTATGTAATTTATCTAACGATAGAGTTCCTTCTAATTGTCTATTAATTGGCGAGCCTTTTAAATCAAATATTTCATTAATTTGTAATGATGGTGTAAATGCTTTCAACATAACAGCAACATAAATTTCAATATTTGATACTAACGTGCCAAAACGTATAGAATATAAGCCAACTATACGACTAAATATTGTTGGGCGGTGTGTTAATTGTAAGTGATAACCAGCTAAAATTTGCATGAATAAACTTTTTGAAGTAACACAGTGCAGTTGAATAGAAGATTTCACGTATGATACAAATCGTGAATCAAATGGGTTCCATAAATCAGTTCCATCTAATCCTTCAGTTATTTTCGTTGAGTCTATTTGAGCATTGTTACTAGTCATGTGTTTATTTTTATCGATTGATTCTAGTAAATAAGTCATCGAACGTTTAAAAACGCTTGAATGAATCTTACAAAAAATTAAATAAGTAGAACCAGAAAATAAAAGTAACGATTCATAGCGAAAGAAACAATGATGTGATAAAAACTGTCGCCACTGTTTTTTCTTCTATGTAATAATAGTTATTTGTTATTGATTTTTTATTTGATCGATTAATAAGAAATTTATCTATAGGTTATTATTTTTCTATCGAGGACAACAAATTGTTTATTATGTTGCTTAGAATATATGATTGTAGAAATCGAAAGCAATATTTTATGAAAAACTCTTGATCAACGGTGATTGATTGAAGTTATTGATAATATCAATGAATCGGTTAAAAACATTTTACTATTTTTTCTTATTCCAAAACAAAGAACCCAATAGATAAAGACGCGTATATTCAAATATGAAATAGATATTCCAGATCCGGAACACGATATGAAAGTCTTTTTCGATTATTTAACAGATCCTAGATGCATTGTGGGTGAAAAAATCGTCAAAGATTTTCATTGAACTTCGTCATGGAAACAATGAATTCGCATATATTAAAAGAGTAATAAATCTGAAGCGAAGACCAAATAAGTGTACAGGGTTGAGATTTTGTGATTATCTCAAAAAAGAAAAAAAATAATGAAAGAGTCAAAGAAAACAGATTTACAGAAAAAAAGAAATATAATTTTAGACTCAGTTCTAGATTCACTGGTATTCGCATCTTTTCAAAGGTTCGAAGTTTTACTAATGAGATCGACTTTTCATGTGCTACAATAAAAACAAAATATCTTTATTTTTAATATAGCGTCGGAAAATACTTATCCTAATGAAATATTTTCTAATAATTAGAAAACACAAAACTTGACAAATTAAATGTTCTCGGCTTCAATTAAATTTTGCTTTTTAATGTTTTTAGGTGACACTCGGTGTTTTTTGACATAGAAAAATGCCTGTAAAAAATGTTTAATGAGTGCAATTATGACGGTGTTTCAGGAAAATCCAAAAAACACAGACACACACATTGTATCCTCTTCGTAATCCTATTATATTTATAATTAGCGAATCATTTATTAATATATATTATCTTATTTCATTGTAGTCATGCATAGATCTATTGAAAAGCTACGTATAGAATTTCATTCCAAACAAACAAAAAAAAACTCTTTTGATTATTTGCAAAGAAAACCAGAGACCGGAAATAATCAACTAATATCTTCCGGAAAATATACACAAGGGCTACGTTTATGCTTATGTCATATACTAAAATATTCTTTTTAAAAATAACACTGATGATGCGAGCAATAGAAAACAGTGCTGTTTGATTATCATTATTCTATTAATTTTAGAATATTAGAATATTCCTAACGGCTTGTGTTGTACTAGCAATATGCTCTACTCATAAATGAATAATTATCTGGTTGTAATTGTGCAATTGAATAGTAATATTGTCGGAAGGAAATAATAGTATCGTCTGAAGATTTTTTTGAAAAGAAAAAAAGGTCTTTTACTATTTTCATATAGCAAAGAGACTAGAAGAAAAGTTCATGAATGGAATAATATTGGGTAAAACATAAGATGACTGAACCAACAGAGAAACTTTCTCTCGATAATGATTTACGTTATCGTTATGAATATTTGGCTGAATTCTTGAATTTTACAAACGACAATATAAAAATTCTTAATCAATTATCAATATATATTCAACCAATGATTCCTGTTATTGTCGATGAAGTTTATCGAAAATTATTTTCATTCGATATAACAAAACAATACTTTTTCCCTGATGCTTCTCATTCCTGTTTTGGGAATTTATTTTCATCAACAAAGCATTCAAGCGTATCATTCGATGGCGACGATATTGAATTTCGAAGAAATATGTTAAGTAAATATTTAAACAAGATTCTTACGGAGCAAGAATGGGATGATTCATTTTTACGATATTTATCTTGTGTTGGACAAGTACATACACATGAAATGGGTACGCCAGCGATTCATGTTGATTATATGCATATCAGTGCTTTGATTGGTTTTCTCGAACATATTATTATTGATATAATATTGAAAATAACTAATATTGATTGTCAAACAAAATACAGAGCAGTTGCAGCTATGAATAAATTCTTTTGGATTCAGAATCAATTTTTAAGAATGCACTACAAAGAAGAAGAGAAACGATGAAAATAACTATTATTTTTTGTATATATTAATTCGTTCGTTTCTTTTTGTATATATATATATATGAATGTATATCGTCTATTTAATATTGTATTATGATTCAATATTCTATTCATATAATATCATGTTGGACTGTAGAAAATTCTATTCTTATATTATCATGCTGTTTCTTTATTTAGTAAGTGAGTTTATCAAAGAGAAAACTTTCTAATAATAAATCGATGATATTAACTCAGGTAAATGAATTATCTTTGAGAAGAATACCATTTGGGGATTTCATGTAAATATTTTTACTTGAATAATACTTTAGATTTACCTAGAAAACCTGTCGTGGTATTAATTTTACAGGCGTCACAAGAAGATAGGGATTAAAACGCATTTTTATCCAATCAGAGCAAAAAAATAAACTACAGGATGGTAAAAATATTATTTTTAGATTCCCTGTCGATTTTAATAAACTCATTATTCAAGTCAACATCAAGGAAATAAAAACAAAAGAATTGAATTCATTGTAAAATTATTTGAATCACTCTATTCTTATTACTGCATAGAAATAATGAAGACTCGTTTGAGATCAGTAATACATATATTTCAGCCGCTATGTAATAATTATTGCACAAACAAAAAAAGTCATATTTTTAATATTAGATACTATCGCCTGTAAAAGAGTTTAATATCCAATGCAAAACAAAAATAATATGTATACAAACAGAAAAATATCTGCCTTACATCGTCATGAACTATCGGATTTCATGGAAAGGGTCATATCATCAATGGCAGACATTCTATCTTTATATTCCTACGCAACGAACACAGAGGAAAAGTATCTCATTGTTCTCAAAAATAAAATAAAATGCTAAATGAAGAAAACAAATCCATTTTAAAAGAAAATGATATGGATGTCATGATTATTATGAGAAAAACTATTCAATGGAAAAAAAGATGAGTGTTGTGTTAAGATGTATCTATTGTTTATTGCTTCGAATTGATTATCTCTAAGACTAAAAGCACATGTTTCCCTAGAAAATTGCGTGTTCACCGTTAATTATTGTAATAGGATTGGCGAACTTATATCATGGTAATGATTTTAATTTTAGAAATGAGAAATGGTCAATTGTTCATGCAAAAGTAATCAATGAATGTCGAAGCATAATTATATTTCAATAAAAAATGTTTTGAAATTCAGTATCAATCTAAAGATAGTCTATAAAAAGTGTAGATCAAGCGCATCCGTTAGCTGCAGTAGATTTAATATCTTTTTCCTCAGAAGATATTTTTATTTTGTATGCTGATTTTGTGGACTCGCATATATTTTCGAAGGAAATGGCGAATGTAAGTTTAAAAGCGAGATTTTTGTAGCTCCCCATCCGTCTTCATTACAGACATTAATGAGTTTAAAATTGTGCTAATTAGGAGCGTGACTAATTAAGCTGCTATTTCTTCCTTTTTTTAATTACAGGCTACACAAAAAAAAGCAATGTTTGCCCATTACAGACCATAGAAATTAGTCTCTGCCATTGTTAAATATACGAGCTAACAATTAATACTCCATTACAGACATAAGCAAATAGGCAATGACCTAATTATAGGTTTTGGAAACCAGGGTAGATTTTTCAGATGAACTATTTTGAATTATTTTAGTAAGCCGAAGGGATATATGTGAGTTCCACATTTTAGCCCCAAAGGGGCTGCGCTAACAAGCTTCTTTTTATCATCATCTTAATTATTAAGAATAGTATTCATATTTCTAAATCAAACCACTGATAAGAATGAAATTTCAAATAGCTTGACGCAAAAATAAATATAATGAATGAATTGTTGTTCTACATAAATTTAATGAAGTCAGATTGAAATAGGTTGAAAAATGAAGGTTAAACTTATTTTCTTAGGTCATTTTAGTAATAACCGACGCGTGTACGGCTTGTCCACGCAACGCGCTACTTCGCTAATCAAGTTTTAAAAATTTTATTTTTCGATACAGACAGATCTAAGCGTATTTTCTGGTATAGTTTTTTACACTGATTGTGAATTTGTACATTTTTTCTTTAAAAAAATGGGTTTTGGCATCGAAAATTTGTTTTTAAAGTTTTGAAAAACTGTATTTTCAATTTTCTAACCAATAAATTTAAAACAAACATGCAGAGTAATATACCATTCGATGCCGAATTTGATTCTCTACAAAATGGCCTATTAAGATTTTACTCTCATTCCTCAGGACAACTTCTAAGCTCTTGTACAGTTTCTAACTTACTATATAATTATTGAGCTCGTATTTCGATGTAGCAAATTGATTTTTTTTACAGAAGGATATATACAGGGCACTGATCAATACGTATAAACATTAAATTTTTTTAAGCATTTTAAGTGCTTCAAATTTGATCGACAAAAAAGCGGGTCACAGTGTTACGGAAAATATCACAGCGTTACGTTTGGACAAGCCGTGTACATAAATGTACCAAGTGTCAAAATTAGATATGTACGTCTGCTAAGAAATAATAGCATATCAAATTCACTTAACTTTCTATTTGAAAAATCGAATTTCCACATAGGAATTTAATGATTTGATTTTTAGTATTATATTTTACTCGGAAATTTTTCCTTCGGGAATTTCCAGTGAAAAACAAAATATGATAAATTGAATAATTCTTTTATATAAAAGGAAATGACTACATATAGTCTTCAGTTTGCCCAGAGACTATATCTTTTGCAATAACGCATTCAAGATGAGGACGTGAATTATTAGACTACAGGTAAATTTCGAATATCAGTAATCAGATGATTTGAAAACGTATTCGAGGATTAAAACAAATGAAATATATTACATAAAATGTTTCATTAATTGCTTTAGCGTATCATAGATTCAATTTTAATTAGGATGCGAGTACGTCGAAGTATTGCCATAATTAATAAACTTTTATAAATTCCCAAAGAATAAATGCGCTTCGTTAGTCTCTTTAATCTAAACAATGAAATGAAAAATCAAAATATGTATGTGCCTTGTAATTGCAAGTAGGGTTGGTACGTTTACGCACTAAAAGCGTTAATTAACTCGCATTAAATTAAATGGCCCATCCCTAACTACAAGACACGTTATGAAATCAAAATAGCATTCGAACAAACAGTATCGCAAAGAACAGCAACATCACAAGAGAGAAAATTATTATATCAAGTCGACCATGTAATCTTTTGGGTAAAATTGCAAAGTAAATTCTAAGCATTTATGGAAGTAAAACTAATAGATGTATATTCATTATTTAACCCTTTCCGGCCCGCTGTTTGAAAATTGCCGTACCCCCCTAGGGGAAAATGTTGCCATATGGCAACACCGGGCCGGAAAGGGTTAAAAAGAAGAAAAAAATCTCCTAGGAGATGTTACTATTTTGGAAATCCTCATCGTTCATATTTCACTAGCGCTGCGTTTTCAGGCATTACAAAACGTAGATTACTCGGTAAGTCACACAGTTTTATTTTTAGCCAAGGTTAAAATTTATTCTTTTTTCTTGAGAATTATGTACTGATTCATTTACACATTTTTCAGTCACATAAATAGCATTGTGGTATTTAAAAAAGAGTTATTGTAGCTTTGAGGAGTTAGTTATCCTAGAAAAAGTAGAAATATATCGGAAGCTTCGGTACTTCATCGACTAATTCCTACTGATTAGGATCATTAATAAATCCGTATAAACGCTTTCGATTTAATTCCAAATTATCCAGGTTTCCATTCATACATGTGATTTCTGCCTCCTAATCTGTGCTTATAGATTAGAAACTAAAACAAAAAATGAACGATGGTAGTATTTTTTTGTGTCCGGCGATTCAAACATTAGAATATTATTTTTTCGCGGTCTAAATCTTTTATTTAGTAAAGCTTGAAAAAAATGATTCTTGTGCTGTATTTATTTATTACATTTCTAAATTTAACACATACGCACAAAGACGACAATTATTGTCATAGTGAATAGAAACTTTCATATGGGGAAAACATACAATTATATTGAAATTAATCTTAATCTTAGCGATAAAACTGTTAATTTGACACGACAGAAAAAAGAATGTATCCTTGTTTGGTATATGGTAAGTCGTCCTCGGGTGTGTAGCGTCAGATTAGTATAAAGTTTTCAAAAAATATTATAATATTCATTTTGAGATTAATCCTGATATATTGATATTACCGTTGAATAAATTACTTTCTTTAATGTAATACATAAACTGTTCTTGATTGAAGTTCGAAGAAACTTTACTCTCGAAATGGTTACACTCGAACAAAATTGTACGATTTTCGACAGATGATATCGGAGATGCCAAATAGAGCTATTTCCTTTGTGATAATTTTCGAGTAGGTATAGTCACCAATAATATTGATATTCATGTTTTTGAGAAATATTTATTTAGTGTAAAAATTAAATTAATAACTAATTCTAACCAACAAAGATACTGACGGCTGGGGCTTAATTTTCAAATACATTTTAAAGTCTTTAAGCTTATATTTTAAAGTAGGGATGCTAATCTGACACTGATAAATGAATGTCACTCAGAAAAATAGACAATAAAATTATTACCGAAAAGTTCATCAGTATTATCATGCAAAATCATAGTTACTTATTCTAAAAAAACTACTCTTTGATCAAACTATCAAGACTTAATGTAATGGTTTTATTTAGTTTTTTTTTCTTGAGATTTTCAAATGTTTAAGAACATTCGACAAGAAATTAAACAATAGTAGAATAATAATCTATGAGTGAATTAAAATTTAAAACTAACGATTATGGTATCTTGTGAGCTATATAATATTCTGATTATGATCCTGATGCACAGATCCATTTTTATTTACTGTAAGGTAAAAAACGGTGTATAATTGTTTTTCGGCTTGATCTATGAGTTCGTTATGAAACTAATTAGAATTGACTTTTTTTCCAGTGAGGTATGTCTTAATTATTCACGAAGTCACGCAGCTAAATCATACTTTCATAATGGTTTCAATTTTTTTTTGTGCATTTTCATCACAGAACAGCGTCTTCCTCTGTCATTATTTGTTTAAGTGTTCATCGAGGAATGTTCTGAAGACGCCACTAAATTTGCTAGTGAATTTATTCAAGCAGTTCTCTATAGAAAGATGCCGAGCTTTCACGTGTCGATTTCCCCTACATTATATGATTGAACTAGCAAATACCATAATAGTCAAATAAAAGAAAAGCATCACTCCACAAAGTGATTTACTTGACAATCTTTTTGAAGAAACAAATAATTTATTTTAAAAAAATCTATTTTTTTCTCCTACTGACAGGAAGATTTAGTCTGGAATAAATTAGAATGGCTGAACACATTGATAAAAGTCGTCTCAACATCGATCTTCGATATCATTATGATTATATAGCCAAATTTCTTAATTTTACAAAGGATGATATCCATACAATGAACACATTAGCTCCAATTTTATTTCCCTATATTCCACATATTGCTGAAATAGCCTACGCAAAATTATGTTCATTCGATGTAACAAAACGGTGTTTTCCTGTGTCTAGTGATGATGATACCAATGATTCGTCACTAGACAGCGAATCCGTATTTACACCTATATGTTCCGAAACAGATGTTTTCAGAGATATATTTAGTATTTATTTAAAACGTATATTAATACAAAATGAATGGAACGATACATTTATAAAATATTTGTCTGAAATGGGAGAATTATATGGAGGTAAAAATTATTGCAAAGTAGTTAATATTGACTATATACATTTGAATGCATTGATCGGCTGTATTGAAAATATAATGATTGAAACGATTTTAAAGCTGGAAAATTTTGATTTAAAAAAGAAACGTGCTGGTGTACGAGCATTAAACAAATTTTTTTGGATTCAAAGCAATCTTTTGACGATTCATTATAGCAGTTAATTAAACGAAAATACAATATCTAATGGATTTTCAAGAAAAAACTGAATTTACTAACAACTCCACTTTTACTTCAGTCCAATTCAATAAAAACAATAACTATTCTCAATAATGCTACATTTTATTATTTGCATCTATAGACTAAGAAAATATTGATCCTGCTTTAAAAACATTCTGAGCTATAGGATGCAATCATCATTCTAGACATATTCAAAATAAAATAAATAAAAATATTCGATTATATATTCTTGACTATATGAGAAATAATTAATGCGGTGCGAAGCACAGTATTCATGTAGTCCGTCGCCAGTTAACTTGTGTTTTCTTTTACTTTATCGACGTACGCATTACAGTTTATCATTTTATATCTTGATGATCTCGAGAAGTAAAAGTCATAGAAAAGTCATTCAAATGTGAAATCAAAGTATCAAGATCGAACTTCTTACCTCTGTTTTCGAATCTTCAATCTGAAGTTCCATTCGCTCACAAATATCGTTCTAAAATGACGAAAATGAACGAAATTTGTCGTGAGATAATTAAAACGACGTCATCAACATATGTTAGCCAAATAAAGTCTATTCATTTACAGCTGATCTTAGATAATGAATCGTGGAGATAATTAATCGATCAATCGAATTTCTCCTTAAGAATATATTGCTAAGTAAGAATAGAGTTTTCTCAGTGATGAATTTCATTATGTCTACATAAAAATTATTCAAGATTTCTCTGAATTGAAGATTTTTCGTAGATCTAGATTCCTGCTTCGCATCGCATCTCGTACACGAGTGAAACTCGAATACCATCTAGTTTTTTACTTGACGCGTGTGCATCAAAATAGTCATTTTGCTGCGCGATGATCTCGAGAACCAAAAATCATAGAAAAGTTATTCGAACTAGAGGTGAAAGTATGAATATTGAACTTGTGATATTTGTTTTCAAAATTTTAATACGATGTTCTGTTTGCTCAGAAATATCCTCCCAAAATGACGATTTAGAAAGCTTTCACGATAATTAAGATGACGTCATCCATAGTTGTTAACCAATAGTCTATTGCTTTACATCTGATTCAAGATAATGACTCATGAAAATCATTAATCGTTCAATGAAAAGAATCGTTAGAAAATTGATTGTTACATTTTCAGAGAGATTGATCATTTATTTTTTAAATCTTATTCTCGCTACTTTCGAAAATTCGGCTTGTGTGCTTCGCACCGCATTTCGTAGTCGAGTGAAACTCGAATACCATCTAGTTTTACATTTGATATATGATTTTCTAGCCAACAAAAAATATTTAAGGCAAACAAAAATTGACAACATGGTATGCTCCTAATCTCTAAGGATATTGAACAGCAATTAGTTTAGCGAAGCATAATTTATAAGTACATCCATGCGAAAAAAAATCTCAGGGTTACCGATCAATCGAGTGCAAAACAAAATAGACAACACACGATAATTCAAATTTGCTTCTCTTACATTTGTTTATGCAGAAAATAATATAAGATATTGAATAGACGTTTGATATATTGAAGAGATATTTCATTTAATGATCACAATCACGAACTAATGGGATACACAGTGCATACATAGTCGATATATGAGTAATTCTAATTCAAAAAATAGAAATCATATTTTAACCAGATCAAAATGCATGACTATTTATTCAATAAGTTCGGAATATTTTCTACAAAAATTGCTTTCTTCAGGTCTTCATAGAAATGTAAGTATCTATCAATTGTTTAATTCTTATTAATTCATATTTATATTAAACCATTCATAGAAATGAATACATCAAGAAAAGCTCTCATAATATTTTTCAAAATTCGATACAATAACATACAGGTCATTTGGGTCTGATAGTATTTTTGCAAGTCTTATATACACTGAACTGCAATGAGGAGTACAATCCTATTCACGTATGAGAAGCTTTCAACTTGACTTATCTTCTACTTCAATGTAGAAATATAGAACATATTTTAATGGTTATGTTATAGATTTATTATGCAACAAAATTGTGAAACTTGTAGAACATGATCAACTTTTTCCATTGCTGACCCACTCTATTGATGTTTATTTTAGTTGAAGAATTCAATGTAAAAAAAGGCTAACCCCCCACCCCCTTCCGATTGCATCGTACTAGAATATGATTATAAAGCACAATAATTGTTCCTGCATGCCAGAATATTCAATCATAGACTATTTTCCCATTTGCAGCAATTCAGTATGTATGTTTGATGAATTTCCAAGAACAATTTTTCTTAATTAGTAATAGCAGAAATTTAGATATATTAACTGTTTATTCATAATCTGATATGTGATTAATTTTTTCTTCTAGAAACCGGCTAGCGAGTTAATTAATATTGCTTTCGTTAGAGTAATCTCATACATATTTCAATTAATTGTTCGAATATAAAATTTAGTACTACTAGAAAAAGAGCTGCCAATAAGAATATATTTTTCTATTCGAATTTTCGAGCATTTATCTTTGATTGATTAATATTAAAAGATGAATTACATCATCGAGAAACGAAAGACTTTTGAAAATTAATTGTCAAAGCGACCAATAGATTACAACAAATATTTTATGATGATATTATTAGGAAATTCCACGGTTAGAAAGAAGCTTTTCCAAGAACCGGATATGTCACAAACGAACTGTAATTAACTTGAAAAAACAGAGACGTATTAAATAATCAATGCTTCTTTTGACAATAATTTCATGATATATAGAAATACCGAACTTTGTTCTTTTTTAATCTCGACTAACAACTATTTGAAAAAAAAATAATAATATCAACTTTTATCTTTCCGAAGAACAAAGAGCTGAAAACGTCATTTGCAAGTTTCCATGATTGCTAAATACATAGATGGAGATGAGCTGCAACCGCAATCGTTTTGTCATTTTTACTAGCTACACATCCCAGTCCGAAATCTGATCGAACTAAATGTAAAATTGATTTACTTCAAATGTTTTTCTCTCAGAAATATCTCAATTTCTTCCAAGTATTATTGACAAAGTCTATAAGCAAAAAACAAAATAGAATCTTTTTGTGAGGGTTGTGATAATAATAAAAAGTGTTACTTTTGAGTCGATCAAAATTTTTAGCAAAAATTTGGAATACAATTTTAACGGTAGATTTTCATGACATTAGTAAGACATTAAAAGAATGAAAATGTCCTTGAATCGTCAGTTAAATATAAGTTGATTAAGCATATAAAAAAAGATGAAATTTGCTTCTCGAAAGTATTTCCCATAGGTATCGTTGTCAGTACAACAGAATCCCCGATGAAATGAGCAATTACAGATATTTAATGAACAATGAACTGTTTATGCATTATGCTTCGAGACAAAGAAAAAAAATGAGGCTTTCATTGCACCGATCAATAATTAAGTTTTTTTACATGCGATTTTCTTTAAATGTCCTTCTTTCCTGTTCACTGTATGTCTTTTCCTAGGCGTCCTAAATATCATCCGATGGTTTTATCTTGATTAGCATTATCAAATGACATCAATTAAACTTTGGCATAGTGCATTTTCATATGAACAATCGGAAAATACATTAACTTTTAGAATCATTAATTGACCTACAGAAAATATCTGTCACATGTCGGCTACATCATTCGATAATATTTTGATTTCTTAGCTTCATCAAAATGTTTCATATGTTGACCTTTGATTAGCACTGAAATAAATGAAGAATAACTGAAATGCCATCGCATTCGAACTATAATTATGAATGTCATAATTGATCATAAGTTCCAGACATATTGACTTATTATATTATTTTATTCTCAACAGGGCATTTTTTCAATTTATTTTCATCGCTTATTTTTATGAAAGACTTATCGCCTAGAGCCTAAAATGCTTCAAAATGTCGTTTTTGCAGTCAATCAACTTAAAAACAAAATTGTTCAACAAAAGAATCTCTTGTTATTTATTCTCGTTGTTTCGTTAGCTTTTCTCTTTGTTTAGTACTCTTCTCCTACACGTAGTATTCAAAAATCTAATTAACTGAACAATGTTCTTGTAATAGTATCACTTGAGACTATTCAATCATTGTTATTAAATTGCAATAAACGAAAATACACAAAACTTTCCACGTTCACATTGAGCCAAGCACAATTTATATCAGTTTGAAGTTTGTTAATAATTCTACAGTAGAGAATTCAAGCTGCACAGTTCATTTATTTAGAAAAAAAAGAAACTTGACATATACAATATAAAAATTCAATTGATTTGCATGGAGAAAACGGGAGCAATTGTATAGAAGAACAATTTTCGTTCATCACGAAACATATCGATCTGTATGCATAGCGACATCATAATTTTATCATTGAAACAGTCTCTTGTCTACGGAGATTACAGGCTTTTATCCATTCTCGGGGGAAAACCTGCTCGGTCTTGTGTATTATGTCACTATACTTTTCGCAAATGTCATTGTTACAATACCTGAAAACATGTATGAGAAAGATTAATTCAATATAGTGCATCGCTGTATAATTATTATATTCAAGAAAAAGTCTTTCAACTTAATGAATGTTAAAAAACAAAATGCTTTTAAAAGGTCGAAAACTACTTGATCTAGATCTCAGAGAGTTTTGTCAATGAATAGAATCAGAATAAGAATTATTATTATCAATTCACGTTACTGTATATATATAGTTTTTTTTTTTATAAAACAATGGAGTGCGGAAATGAATTTGAAATATTCGACGAATGATTGTGTGGCGCAGTTATTTGAATGTTTCTCACTTGATTGGTTCATTAAACTTGCTAAAAGGATTCGTTGCTAATTACGCAGAAAGATATAAAAACAGATTTCCAGCTAATGGAAAGATGGCTATTGATGAGAAACGCGTTGAACTATGCCAACGACGAAATACCTATGCTTTAAATATAACATTTTTTCTATAAGTTTTTATATTGTTTAATTTTCAAATAGATTTTTAACGTTTTTCAGCATCAATAAGTTCTGCTATTTTGCATATGAAATTACGGTCAATAC